AAGAATCATGTAAGTTCAGGTCTGTTAAAAGCTGAATGGAAATTGAAATACTTCCTTATTTTATAAACTGTTTTGTTTTTATGAAAAGAAAATTCTCCCCATTTTTTTCAACTTTATGATAACATTTTCTGTCAATCCTAATTAAAGTTTTTATGTAACGTATAAACATGAGAGGCAACTTATCACATTATTAAGCTGTGTTGAGATAAGTGGTTGATAAAATCTGATATTTATGCAAGTCTGGGTAGCGATTTGTCACCTTTCTAGTGATAGTGATCCGAAGTCTGACAGAACTGAGGCAGACATGTGGCTGATATCGGATCTGTTTGGATTGCTGTAAGCAGCCATTTCCTATGTGAAGAACCTTCGCCTGCTAATTGTGTGCTCGTACAGTTATGGCGCATCGCCATCGTGAGTACTGACGTACGTCTCGAATCATGTGACTGGTCAAGTTAGTGTGTCATGGTCAGGTTTCATGGTAGTTTCTCCGAGATATTGGCTAATTGGACGTATTCTTACATTGTCAGCATTCTTTGAAAACAAAGAATATATTTACGTTAGGTAACTTGAATATTTATGACAACTGAATGTAGAATAGATTTAGTTTGACGAATTTGTGAAAAATATGTAATGAATTTTTGTCTTTTGTGTTTTTAATTACCAGAAAAAAAATCAATGTATATTTTTGTGTAATGTACATTACTATTTTAACTTAAAGGTAAATAATACCATAATTTGAAATATATTTATTTTGAAAACTTAAAGACGTGGGACAAACTGGGAAGAATATTACCAAAGTGAACAATTTCATTCTGGTACTTTACATAAAAAAATATATGAAGAAATCTGAATCTAATTTGATCCACGCAATTTCTTACATAAGCTGGAATTAATTTAGAAGCTTTGGGAAAGTGTGAAACACATGTCGCCTTGAGGTGGTCGGTATCAGCTTCTTATCTGAGAGGCTCGGGATTCCTGATAACCCTGCTCTCTGCTAGCTGGTGAGAAATTACTGTTTTTCTTAACCAGATAAATTTCAACTTTATCTTCCTTAGGTATTTAATCATAAATTCTTTCTGTGAAGGAAGACAGCAAACCACATTGGTTTGCCATGATGGAAAGTTCCCTTTTGTTGAAGTGAACCTGGAAGGAACTTATATTTATTTTGGATCCATTTTTTTCTTCACATTCTTTTCTCTCTCCTATCAGTGATGTTGGACTTCATAATGAACCGGGGATTTTTGTGATTTTTTAATAAGTGGATGTGAAGTGTTGTTCATATTGTTTAAGGAGAGTATCACATTTAGTGTTGTACTTTGAAACTTGGATTACTGTGTCAGAGGTTCCGGGTTCATATATCGTAAAGCGGTCAGTGCAAGGAAAGATTATATGACTGCTCCAGGATTTAGGAATTTTTAACTGTTTGATGATAAAGGTAAGATATCTCTTTCAAAGTTGCTTAACCTTTGAGTCTTGACAATTTACAGAAAATGGAGAAATATTCTTTCAGTTATAGAATTATCAATGTATTTCAGTAGAAATATCAAGAATGGATGCAGATGATTTATTTTTTCATGAATAAAGCAGGATGTCATCTAAATCATTAACAGAATGTGGCCTTTGTTGTTACACAAACAGGCTCTTCTTGAGGAAATGCTGTGACATGAAAAGAAATATTTTACTTGTCAGGACATCTTAATTATTTGACAGAAAATGACATATTTTTCACACACATTTGCTATAATTGTACAAATATACTTCATGTATCACATATGCATAAGCTATCGACTATGGGAACTCATTCATGTGATTTGTCCTATACTGTTAACATACTGACTTATAACTTTTAACATTAAGATTGAAATGTACAGATTTAGATAGGCCATATTATGCAGGGGTTTATCTAGCACATTTGTCATTTTACATTTTCAAATTTTTGAATTAATAAATTCACAATTCATGTTGCTTAACAAATATCATGGTTTCGTAGAGGTAACTTGTGCTTTATTGATTACGGCATACTGTAAAACATGGAGTGGAGTCTTGGAGTGGAGTCTCAGAATGGAGTCTTAATGTAAATATTTAGGTGACCAAGTTTGTTTTGTTTTGATCATAAGGGTAGCTATACAAGCACATTCATTTCACATCTGTAGCTGGTTGGTGTTATCAGTTTTATCAGAAGACAGGAGGCATTTTGTATACATGTATCAATTAGCCCTGTCAAATCCAGAAATGTCATTCTGTAACAGTACCATGCTGCCATCAAGAAGAAAAATGTATATGAATAGATGGAAGGATGGATGAATGGATGGATGGAGAAGCATGTAAATTATTTACAACCTGTAAACAAAATATTAATAATGGCATTATTTATTAGCCAAAAAACGACATATATAACATGTTCACATGTAAATTCAAATTTGTGTAGAGGAAGCGGTAGTGAGGGAAAAGGTACATAAATTAGGTCTATGCTAAGACATACTAATCATCAGGGAATATAACAGTTATTATTGCATGAATTATTTATTTCTTACTTAACAAATAAATTGATTACATAAGATACATAGCACTATATTATTCAAGAACTGGATTTGTTGTCAGTGATGGCAAAAGTAACTGTTCATAAGTCATAATTGTTTTGCTTTTTGTTCAGAAATAGCCATCTCTCTACATCCTTGAACTTACAAACAAAAAGCAAAAATAAATGTAGCAGAATATTTTGCAAGCTGATTGTTAGTGAGTTTTATCAGCTCTCTATGGCTTGGAAAATCCACTTGGGCAGTCCACTGGAATGTGACAGATTAGAGGAAACACATCACTGATACGATCTGCCCTCAGAATGTCAGAGAGCTAAAGGAATGCTGCTGAGGATTGCCATGTAAACATGTTTACAATCTCGATTACGTTGCTGTCTACAAATGAAAGTATAATTGCACAGAGTTCGAATTTGTGACGATTTATTAATAAGTTTGGAGTAAACTGACAAGCTTTAACAAACATTTCTTAGAGAGCTGTAAAAAAGAAAGACTAATCTCTAAGATGAGTAAGATAAGATATTTACTTTTGAAACCGGTGATTCCGGAGGTATAAACAACAACTGGGAAAAACCATGAATGGCATATTCTAGACAGTAATCAGTGTTTACAGAAGTGACAAGTGCACTTATACTCCATACTCCAGACTCCACTCCAGACTCCACTCCAAGGCTCCACTCCAAGACTCCACTCCATATTTTACAGTATGCCATTGATTACAGGACCAAAGAGTTTTTTGGGGGGCATGAATGATTATGAAAGATGTTAAACAACCAGAATGTGGTATGTGCAATACTGATAGGTTTGATTATTTGAATTTTCATCATTGATCAAGTAATGAGTTGTATTTACTCATATTAATGCTTTGACGTTTCTGAAATTGCAAGACCTATGGAGCATAAACTTTGCTTCAACAAAGTCAAATTTGCTATCTCTAAACATCTCATAGAATTCTGATTTGGCTATAATAATGGCCACATTGCTACTACATATTTTAGGGCGGTGGGTTATCTGATTTCCAGTTTGCCAAGGGAACCGAGCTTGAAACCCTTTGAATGAAGATAGTCCCTGGTATTTAAAGATAGTCTCATGGTCATACGTTTTTATTACTTGAGTCATACATTAGCCTCGACCAATATTGAAAACATGAAAAATAATGAGATTATAATGTAATCAGTTCCGCCTTTTTGGTAAATTCATTTGAAATCAAATCATGTGTGGGTACCCTTTTTGACAGCCATATTTTAAGTTATTAAAAGTGATGCACAAGTGATGATAGAAATACTAGTATGAGACACAAAAACACTTAGCCTAAAACACAACTAATTAAATACAACATAACCACAGGTTTTGTTCTTAAATGTCATGCAAAGTAGAGGTTTAAAAGATGCAAAATTATTCAAGACCCATATTTTGAACTATAAAATGCAAGTAACAGAATGCTACTGTAAGAGCAATGTAACTGGCTGGCAAAGTAAAACCCTTATCTCTGTCACTTGAAACAGTGTTGCAGTTGCAAGGGTAGTCAAAAACTGGATTTAGAAATCACAAAAGTTTGTTATTTAATTAGAATTATTTTGTGCATTTACTGTGATGCAAGAAACATAGAAAGATGAGTGACTCTGAATTGAGACTCATGTTTGTTATGTTCCAAATGCAATCAGAGTGGTATTAACTGTGTAGGTGCAAGGAAAAGGTGGTAAATGATTTCAGCAAGAAGTATAACTTCAACAATGCTTCTGTCATGTTTTGATTTGATATCATTGTGACCTACCACCTATGACCCTCACTTACTCCCACTTTTCTAGTGCTAATGCTTTTTCTGCATCTGTTAATGGTGTCTATGGTGCTGAGGGTTTGTAAGAACGATGCCAACTTTGGTATCTCTAAAACCTGACTAAAGAATTTAACTTCAACGTCTTTAAACATGGCTGCCATTACAAACATTTTGAAAATGTCATTTTCATCATTTTCTCCATGTATAACTTTTGAAGAATGTAGTAGGTGGAATAACAATGATATGATATGAAAATTGGCATATCTATGATAAACTATCGTCTATGACCATATTTTGTATGTTACAGTGGTGTAGTAAAGGTTGTAACATTTGCTGATTTCACATTCGTAATTCCAACCCCAGACACACTATCATAACTCACATACATCTATGAACCCTATTTTTTTTAAGCCCATGGTAATTTTAGAAACTGTTTTATTTGATCTGAACGCTAAATTGTGAAGTGGCAATTTGCATCAATTGTTGATTTAAAAATTAGGATCCTTTTGGTTTTGATTTGAGCTGTTTTCCAAAGATGAAGGAGCTGTAGGTAAAGTGGAGTCAAGTATTGGGGAAACAGTTCAGGAAATTCCACATTCAGTGACACCCTACACATGAAGTCATTACGTCACGAGCTGGACAATATATATGGTAGATACGAGATCGTATTCCATGTGACCTGACAAAAATGTAACAAAGAGTTATTCCATTACAGATTCCATCATGGAGTTTTGGCAGATAGCGACCATTTTCGTGTCGCTATATCAATACCAGTCAGGGGGCCTTTTAACAGTGTCACCGTTTTTCTTTCTTTGTAATTACCATGGAAACGTGCAGGAATTTGGTGTTGAGAGGGGTGAGGTTGCAATCAGTGTGTCGGTAGAAGGGAACCCTCATTACTATGTACCTGGGCAGTTTTATCAAGGTAAGTGATTTAGTTCTTTTTGTAGACAATTTTAGGATGTTTATGTCTTTTTGTGTGTGATTCTGTAATCATGAATATTCACAACCCAAAACAAGTATAGAATCACTAATTCATTTTTTAATACTGTTGTTAATTTGTGATGTCATGAGGATTTTCTGATTTGGATGAAAAGTGAAACAGTTTTAGAGAGGGCACCTGTTATTTTCATTGTGAATTAGAGCTTTGTAAATAAGATAAATGAAACTGTTATGTTTTTGTACCTTAACAACTACAAGAATCATTTTCATAAATATAATCTTACATTTTTAAATTGACTAACTTTGGAAACTTTGGATACATGCATGTTGTCATTTAAATGCTCAAATCAAATTAAAACGGAGCACTCAACATTTATCCAGGCTACACAAGTGTTTTTTGTTTGGCATCACTACACAGAAGGACAGAAAACATTTATTTCATTTAAATGAAGAACACTCTTGACAGATTTTCACCCAAAATGTGACTCTTTAGAAAAGAGCATAGATGGCCCTATTGGTGCAGCAGGTCTCTTTGACTGCCATTTTCTGACTATTCTGGGTTCATGTCCCAGATTTGTCCTGAATATATTTTTAATTTCCATATCTGCTTTTGTGGTTTTCAGTGAAGTGGTTTTGACTTAAAGCTGACATGTCATGAGATAAGTTGGTCGCTGTTTAAGGATACATCAATTCCCTCGCCCAATTATAAGGAAAATATTACTTTTTCATGGACAATCAAAGACACTATGGAAAATTTACATACAGGAACATAGCTTTCATACAGAAATATTAGAAGAACATTCAAATAGGAGACAGCCACATTTCGGTATGTTGCTGTTTGCAAAATTGAAGGCAATCTTTTGTGCAGTGATGCTGCTTTCTTAAAAGCACATGTACTTCAGGAAAATTTAATTTCGAATTGTGTAACTTGTAGAGTCTGGGTTAAACAAGTTGCTACCAAACTGCTGGTCTCAATATGTTTATTCAAGGTTAGAAAAGGTTCCCAGGAAGCTTGTCATATCTTTGGGATGCCAGGTTAGAACATGGAACCTGCAATCAAATGGACTTTTAAACCAGGTTCTATCCCAGAATCCCATCACTCAGACTGGTTCCTGGGAACCTATTCTAACTTTGGATCACCATATGAAGTAGCCACACGTTGCTTGGGACCTGTTTTAACCAGGCATCATGTAACAGGGCAGCTATAGTGATCCAAGGTTAGAATATCTTCCCAGGAACCTAGTCATGTCTGCCTGATGGGATTCTAGAATAGAACAGGCCCTTTTGACTTAATTCTGTTTCCCTGGAGTGATGTGAAGGATCAAAACCTCCTCCTCGGTTTTGTTTGAAAAAGTAAGCCCATGGCAGAGGGAAATTTCCCAATTCCCTGAGGCCAAGGGCTTACTTTTTCAAACAAAACCTCGGAGTTGGTTTTGATCCAACTTATAAACCGACCGAAGATATATACACTTTAGATATAATTATAATATTTGGCATTTACTTTTGAAATCAACTGGGATATGACTGGCAGCCAATACCTTTCTTTGCATGTGCTCTGCACGCGCTATCCGTGTCCTGCCATGTGCGATGCACGCACTACCCATCTTGTGAGGAACATATGGTTCATACTGACAAACAATCTCATTCTTCAAAGCGATCCTTCGTAGCCTAGTGGATAAAACCGCCAAGCTAGTAAGCGAAGAGTTGCTGGTTCAAAACCAGGCATCGACAATATATTGGAAGCTTTCAATAATGTGATATTTTACAATCGTATTCAGAAATAGAAAGACAAAAGTTATATCAATATTCGAAACAAGTAAAATAATTCAAAGTCAAGGGCTATTCCTCAGAAAATCCCTGGGTAGTGAGCAGTTCTGTAGAAAATCCCGGGATGCAGGCAGTTCTGTAGAAAATCCCAGGGATTTCTTGGAGAATGCCCTCGAAACTGCCTGTTGAGGTTTACTTGGTAAAATGGTAAATGGAGAAGCTGGTGAGACAATACATTGACGGAGGTAATTTTAATCAAGGTTATAACGGGTCTTCAGCAACCAATGTCTGTTTCCAATCAGGGTTTGCTGGTTAAACAGAACTCCAGCAACATGTATCCTTCTCAGTGCAGGGATGTAGGGTTACAGATTCCCACCAACGTCCAATTGCTTCCCTTTGGTTGTTCCATGTTCAAACAGGTCCCTGCCATTCAATGTCTCCCCACTGGGAGTCTGGGTAGGAACAGGTCCTACCCAGCTTCTACTTGTTTCCCAGTGTGGATTACTGTTAGAAGAGGTCCCCACTAACCTCATAATGTTTCCCTCCGGGTTAGCTTGAACACATGTACCCAGCAACCTGTGTGCAACATCCTGGATCTTGTGGTGACTTTGTGATTTGATTTATTGCTTAGGCCAGACCAATTTTATGTCTTGTTTTACGGATTTTTGTCCTCAGAAAACCTAAAGGCAGGAGGGGAAAAAAAAAAAAAAAAATCACCAGTCAAAGTAATATTCCTTCTAAATACTCAAAGTATTTTACTTTTGGCAATTTATGAAGTGTATATGTGAATCTAAGAATTGGTTTTGTAAGTTTACATTTTTGGCCAATAAAAACATTAGGATTTTATTTTTTGAGCGGGGAAAATTATTTTTATTTTTTTTCTTATTCTTGAAAAAATGCAACAGGCGGATCCGTAAAACAAGAAAGAAAATTGGTCTGGCCTTATTATAAAAACAACAACCCAAATCAGACAAATATACCTTATGACATCAGCGGATTATGACGTACTCGAAATCAGTGATTCGGTACACTAATGTTATATGAATGAAATATAAGGACACTCACTCAGTCAATGTATTGTAACTTTTACCTTCATGATGTTATTGATGTCATAAAGTGGATATATATGGTACAAACAATATATTTCATGATTATATTGGTTTTATAGAACACAATGGTCCATTTGCACTCAGTTATGCTATTGCTATGATGATGGGCATCGTAACTCCCATGTTCTTACATTGACTTAGGATATCTGAAAATAGGATCCGTTTGTGCTTGTCGAAACAGATGTCTGGTATAAGCAATATAGGGTGTGACTTCATTGATGTCATAGAATGCCAGATGTATATCAAAACCAATTTATGGCACGACTTCATAACACTCAGAAATATTCCAGCTATATGACGGTGGTCTGTAAATAATCAAGTCTCGACCAGACAATCCAGTGATCAACAGCATGAGCATCGATCTAAGCAATTGGGATACGGTGACATTTGACAAACAAGTCAGCGTGTCTAACCATCCCATCCCATTAGTCGCCTCTAACGACAAGCATGAGTTGCTGAAGACCAATTTTAACCCAGATCTTCATGGGTCAATGACTTCATTGCTGTCATAGAATGCCAGATATCTGTTACAAACAATAAAAGGTATGACAATGTATGGTGTCAAGGTTTTTGTCTGTATGGGTTACTGGTTTGGCTATAGACTATAATGAATTGATAAGCATTGCTGAGAGAACCATAGTTATTGTCTTAATCTTTAGTTGGTGACATTCCCTTAAGACCTTTAACCTCATTCTAGAAACTTACGTTTGACATTTGAAATGTAAACTGAAAATCTAGATTCCAACATGGTTCCACAAATATTTTTTAAAATTTCCTAGTGATGGGAGTTTTATTGTCTTGCTAGTGACCGTGTCATCCAGCATGAACTTTGACGGCTTCCTGTTGACGGGACTCTACACTCTGACCTCGGACCTCCAGTCCAGGATGATGGGTGGGCGGGGCTTCTTTGGCTCACAGCCAATGGGAACTAACCTGATGTGCTCCATTGTCCACTCCCATGTTAGCAGACAGCCGGTTCACGAGTTGGCCTTCATGTGGATGGCGCCATCGGAGGGCACTGGCTGCGTCAGCTTCTTGTAAGTAGAGGCGGTTCATCTCTCACATATTTGATGGGGTTTGGATTTTGTGGTTTGGTAGTTTCTAATATGACACTTTACCCCATGTAGATTCATGAGCAGAATAGATCCAGTTTACTCAATCTCTCCAGGGAATCCTTGGAGAAGAGTGCCTTGGGAAATGAGTTGGTCACCCTCTGGGATTTTACCACATACAAAGTGACGAAGGGGCAAGAACTAGCCCAGAAATGTTGTGTAAAATAAATCAAGAAGTTGTTATCCATAAGATTTGTCTTGTATTACTACACCAACTTCTAAATGCCTTTGAAGAATTTCACATACAATGTCTTCAGTATATCATCATTTTTCCCAAGGGGGGTCACAGGAGAAGATTACGTCCCAAGTACCTCATGCTTGTCTCCCATTCAGTTCCAGGACAGACAGGTCTCTTGTACCTCATGGTTGTGAAGTTTTGTGTGAGAACATTTTCATTTCCTTGACATCACATGTTTTCATCCTGATTAATACATTCTAGTAGATCATCCTGACTCTTTGTGAAATGTCTGTCCTCATCTCTCTTTCTACAGAGCAACTGCAACTTTAGGGCACCAGCTTCTGTTCAAGGACACCACTGTATTCCAGATGTGTGAAGAAGGAGGTGAGGGCTGGCTAGTACAGAGGGATGAGTTTGTTTAATTATTACATATAACAAAATAATAACTGAAAATACCACCGCTAATTGGTAAGGGCATGTGTGGTTCAGTGGCTTGAGTCTCTGAATAAAGCTTTTCAGAGCTGCATCCATTGGCTGAGCAATATTCGCTGATTGTTTATTCAAATTCTAAATATTGATCCTTCTTATCAATCCTTATATGAATGTTTGTGTTTAAAGCACGTACATTGTGCATTACTTTGGTCTTTCCTCTGTTATCACCTCTTGTCTTTCTTTTTAATCTCCTACTGGACCTGCCCCTTTGTGTACATTTTGGAGATGCAGAAATCAAATGTGCTACTCTGTTTATTCATGTCAAGTATTGGCCTAAAACTGATTGGGTAGTTAGTGTCCCAGACTAGCTTTCACTTTAGTGTCTCAAAGTATGATCAGTACCTCATCCTTTTCAGCAATTTAGATTTGTTTGTAGACGTCTTCCATGCAGGATGTTATGAGAATGTATGTCAATGGACCTATTCTGAATGAATCCCATATTCTTTGTCAGAAATATAAAATGTCAGTAAACTGTTAAATCCATAACATCTGTCACAATCATGATTATGATAATAATAACGTGCAGTTTAATCCTTCAGCGGCCACCACCTCGCCACTCCGACCAGAACTTGCCCAGATTCACTCCGACTCTGTGATCCTCAGGGACGACTTTGACTCCCAGCCTGGCTTCAGGACAGACCTCTGGTGAGGATTACTAATGAAAGAGGATAAACTATACTACTCCTAATATGAGAAGGAAAATTAAAAGTTCAAAAGTTGAGTAGGGTACAATAGTTACAAGATAGAAGGGTGAGAGACAGCGATGATCCTGATCAAGTCCAGTCACAACTCCTCTGTGTTGGAGTATACATGGTCAGCACAGCAGCATATCTGGTTAACTGCTTGTGCAGACGACACTTTTCACTTTCCATCCAAGGCCCACAACCAACAGTCAAGGGCCCTGTTCCTCAAAGCAATCAGCCCAGAGACCCATTTCACAAAGCGATTGTAGCACTATTAGGTGATCGTAACTCCCATACTTTAACATAGACTTACGACAGTCGTACCTCTACTATTGCTTTGTGAAATGGGCCCCTGGGATAGTCGTATGTCTATGGTAAAGTATGAGAGTACACTGGTCTTAGTGCTAAGACTGCTTTCTGGAAGAGGGCCCTGGGGTGTTATTCTTGAGGTAAAGGCGTTTAGAGCAGCAGTGTCATATCAAGTGTTATGTTGGAGCTTAGTTACATCATGTACTCCACAAGAGACAGGCATCTATGGATCAGAGTTCCTAGCTGTGTGCTTGTTATTGAAAATTTCTGCAAATTATGTGTTGTGGTGAGATTATATTTACTGCTACTCAGTTTCAGTTTTGAAAGGGATTGATTAAAAAATAAGACTCACCCAAATCAGCATCTAAAACGATATTATACACAAGGATTTCTTTTCTTCTTTAGAAGGGGCCTGGGTTGCCTCGCAACAACCCTTCATAGCAACTCAAACTTGATGGTAGATGTCAGTCTAGCACAAAAATGAATAACTATTAATAAAAATGTCAGTTTTACACATGGCGCTACTGATGATGAACCACTTTCCCTTGGTATAACAATCCTGTAAATTTCAAATAACTTTCATCAAAGAGATTTGTGCTGTTTCTTGAGCTGACATTATATGAGGGTCTGTGTTCCAGGCAGGCTACCGAGGGCGGCACAGTGGGTGACGGGTGTGGTGCCGTCATGTTTGACAAGGCTGCTGTGTTCTGCAAGAGGGAAGGCATCAGACAGATGGTAGGCATGTTGTCACTGACACTGTAGTACAGCATGGGTATGGGGAGGGGTCAGAGATAGATAGCTCAGCGATACAAGCCAGCCTTGATGAAGTTTGTTTGTTTGTTTGTTTGTTTGGTGTTCAGAGAAATATTCAAGCTAATGATGTAGTTATGAAAATAATGGTTTCTTGACAAGACAGTCTATTGATGGACATCATGAGAATTGGTATACAAAATTGGGATGCGATGACATGTGTCAGCAAGCCTGACTACTCAAACCTTTTGTCGCCTCTAACAACAAGCATAGGCTTCTGAAGTTCATCTTTATGGGGTTTTCCTGAAGATCCAGATGTAACTCCCCCTGTGACTTTAAGATGTGGGCTTGCATCATATCATTTCTATTCTGAACATGCAATATTTTGTTGAGATTTGGCTAATAATCTCTGTATACTATTCCCATTCCAGACTACAGTGCCCCTGAACATGACGACAGCTCGAGTTGTCCAGTTTGCGTTGTGTAAGTGTTCGATGGAACCAGACCTAATTTTCTAAGAAGATTAGAAGACAAAGGTTGCCTGATTAGAAGACACAGGTCCATAAGGGTACACACTTGTACCTTGTGGTGAATAAGGGATATAGTTGTCTTTGTGGTCCTTTTGGGGACCCAGGTAGCCTTGTAGTCCATAAGGGGAGAATTGAAGGTTTTCTTATGTCTAAGTAATCTGTAATTACTCTAACCTGTTGTCATGGGTAAGGCTGACGTTGTAGGATGTTTTGTTTTTTTACATGAATTAATTGAAGTAGATGTGAATTTTCATGCACGTTGGCAGCTGCTGGGACGTGTGGGCGCAGCGACAGCGAGGACCGTGACATCATTGTGATGTTTGGGACACATGGCTGCACACAGTGGGAGGAGATAGAGAGGCTCAGGTGAGGGAACCCTGGTTGGAGGAGGTGAGGTCACATCAGCGTCAGAGAGGAATGTGTATGTGCCCTAGGATTGCTCATGTTATTCTGGGTATGAGGAACTGACTTGGAGCAGTGTTTCTGATGACTGCGTTGCCCATGATTGAAAGACTGTTATTGTTTAGATCATGAGTGAGTGAGTGAGTTTAGTTTTACGCTACACTCAGCAATATATGAAGGCAGTCTGTAAATAATCGAGTCTGGACCAGACAATCCAGTGATGAGCATCGATCTGCACAGTTGGGAACCAATGACATGTGTCAACCAAGCCAGTGAACCTGACCACCCGATCCCATTAGTCGACTCTTACGACAAGCATGGATTACTGAAGGCTCATTCTAACCTGGACCGTCATTGTTTCACATCGTGAAAATTAAGATAAAATGTTTTCATCAGAGCCAGAATAGTTTTGTTATAATGATGTTCTAAATCATCCATACCAAAACACAAGCATGTTATATACTAAAAAAAACGTAGCACAAAAGTAAATTTTTTTTGAATATCTGTGTTTTGACGTTATTCATACAGAATGAATTCTAAGTATCAATTTCTAATATTTGCATGCATTGGGAGTGATTTGTGTGGGTAGAATAAAGTATGGCCTCAAAATACTGAAAAGTGGGAGATGGCCTCAAAATACTGAGAAGTGGGAGAAATGGTAGCCAGGTTTTTCCATATATTGCCAAGCACCATTTCAAGACTATGGAACTGTTTACAGATGCAGGGGTCAACACGTGACCTTCCCAGATCCAGTCATATAACTGGAATACAGCTGTGGGTGGTGTTAAAAAACCAAGTGGTACAAGTGGTATACAAAGACGTATACAAATTGCTGCAGCTCTCACTCGACTATTTTCCAGACCACCGACCAGCAGTGAGGCCGAGATTCACCTGGTGACTTTACCTGTGGAAGCCAGGAGAGAGGGCATCTGTCTGAGGTGGATTCAGACCCCCTACCCAACCACCTCACCTGCCCCTCCCCTAACCACACCCCCTGTGTTCATAACAGAACCACATCACTTCCCTGAGAGAGTCCATAATGAATCTCAAGCATCGACACATGCTGACACTACAATCCTGCATACAGAGGCCATATCTACAGTTATGTTGACAGACCCCCCTACAACGCATCCACCAGCCTATCTATCCACTAAACCATCCACTCAACCAATCACCCAAACATCCACTCAACCAACCACTCAACCAACCACTCAACCAATCACCCAAACATCCACTCAACCAATCACCCAAACATCCACTCAACCAATCACCCAAACATCCACCCAACCAATCACCCAAACATCCACTCAACCAATCACCCAAACATCCACACAACCAACCACCAAAACATCCACTCAACCAATCACCCAAACATCCACTCAACCAATCACCCAAACATCCACTCAACCAATCACCCAATCATCCACTCAACCAACCACTCAACCAACTACCCGTCCACCAACCAATCCAACCACCAACCCTACCACCCACCAAACGACCTACCCCCCACTGCCCCTTTTACCCTCCCAAGATGAGCCCTCACATTTCACCAAGTTCAGAAAGGGAACCAAACATCGACAACATGATGGTGCTACATTTCTCAAGAAGGGTTTGTTCCGAACCAAGCGACACCGCCGTGAGTTGCGAGCACTCACATCCAACACATTCAAGAGCTGCTGGGCCATAGATAACGTACTAGTTGTAAACATAGCTCACCCACCCTCACAGCTGCAGGAGACATTTGACCCCGTGGATCCAAGCAACTGGATGTTCTTTCCGGGAGGTAATATACGGGTAGGTGCCATGAGATAAGTTGTTTCATCAATATGCTGTTTCGTAGAATGTGATCACAGCTTATCCTTACCTTATTTATGCACCCATGAACAAAAAAAGGCAAACCTTCCAAGGGTAAGTTCTAAACTGAACACCCGAATCATGACATTACAATGAAATAACCCAACCTAATGTTTCTTGATATTGTTGCTCTAAAATGTGGGGGTGGTTGGGGTAGCATAGTGGTTAAAGTGTTTGCTCGTCACATTGAAGGCCTGGGTTCGATTCTCCACATGGGTACAATGTGTGAAGCCCATTTCTGGTGTCCCTTGCCGTGATATTGCTGAAATATTGCTAAAAGTGGCGTAAAACTAAACTCAACCTGTTTTTAATAATCTCTCTGGGGCTACAGTGACATGTGTTTTTATGCTTGTGTTGTTATCACATATTGTTTGATATTTTTTTACTGCAGTTTTACTTCATATTCTACATGTACAAGATAGTGGGAAATAATTATAACCTGTTTTTCAGACATGATTTTACTCAGAAAGGCACCTTACTGGGAGCAAATTGATTTCTTTGTACCAGAGATTCTGCAGAAATAATTAACAAAATAAATCAAGACATTCTTGGGTTGGGTGGATGGTTGGTTGGGTGGATGTGTTGTAGTGGGGTCTGACAACATACCTGTAGATATGACCTCTTGTTTCCTGCCATCGAAAGTATTGTCACACACACCTTTGATATTCTAGGAACCGCAACCTACCTTTTGTAATCAGCATTTGGTGAATCCGTACATGACACTGCCAACTGATCAGTAGTCCTTCAATTGATTTCCTTCACAGAGGTGTTCATGGCAGCACTGGCGCTCGAAACCTCGGACTGACTAGTCACATTTGAACATTCAGTCCGATTCGAACAATAGATTGTCGCAGATGTCTCCATTTCAATAACTTTCTGTTTTTCAGTTACTTTTTGTTTTTGTTTTGTCAATTTAATGTACATTTATCAGTTTTCCATTAAAATAAATAGTATTGGCATAATGATGATTTACAGAACAATTTTTTTACACTTTATATTTGTTGCTATGTTGCCTCCTCAGCAAACATGCCAGTCAGACAGCAGCACAATGACCTTCACCGAACCAAATCAGACATTGAACTACATGGTGACCCGTGACCTTGACCTTAAACCTGATGTCAGCTCCGACAGTTTCCTGTATGAACAGTTTGAATCGGGAGTAGATTCAACGTAAGGACCTATCATTGTTGCTTGAATGAAAATATATCTTGGTGAAACAATAGCATCCTTGGAATAATTTATGAATTTAAACTTTTGGAAAACAGAGAGAAGGCAGTACTCATCATGTTTTTTTTATATTAATTCTTGGTTTACTTTTATTCAAGCTAAAGCTTAACATCTTTGATGGGTATTTTGGAAGTTGAAGTGATGAAGAATGATGATAATTTTCTGGATATGTACAACTACAATGTGGTTTCTAGTGATCACTTGCCTGACAACAACATCAGACTATGTTGAAACGTCGCCTTTCACAGAATATAGAAGTTGTATATTCTTAAAGTGATCATCATTCTAAACCTCAACTAATGAAATTGAAATTTGTCTCCAGCTGGAGTGTTATAGGTGGCGCCACCAATGTTTTGTGCGGTATTGTGGACAAGCTGAATGCTCTGGTGATGTTTGAGACGGGGAAGCGGCAAGTCTGCACTGACTTCATGGACATGACAACTGCGAGCAACGTCCAGTTTGTCTTTGGGATAGGTCAGCCATAAGACTACTTGTTAGGAAGTCAGACACTTTTGTCTGCTTTGATGTTGCTAAGTATTGCCATAATAAGCTGTAATATTTCTGCAGTGTTACTGTGTTATATCTATGTTATTATTAGTTACCCTTTTAAAACACTGTATGACGAATTTATCTTTTTTTATCTTAAGATATTTTTATTTAGCTTATCTTTAAACAACAACATTCAATCATTGGCAGAATGAGATGCAAAACGTTTCGCTATGATTTTTCCTGAACAGTCAAAAAGGGAGATAACTCGGATGCTTAGTTTATGATGAAAATTATCGAATTTGAGGTTTTGTTAAATGACAAGTGTATGTAGTGTATCACATCGCTACCGTGCAAGTGAATAAAATGAATATCCTCAATCCAAAGTTTAACAAATCAATACATTACAGTGTAATACAGAAACATTTTACTTTTTGGATATATTTATTGACACAAACAAATAAGAAGTTATGGCAACAATTTTATTACTCTGTTTATACTCATAATTGTATATGCCAACTCTAAAATTTCAAAGCAATCAGCCGGTTGGCAGCCACATTCCATCTAAGGTCAAGGTCATTCATACAACCCGTGTAGTGTGTCACATGACAGATTTGCCAGGGTGTATGAAGCGTACACCCCGTCAAATCTGCCTACAGGGTTTGGTATGCTTTGGCTATTGACCAATCAGAATTCATTAAATTTATCTAAGGGTAATAAGTTACAATATTATAGCATCATTCTCACAGTATTAATGTATTATAGCTTCATCGTCACAATGTTACTGTATTGTAGTAGTTCTGCTGTAGTATTGATGTGATATTGCTACAATGTGATTTCAATGTTGCTGTGATACTGCTGTCATGGCACTATGATACTGCAACACTGTTGCCAGGATGCCAGGATGTTGCTGTAGTGTTGCCTTGAAATTGTTAACATAATGTTGTACAATACTGCACTGATGTTGCTATAATGTTGCTGACGACGTGTGTTCCGCCAGGCGTGGGTGGGTGCCACTCATCAGAGAAAGCGGCCAGCTTTGTGCAGGTGTACATGGAGGACCACAACGGCAACACATACTTCATCGACAAGCTCAAGCCAGAAGACTACAGGGTAGGACATTGTCATCATCAGAGGCAGTGGGGTAGCCTAGTGGTTAAAGTGTTTGCTTGTCATGATGTAGATGCAGGCCCGAATCTACACAAAGGTACAATGTGTGAACCCTTTCTGGTGTCCAGGTGCAGTGTTATTGATAGAATATTGCTAAAAGTGGCATAAAACCCCCTAGCCACTCACTCATCAGGATTGCTTGCAGTGATCTGATTAAGTGCTGATTGCTACCCATTGTAAATGAAACTGACTTGACAAGCATGTGACAGGCCACTGCTGTCCATTAAGGAAAAGAAATTATAAATCCTAGTCGGAACGGAGGCTGTGAACTGTGCTTTAACAATGGCACACTGGTGACTGACCCTTGTGTTTCAGCAAGCGAGGTTGGTGTCCCTCCCACTGACGTCGGTGGGCCGGGTGTCGGAAGCGAGGATCTGCTGGCTACAGAAGTTTAACACGGGTCCTTATCGAGACATCTGGGTGTTAGATGGCGTCACTGTGCTGCCATACATACCCTCAACAACTGAGGCGGTGGTGCAGTTCAGCATCAACATGGAATGTGGACTAAACTTACAACAAAACAGGTGTGATTTTCTGCTGTGGTTAGGGGCCCCTTTCAGTTTTGGAGAGAGCAGTAGAACCCAGTAGTCTTTCATTGAAAATCAATGTGCAGAGTTGTGTCCCTTACCTGCTAAGGACAGTGGTTTGGTTTCAAATACATATGGATTGTTAAGATTGGTTTGTACTTTCAGCCAATGATTATGGTTCTCATAGAGTTGTTTTTGAAATTGTTGGAAATGTTGTCTCAACACCAGAACCTACTGACAGTGCCACAATACAAACTCAAGTCCTTTGGTCAGAGATCTTTTGAACATTGTGCCCCTACATGTGGAACTTTCTTCCCCAAGATCTTAAACTTTCTCCAATGTTTGATTCTTTCAAAGCGAGTCTCAAAATTTATCTTTTCCGCCAGTTGTATGAATCATACTAACATTGTCATCATCCCTTCCTATGTACTTTTGATTGTTGCGCCTTGAGCATGCTGCTAGCGTGGAAATGAGCGCATTATAAATGTGCACTATAATTATTGTTTTATATTGGCTAACTATGGAGTAACATATGTATTTTCATACTGATCAATGTTGTTGTTTGTTTGTTGTGGCAGCAAAGAATATTTCCAATTTTGATTCCCCCCAGCATCAACCTGGAGTACAGTACAGATCATGGAGACACATGGTACACCCTCCACCAGCCATGTCTGTCTGGCCATTGTGACGGCATCTACCAGCCGCTCTCCTCCACTGTCCACAGCAAGGACCACAGCCAGTGAGCATAAGCTGTAGATTCTCTTTTATTTGTTGCATGTATCTTACCTCCCTTAATAGTGCCAGGATGTACTAGTCAACTCTCAGGACCACAGCCAATGAGTATTAGCTGTACATTCAGTTGTATCTTGTGAAATGTCTTACCTCCCATATCAGTGACAGGATCTGCTTGTCAGATCTCAAACAGTGAGAACCCATGAAGGTCCGGGTTAGAATGTACCTTCAGTAGCCCATGCTTGTTGTGGATTGGTTGACACATGTCATCGGTTCCCAGTTGCGCAGATCAATGCTCATGCCGTTGATCTTTGGATTGTCTGGTCCAGACTCGATTATTTACAGACCACCGCCATATGGCTGGAATATTGCTGAGTGTGGCATAAAACTCAACTCGCTCACTGACTCACTCAAACAGTGAGTATTAGCTTTGCATTCAGTTGTATCTTACCTCATTAACTCATAACGGGATCTGCTGGTGCACACCAAGGATCTCAGCCAGTGAGTATCAGTTTTACATAAGGTGAAACTTATGTACTGTCTTACCTCCCTTACATATGTTAGGATCAGGTGGTCAGGGTTTCAGTACTCTAGATTCGCCAAATAATGATCCTTGGTTTGTTATCGCCATATGATAGGTAGTTACTTCTTTAACCAATGACCTCGATCACTTCGGACTTTCATCCCACATCAAGCTGACATTCTCTGAAGCAGCCGAAGTACAGTCATGCCTCATTTATCTGGACACTTGTGTATTTCTTGAAATTGTCCGGATAAACGAATTTCCAGATATCTGAACCAAGGACCATATTTAAAAAGATATACAAAGAAACGAACATAATAGACCTCAAACACAATACTTATTGATAAGACATCAACAAATAACAATGCATGCATAAAATCACATCGTGTCAAATAAAGTAGTCAAGTCAATATCACGTGCGAACATACCTGTACATGCATCTGTTTGTCAAATCACGAAACAGTTCTGATGTCATCCACGCTTTCGCATTGTTCCTGCACCTAACATAAACTTCCGGATTAAAGTCGCTACCAAAACAACGGGGACATCTAGCCTTGCCAATCACAACTCAAAATTAACTCAGTGTCACCTTGCTAATTACAGGTAGTTAATCCTCTCACGCTTCAAAGACTGCCGACTTCTTTTATGTTAGGGCATGCAAGGACACTCAGTAAAATACGCGAGTAAACATACTGACAGGTGCTCAGCCATCCGGATATACAAGAAAATAATGCATATAAATTAGCGTTTTGCATGTAAAAATGACCGTCCGATTACGAAAACCGGATTTCCGGATAAGTGAGTTATTTTACAACGTTGTGAATTCGTTTTAAGGAATTTTCGTTTGGAAGGCGAGTTTTTCGGATATCTATAGAATATTGAGTAGAGCTTCATACATCAAACAAACAGAAATGTTTTCCTACTTCATTGGCAAGACTCTTAGATGGTAACTTTTGACTTTGATAAAGATCTACTAATTATCAGAAGACAGGATGCTGGGATTATATATTTTTCTGTAAAATTGTTCGACAGAGGAAACTGAGCGGGTAACCTCTTCTTTGAAGCAAAATGTTTCAAATTATTAGGAATTTGATGACATTTATCTTTGTATGTAAGTGTCTTTGTTGACGTTTTCAACGGTTAACTGTACATACGATTGAGCAACTGTACCTTGGCAATATGTTTAATAGTATGCATTCAAAATCACAGTCTTCAGTGGCACTGTTAATAATTTATGGCTAGAGGGGGTGATGATGATTTTATGGAGAAGCATGTACAAAGTAAGTGAGCCCCCCTGCACGTCATGTACAAAATCAATGACCCCCCTTCTCCTTCCCATATTTTAAAAATATTTTTATGTACAAAATTGCTGACCCCCCTAGTACAAGTGTACAAAATTGCTGAACCCCCACCTCCCCAGAACAAAGTGGGTGACACCCCCACCCCATAAAATCATCACACACGCACACACGCACGCACGCACGCACGCACGCACACACCTAGCTATCAATTATGAATGGTCCCTAAGACAAAACTTTTACTCAGTAGCCACAATGTTCTTTACCAGGTGGACACGCTTCACGTTCCCGATCCCATACAAGGCGATGATGCCGTACACTAGGTTCCGCTGGAGACAGGTGGATGAGTCTGGGGCCCCGAACTGGGCTGTGGATGATGGTAGGTAGGAGGAACTTCCTCTGTTATAACCATGTTAAACCTGTATAATGAGTACACATTGCTGAATTCAATCAGATGACCTGGTCATACCTGGAAAATAATTCAGTTTTCTTTTTGCCACAAAATTAATTGCCTGATTTAAAAGAACATGAATTCTCAATGTATTTAGATGAAAATGTCAATATGTTGTTAATAATAAAAACATGTCAATATTTATCAGATATTTACAAAAATAAATGTTTGATATGATGTTTTTGAGTTAGTCAGTGTTAAGACACCTGGTTTTCATTTCAGTGTTCATTGGCAGTTGTCCCGATGGCTGTAACAACCATGGCACCTGTGGGTTGGAACAGTGCAGGTAGGATACACATAGATCAACAGACTCCTTTAACTTCTTAGTAATCTGTCTTTTAGACCCTGAAACAAATATGTCCAAGAAAGCCCATGCAAGTCTAGACAATGTGGCAAGTCTAGATTTCCACGGTTTCTGAAAATAAAGAAAGTCTTAGGGCTCCTTTTCATTACACTTTCATCTTTTTTATTATGAACTGGGCTTTTTCTGTAAAATATGTTCATTTCAGAGACTAGTTGTTAGGTGATCATTCTTTTGAGGGATCATTCCATTAGAAATATATTTTTCAGGTATTTTTTACTTTTTTAAAAATTGTTTTTAAAAACAACAGTAAACCCTGTCCTAAATAGACCCATATACAGTAAAAGCCACAACCCAAATAACAAAATATTGGAAGATATTATTTCTGGTATAGTAATAGTTTCAAATACAATTTCTTCTAATCAGTGCACTAAAATTTGTTTTGAGTATAATATTAGTGAATAAAGGTCTTGAGGATATCATGTACTGATGACATTACCACAGAACCTCTTGATATCAGTGATGTTGCACTTTATGCAGGGTTCATGTTTATACTTGGAATGACAATAACTGTTCAAAACTCAGAAGTATGGATTACAGTTCTAAGTGAATGAACCCACTTGGTCTCTCATGCAGGATTTGTAGGTATGCCATTCCTTCCTGACAGGAATGTTCAAGGTCACATTGTATCTGATCGTCTGGAACTGTACCAGTATTCATGGATAGATGTACTATTGTTTTACTGCTTGTCTCCAGTTGTGACTTCAGCTACAAGGGTGCAGGGTTCCTGTTTTGTACATTGTTCTATGACATGGAATGACAAGAATATAGATTACAGTTCTAAGTGAACGAATCCTCTAAATCTCTCTCCCAGGATTCTTAGGTACACCGTTCCTTCTTAGCAGGAACGTTCAAGTTGAGATTGCGTCCAGTCATCTGGAACAGTACCAGTGGTCATGGATAGCTGTACTATTGTTTAACTGCTTGTTTTCCAGCTGTGACTTCGGCTACAAGGGCGCCACCTGCAGGGATCCTGTAGTTCCCAGTCCTTCATCTTTCATGGAGAGTTTTGAAGACCCCATAGTAGTGACATCATCGATGTTGTTTACCATCCACGGGGCGACGGTCACCTTTGACTGTGGCGTCATCTCAGCAGGAAAGTCCCTTGTCTTCAATGGCAATGGACCAAGAGTATTCCTCACAACTGATTTCAATACAACAGATGCACAGTCAGTATATGTATTTAGTTATTTTGTTCTCCTGGCTGATTGTTAAGTGATCTATTCTCATCGTGCTAGAAAATGAATTGCAAGAATTACAAAAGAACATGAATTCTCAATGCATCATCACACATGATAAACCACTGGCCCAGTGAAGCTGAAATTGCACATACTTGTTCCTGCCACCAATGATGAGCATGAGATTGGCAGCCATATTGAAAAAAATATACACTGCCATTAATTTGACATGTTTTGTGCCAGTTGTAATTAAATTTGGTGTGCTTTTGCTTTGTTTTGAGATTTGTAATTTATTCTATTTTTGACGGGGTTCAAGAAGGCAAAATTGGTTTGCAAAATACTGTCAGAGGTGATTTTAGTAAGAACATCTTGAAACATGACAGTAATTTGATTTGACCTACGAGTCACTCATTAGTATAGCACAAACTCCAACTTTGAAATCTGCTGATGCTCCGTTCCTGTTACCCCAAGATACCTCCAGTACTCTGTGCGAGTAGGGAGTCTGTCCACAACCTCAGACTGCCCTCCTCCCGATGACACGTCCGAGTCGGTCTACCTCGAGTATTCCTGCAATGGTGGCATCTCTTGGCACTTCCTGCGAGAGTTCTCCATCAAGGACTATCAGTCACCACGGTAACAGTTCAGTTTATTTTCATATGTTTTTCAAAAGAAAAGAGAGATGAAGAAGATGTCTAGTTGGGAAGGGGGTCTTTGAATCATTTTCCACAATTATTTCCAACTATTGTTTTCTCCCACTGTGAAAAGGGTATTATGGTTATAATTTATTTCACAGATAATGTTTACCCAAGTTAGTCATGCATTGGGGCTTGTGTAGTACTCATGTAAGCTTAACCCTAGTGAATGTTAACATCACAGCCTGTTATGCATTAGGGACTGTATTCCACAGATAATCTTAATCCTTGTCAATCATGTATCATATTAACGTCACAGCCTAGTCAATGATTATCAGATTAACATCACAGCCTGTTATGCATTAAGGACTGTATTCCACAGATAATGTTAATCCTAGTCAATCATGTATCAGATTAACATCACAGCCAGCCATGCAGCAGGGCATGTGCATTTCACTGAATCAGTAATTCCAACAGCCAATCATACAATCTTGTGCATTTCTTTCAGAGGAGATGCTGTGTATCTTCCAAATGCTGCTCGAGACTCATCGTGTAGATTCCAGTGGCGACAGCCAAATCACTCCGGTAGTGGCCATGATGTGTGGGCAATAGATGAAGTCAGTCTGGCTAAAAAACTCTCCAACACACTGAGTATCGAGGCAGCAGATATGAAAGACATGGATGAAGAACTTACAACAAATCTGGGCCAACTCGTGGACAGTTACTGTGGCGCTCCCAAGAGTATTAAGTGATTGATTGCAGTCCCAGTACCCAATGCTTGTCTCCTTGTGGAGAATCCAGGTCAGGATAGGTCCCCATGCTTGTCTCCCTGTGGAGAATCCAGGTCAGGATTGGTCCCCATGCTTGTCTCCCTGTGGAGAATCCAGGTCAGGATAGGTCCCCATGCTTGGAGAATCTTCAGGATAGGTCCCCATGCTTGTCTCATTGAGAATCCAGGTCAGGATTGGTCCCCATGCTTGTACCCCCCTGTGGAGAATCCAGGTCAGGATTGGTCCCCATGCTTGTACTCCTGTGGAGAATCCAGGTCACGATTGGTCAGCCATGCTTGTCTCCCTGTGGAGAATCCTGGTCAAGATGGGTCCCCCATGCTTGTCTCCCTGTGGAGAATCCAGGTCAGGTTAGGTCCCCCATGCTTGTCTCCCTGTGGAGAATCCAGGTCAGGATAGGTCCCCCATGCTTGTCTCCCTGTGGAGAATCCAGGTCAGGATAGGTCCCCATGCTTGTCTCCCCTGTGGAGAATCCAGGTCAGGATAGGGTCCCCCATGCTTGTCTCCTGTGGAGGAATCCAGGTCAGGATAGGTCCCCATGCTTGTACCCTGTGGAGAATCCAGGTCAGGATAGGTCCCCCCCATGCTTGTACCCCTGTGGAGAATCCAGGTCAGGATAGGTCCCCCATGCTTGTACCCCTGTGGAGAATCCAGGTCAGGATAGGTCCCCATGCTTGTACCCCTGTGGAGAATCCAGGTCAGGATAGGTCCCCCATGCTTGTACCCCTGTGGAGAATCCAGGTCAGGATAGGTCCCCCATGCTTGTACCCCTGTGGAGAATCCAGGTCAAGATAGGTCCCCATGCTTGTACCCCTGTGGAGAATCCAGGTCAAGATAGGTCCCCATGCTTGTCAAGGTCAGGATAGGTCCCCATGCTTGTCTCCCTGTGGAGAATCCAGGTCAGGATGCTTGGTCCCCATGCTAGGAGTGGAGAATCCAGGTCAGGATAGGTCCCCCATGCTTGTCTCCCTGTGGAGAATCCAGGTCAGGATAGGTCCCCCATGCTTGTCTCCCTGTGGAGAATCCAGGTCAGGATAGGTCCCCCATGCTTGTCTCCCTGTGGAGAATCCAGGTCAGGATAGGTCCTCCATGCTTGTACCCCTGTGGAGAATCCAGGTCAGGATAGGTCCCCCATGCTTGTCTCCCTGTGGAGAATCCAGGTCAGGATAGGTCCCCCATGCTTGTACCCCTGTGGAGAATCCAGGTCAGGATAGGTCCCCATGCTTGTGCCCCTGTGGAGAATCCAGGTCAGGATAGGTCCCCCATGCTTGTACCCCTGTGGAGAATCCAGGTCAGGATAGGTCCCCCATGCTTGTCTCCCTGTGGAGATCCCGGGTCAGAATTGGTGCCCAGTTCCCCATGCATGTCTCCCTTGAATCTAGGTTATGTTATGCCCCTACTAACCCTTATATGTGTCTGTGTGGAGATTCCGTATCAGAAGATCAATAAAACATGTCGCATCAATCAGAATATTGCTGAGGAGATTTTGAAAGTGAAACGTTTGAATGTGTTTTCTAATCATACAACCCTGGAAAGCCGCAGTGACTGAGCGGGTTAGGCGTCTGACTTTGTGTGCTGGCGATTAGGTGCCTGACTCTGAGGGTGTGGGTTCAAATCCATGATGGGACTCAACCCAACGAAAGTGCTAGAATCTGTACTTTACAGACATAGTGTAATCCCATATATAACATCTGTAACCCTGGAATGGTCAGCAGGGGCTGGATGACTTTTTCTGAAGACTAGACATTGTCTATCGCTTGCTTCCATGAGGAGAACATTTCAGAATCACAAATCCCTTTGGGAAGTACTGCCTACACAGTCTTGGGCCACCTATTAAACATTCCAGAATATTCATTTGTTCATATTTTTAAATTGCCAACATTGCGTCATTATCACCAAGGTCCATGTATGAGTGGACAGTTGAATTTCATTAACAGTCACAATGCTCATCCTGCTTGGTACCCATTCATTGCTTGATTAAACAAACCATATTTAAAACAAAATACTTTTCCCAAGGGGGCACACATGCAACGTGCCTTTCAGTGTGTGCTGAGGCCCATGCATCTGCTCTCTGCACCCATTGTTGCCTAACTTTGCATGATGTATGGTCTGTGCACTGAATACAAGATCACGTGGCAACACCAGTCACGGGTTGTTATGGTTATGAGGTGTTGATGTAGGCTTGACATAGGAAATGTGGAGTCACAAATGTGAAGTCATAAGCAAATCAGATTAGAATGCTAGTGAACACCTTCTTGTTACAGACACCTGTCATTCTTTCAATACAAGAGACAACACTTCTTGTCAGTTTTGCAGGAAAGGAGAAGAATGGACAAGACCGATTCCTAATGACGGACACAATGCAGATCGGTCCGTCCTACATGGCACAATTTGACCTTGTGATGGGTTGTCACACGGCATACACAAAGGACATCGACAACCGTGTGTATCTGGAATACTCCATTGACCATGGTTCCAGCTGGTACCTGGTGCAGGAGCCGTGCCTGCTGCCGATGTTGTGTGAGGAGTACCACGCAGGGACGGTGTACGACTCCTCACAGTTTCAGGACTGGACACGGACGACGGTCTTGCTGCCAGAGGACACGTGGTAAGTGGATCAATTGTTGAATTAGTTCTTTGATGGGAAAACAGAAGTAGTTGTGCAGAGAGACTCAAGCTGTGATGGATGTGAAGTTCTGAAATATTATTTTAATGGTATTTCATAAGTTTGTCAAAAGAACTTTAAGATTCTAAAGACTTCATATTACTAACATTAATATGTCACCGTCCCTTAGTAATGTGAAAGGATTTGGTGTTCTTTAACTTCTTTGTACATATTTACTAGTAGTATATATATATAATCTAATATATATATTTAATTCAAAGAAGTTACAGATTCTAAAGATTTCATGTAACTGTAGTGAGGAAGTCACCATGACAGATGAACTGTAGAAATAAGAAAGGATCTGGTGTTCTTTAACTTTTTTTGAGTAGTATATCTTGTTTCTATCATGGGGGGCGGTGGGGTAGCCTAGTGGTTAAAGCGTTGCTATTCGTGCAAGCCGAGGACCATTTTCTGCATCCCCACATGGGTGGAATGTGCGCTATTCGAAGCCCATGGGTGGAATGTGTGAAGCCCATTTCTGGTGTCCCCGCCGTGATGTTGCTGGAATATTGCTAAAAGCGGCGTAAAACCAAAACTCAGTCAGTCAGTCAGTGTTTCTATCATGTGTACAGTATTAAACTATTTTTGCTACAGTTAATTGGAATTTTGCAAACATGTTGCCACGATAAATTTAGATTACAAATAATCTGACAAAATGGAAGTCATGTGATAAATGTAACTATTACTTACACCATTGGTGAACTGTCAGGTCGCCAGGGACCAAGTTCAGATGGCGCCAGTCCAACTGGAACCCAACCGACTCCTGGGCAATCAAGCGGATATATATTGGGCAGCAGTGTCCATTCATGTGTCACGGCCACGGCAAGTGTAACGAAGGAGTGTGCAAGTGAGTACATATGTACAGACTGTTCCACTATGCATGAAGTGATGTTGTGTTACAGTGTATACCCATTGTCTCCCTGATGGAGATTATGATGATGATCATTATATCGGCATTTTAGAAGTTGGTCATTCAATAATGAAGCCTATGACTTTATGTTCTGGATTTATTGCTTATTTCAGTGTAGATTCTTACACCATTATCAAGCTAAGAGTCACTTTTACAATAAATTAAGAAAGATAACACCATTATCAGGGTAAGACGTTGTTATCCATAGTCATATTCTTGATGATGATGATGATGATGATGATGATGATGATGATGATGATGATGATGATGATGATGATGATGATGATGATGATGATGATGATGATGATGATGATGATGATGATGATGATGATGATGATGATGATCGTCCTTCAGGTGCGATGCAGGATTTACAGGTGACACCTGCCAACCGAGTACCGTGATGGACACTGACATGCATGCTGACTTTGGTATGAGATATGAGCCAGAGGAGGACTTCCATCGTATCATCGGTGGTGATGTTGTTCGCAGCAACCAAGGATGTGGACCTATACTCTCCGGAGAGTCAATATACTTCTTCAAGGTCAGTTAGATCATACCGTTTGATATTACAAGGTCAAAGGCCAACTCATTTCCTGACAAGTTTCATGTAAGGGAGACACAGGAGTTCCCATTTGCCTGAGGCCTCACAATTTTCTGGGCAGAGTTGCATCCCTTAGGCAAGCATAAACGTATGATAGGGTTTTATTCCCAGTTTGCCATGACAATGTTTCTGTTAGGTTGTGAGCCATATTTGTTGATTTCACCAAAGATTTACGCATCTAAAACCTACATCACAGAATACGGATATAATTATGTTCAAAATGTCATTGTTCAAAACAAGTCTGCTTGCATAATTTAGCCACAGAGTGCAGCTCTACAAACTACCATGGTATGTCCAACTACGTTGGTATACTTAATTACCGTGGTATATTTAACTACCATGGTATATTTAACTACCGTGGTATGTTTAACTACTGTGGTATATTTAACTACCATGGTATGTTTAACTACGATGGTATATTTAACTACCATGGTATATCTGACTACCATGGTATATCTAACTACCATGGTATGTTTAACTACCGTGATATGTTTAACTACCATGGTATATTTAACTACCATGGTATATCTAACTACCAAGGTATATTTAACTACCATGGTATATTTAACTACCATGGTATATCTAACTACCATGGTATGTTTAACTACCGTGGTATGTTTAACTACCATGGTATATTTAACTACCATGGTATATTTAACTACCATGGTATATCTAACTACCAAGGTATATTTAACTACCATGGTATATTTAACTACCGTGGTATATTTAACTACCATGGTAGATATAACTACCATGGTATATTTAACTACCATGTATATTTAACTACCGTGGTATGTTTAACTACCATGATATGTTTAACTACCATGTATATTTAACTACCATGTATATTTAAATACCATGGTATATTTAACTACCATGGCATGTTTAACTACCATGGTATATTTAAATACCGTGGTATATTTAACTACCATGGCATATTCAACTACCATGTATATGTAACTACCATGGTATATATAACTACCATGGTATATTTAACTACCGTGGTGTATCCAACTACCATGGTATATTAACTTGCATGTATATTTAACTACCATGGTATATATAACTACCATGTATATTTAACTACCATGGTATATTTAACTACAATGGTATATTTAACTACCATGTATATTAAACTACCATGTATGTTTAACTACCATGGTATATTTAACTACCATGTATATTTAAATACCGTGGTATGTTTAACTACTGTGGTATATAACTCCCATGTATATTTATATACCATGGTATATTTAACACCCATGTATATTTAACTACCTTGGTATATTTAACTACCATATATATTTAAGTACTGTGGTATATTTAACTCCCATGTATATTTATCTACCATTGTATCTTTAACATGTATGTTTAACTACCATGGTATATTTAACTACCATGGTATATTTAACTACCATGGTATATTTAAGTACCATGGTATATTTAACTACCATATATATATAAGTACTGTGGTATATTTAACTCCCATGTATATTTATCTACCGTGGTATCTTTAACTGTGGTATATTTGATACAGGATGGTGTACGTGAACTGCAGACCAAGGACCTGGACACGACAGATGATGACTACATCCAGTTCTACATCCGTCTGGGAGGGGCGGATGAGGACTGTCATGGAGCTGACCAACGATCTGAGTCTGTCCTGCTCCAGTTCTCTGTCGACGGAGGGATCACATGGAAGTTGCTGGATGAGATCCACCACCGGGAATACCAGCGTCCCAGGTGAGTCACCGTAACTCACCATACTGTGTACAGTATCCTCAGTGAGTCTTAGTACCTCACCACACCAGGAACACCACCATCCAGGTGAGCTTCAGTAACTAACTTTAGAGGGATCTGAGCATCTCAGGTGTGACAAAACCCTATATACAGGGAATACCAAACTCCCAGGTAAGTCTGAGTAATTCTGTACCAGCATTGCTAAAAGTGACGTAAAACCCAACTCACTCACTCACTCTGTACCAGCATCTAAGGTAAAAACTAAAGATTCGGAATATCAGAGACTCACAGAGACAGGTACTGTGATACATGGTAAGTCTCACCACCACAAGACACAATACAAAACTGAATCAGCATAAGAAATGAACCCAAGCTAACTATTGCATTCTGCATAATGATTCCAGCACAGGTACGTTTTTTCATATGGAAAGGTACCTGGGTTACCTGTAGTACTTTACTATAACAATGACACCTTCAGTGAAAGTACATGCAGGACGATATATTTTCTTTCCTTTCCTTTTATCTTTATCATTTGGACGCATCATGTTCTACCAGGTTTGTGCACATAGACCTGCCTTCAGAGGCTCAGAACCCCAGCACCCGATTCCGTTGGTGGCAGCCATCACACTCAGGTCAAGGTCAAGATCAGTGGGCAGTTGATGAAATTATCATCGGGCATTATGAGCGGAGGAGGTTCATTGAAGATGATTTTGAGGTATTTGAAACTTCATGAAATTGATTGTTTTGGCTTTACTGTCACATTGTTGTTTTCATATTTGTTATCACAGATAAAATAATATAACTTTACAGTGACAACCTTGTCAACTAAGATGATGTATCCCAGATTGCTGAAATTTGGTGATATGGTTTTACATAATAGTTTGACCGGCATTCTAGAAGTTGGTGAGTCAAAAATTAAACATAAAACTATATGGATGACAACTTCTTGTTTATTTTATGGTTTTACATGTACACCATTATCTTTGAGCAATTTGTGTTTTCTCATTTATTTTATTAATTTACTTTTTGATGGCTGTGTCAGTTTTCTCAATTTTCTGTTATTTCAGAGCCATGCTGACCCCTTGGAATCTGGCAACTGGTTGACAGTCACGGAGGGTGTGGTAGGAAAGTACTGTCAGCAGACCAACCCAGGCCTGGTCCTTGGTAACCAACCCAATGACAAGATTGTCATTACCAAAGATCTGGCACTGAAACCAAATGATGTCATACAGTTCAGGGTAGGTCAGATTGGTCTGACCCGTGAAGATCCGGATTAGAATTGATCTTAAGTAACCCATGTTTTTCGTAAGAGGCGACTAACAGGATCTGTTGGCTAGGCTTGCTGACTTGGTTGACACATGTCATTGTATCCCAATTGTGTAGATTGATGCTCATGTTGTTGATCACTGGATTGTCTGGTCCAGACTTGATTATTTACAGGCTGCCGCCATATAGCTGGAATATTGCTGAGTGTGGCGTAAAACTAAACTTACTCACTCACTCAGATTGGTCCAAGATTTCCGGTATCATAAGACTACAAAACTGAAGATTTGGCCCAAATTGTTCTCTTGCATTCTCATGTTTTTTGTGTACATTCAATTTTTTTACAAAATTCCCGATGTGTTGACATGTCAAATCAGGCAACAAAAAATGCATTCTTGCACTTTTGGCATCTTCAGGTCACTTCCAAAAGTCAATTGTAAAAATGCCCCATATTTGTATTCCATACACCAGGACCTGTGTTTGTATCCCATGGACCAGCCATTCTATAACAGACAAATATTACAGATCAACGTGGGGTGTGGTAAGATCTTCCGATGGGACCACCCCGTGTACCTGCAGTACAGCCATGACGGCGGGCGGACGTGGCAGTTGGTGACGGAGCCATGCTACCAGGAGCAGGACTGTGATGGGCGCCATGTTGAAGGCAGCATCTACTACACCGGCACACACGGAGAATGGAGTCTCGTCGTCATCCCAGTCAGCACAGACATTGCCATGCAGTGAGTTGTACCGCTACATACCAGTTGGTAGCTCAGCGGTAAAAGCTGTGCAGAGTTGTTGCCCTTGGATGTGCCAGGATCTGCTGATCCTTGCCCCATATATGATCCTTTGAACTATCAGCACAATGCCTGTACTTTTTGGTAAATATCTATAATCTGAGAAACTTTTGGATTTTGTTAACCTCTAACCACTGGATTTCTGTTGAAAATGTTTGTAAATCAACTCTTAACTCAGGCAGTATCTAGTGAACTACCTATGGTTGTTGAGTCTGAATGATACAGTTTTACCTCACTATGGGTTTCTTGGTTATAATAGAACGTAAGCAACCTATGCTGTTTGTAAGGGTTGATTCAGTGTATTGGGTGGTCATCATTGGTGACTTGCTGTCACTGTACACTGAGGACCTTGGTTGTTGTTCACAAAGTCAATGACTGTATTGTCTGGTCCAGACTTGAATATCTACACGCAGCCATCATATTGAGCTGGCTATTGCTGAGTATGCCATAAAATAACATAACAGTTACAAATACACATTGGTACCTTATCTGTCACTGAAAGCATGGATCACCAAATTGAGTACACTCGCTGACTGAACAAGAAAGGTCATAATTCCTGTCATAAGTCATGATTTATCAGATGTATCTTGATATGGTCTTGTGTGATCAGTTATTTGAGAATGGTATTATGAGAATACAATCACATCTTTTAATTATAACCCGTGAAGGTCCGGGTTAGAATATTGGCCTTCAGTAACCCATGCTTGTCATAAGGGGCAACTAATGGGATCGGGTGGTCAGGCTTGCTGACTTGGTTGACACATGTCATCGGTTCCCAATTGTGCAGACCGATGCTCATGCTGTTGATCACTGGATTGTCTGGTCCAGACTCGTTTATTTACAGACCACCGTCAGATAGCTGGAATATTGCTGAGTGTGGCGTTAAAACTCAACTCACTCACTCACTCTTTCATTAATAAACTGACATCTACTAAAATGAATCCAAAAGCTTAATGATTTGTAAATGAGTGGATTGAGAGGTCTTTCATATTGCATTATTTACCGGTATTAGAACTGTTTACGATCTTCTTTGTCCCAGCCCAGTGATATTCCGATGGTATCAGCCTGGTGGTATGGCTCACAGCTTCAGCATTGACGACGTCTACATCGGCCCTCCCTGTCCACAACATTGTCTACGCCATGGCCTGTGTCATCGTGCCTCATGTGACTGCTTCGATGGGGCATCAGGTCGGTGATAGTAAAGTACCGATTCTAGTACTTTGGGTTGGTTGAGACACGTCTCAGACTGTGGTTTCAAATACCAGTGGGACTCTTCCTAACAAAAGTACTAGAATTAGTTCTTTACTGAGAGCGTAGTCCCAATATAACATAGGTTACATTTGCCGATTTTCTGAATGGCATTGTGTAATCATAGGACATCTGGTGTATAGACAAAAACAGTGGATTTGGATAACAGAGGATTATTTATGTTGTAAATCAGGTAATGTGTTCAAAGAAATAATGACTGAATTTTTATCTTAGCAAATTTGAACACTGTCTATAAACTCACATTTTATGATGTACATAAATCTCACAGTGGATGACGACTACCGCAACTAGACAGGGCATATGGGTTAGTTTGACTCCAGTCATCAATTAAAACAGTTTTGAACCAGTCGACCATATTTGGGCACAGGTCCTGGAATGCAGTCTTCCTGAAAACTACTCAGGGCTTGGTTTCACAAAGTGAATTTAGTGCTAGGATGATATTGATTCCCATACTTTAACATAGACTTTCGTCACAGTGCTACGATCACTTTGTTGAATGGGTCTTTGGTGAATTAGAATCAAAGTCTGTTGTTTCTTCTGTAAATTCAGGTATTGGTTGCCAGGCCGATGATCCACGTCCGTCAGGTATGCTAGACCGGTTCGACAACAGGAACCAACCCACGGCATACTGGCAGAAGATCCTGGGTGGGTACCTGGGTCGCGGATGTGGCGTGGTGGAGTATGGTAACTCGTTGTACTTCAATGGCGAGGGAACCAGGGAGGCTGTCACGGACCCTCTCGATACAACCAGTCTCAGGTAGGGTGTGCTGTCTTTGTGTTTCCAGGTGATAACTGTCTAGTTTGCTAGAGTATGGTTCCTCCACGTGACTATAGTGCAATGACTGCTGTAAGTCTGTGTTAAAGTAATGGAGTAACGATTGTCACAGTGAGGTGACTACTTTGTCAAACATGGCCGTCATATCATTTGGTTGTCATATCATGTTTTAGTGTATCATCAGCATATTCATGCTTAAATGATTTCTTCCAGTTAGTAAGCACCAACCTAGTATTTCACTAGAACTGTAACTATATTTGGTGTGCTGCTAAGTCCTGTCTCCCTACCTCGCTCACTCACTCACTCACTCACTCACTCACCCACAAAATCACTCACTCACTCACTCACCCATGTTTGTATTTATTGTAGGATGCTCCAGTTTGTGGTGAAGATAGGAAGCCCACAAAACAGGTTCGGGTGTAGACAGCCGGAGAACCGTAATGAGGGCATCGTTGTGGACTACTCAACTGACAACCAGATTACCTGGAACATCCTGAAGGTCATCGAACCCCAGCTGTACAACTCCACAACACAGGTAGTGGTGGTGGAACTCCCTGCGGATGCCAAGACCAACCACACCACCTTCAGATGGTGGCAGCCGCTCGGACACGGAGGTCAGTCACTGAGAGAATCACCAGCAAGCATCCATGAAGGACAACATATTTTTACAATGTGAATGAATGTGTAAGCCCAGGGCCTCCTTTCACAAAGCACTAAGGGAATCATAAGTCACTAAGGTAACCTTAGCGCAGTGTTAAAGAATGGGAGTTAAGGTTAACCTTAGTAACAGGTTGCTTTGTGAAAGGAAACCCTGGTCATGAATGAGGGACATTTATTCATCATCCTCTGATATATAGTCTAGGTTTTGGTGTATAGTTGTTGGGAAAATAGCAGAAAAAAATAGATACTGAGTAAAATTACTTGTGTGAAATGAAATAGGTTAAAAATGGAAATGTTTTTGGGACATTTGTAAATTACTCTAAGTGTGAGTCATTTTTACTGCATCTAATACAAACTATTTCCCGTGACTCTGTTGTCCATGCTTGTGTGCAGGTGTCCCCCGTGCTCAGTGGGCCCTGGACAGCGTCCTCATCGGCATCAATGACACCAGCACATTCGGCTTCCAGGACGACTTCAGCTCCATGATGCCAGACCCTCACAACTGGTTCATCGCCGACAGCGCTGTGCCCCGAATTGCCTGCAACTCTCAGGGCAACGCACTCGAGTTCAGCACAAATAATGGTAGTATCAGTTACAGGTCTCTTTTGGGAAGCTTGGTCTTGAGTTATGGTACTGACAGATTCAGAGGGTAACTGAGTGGTTCAATCATGAGTTGTGTTTGATTTTCTATATGGATCATGTGTGGCCTTTTGTGTCTCATCATGTTAATGAATAAATGCAAGACAACCAAACTAACACAACAGGATTCAAGGTGATTGCTCATCATGTGTAATTGTTACATTGGGGAATATTGTCAGAGAATATTGATGAAACAATATTCTGGAAATACGTGTCCTTTAAAGAATTACTGTCGTGTATCTTCAATTTATGCCAAGATTTATATTGAAATTGGAAAGTTAGGAGTGTGAGAAAATGGTTTATGGAGCAAACTGTGTAAGTTGTTGCTGGCTTATATGCTCCTTCGTTGGGCCCTGTTCTGCTAAGGAATCTTTTTTAACATCATCTTTGCCAAGATTGCGTTGTGGAACATGACCCTGGTAGAATTCATCATGATGTCCCTGTCATTTCAGTGACTTTATGACACCATTCATGTCACACTCTTACAGGCCTCAGGTTTGCTGAGACGTGGGACTATCACGTGACCCAATCCACGTTCCTCCAGTTCGACATTGCTATGGGCTGTGGGTCGCTGTATGGGACGCTGTACAACGTCATGTTGGAATACTCTGTGAACATGGGCAAGACCTGGCACCCCGTGGTGTCAGAATGTAAGCCCCCCAACTTTGAGTGCAGCGGCTACCATTTGAGCAGCGAGTATTCCTCTGACCAGCACATGAACTGGACGAGAGTGACTGTGTATCTGCCTCAAGGAGCTGTGTGAGTACCAGAAACTGTTCACTGACTCAAGGGTAGCCTTGATCCAAGTCTGTACTGATTGATAAGTCCATGGATGTAGAGTGATTTTAATCCTTATGGAAGTCAGGTCTGAGTAAGTGGGTAGTACATCTGGTTTTCCACAGCAGTCTATTAAAGGCAACACTTGTTCTTATTATTTATAGAATCTAGGAATTACAATTGAAAACAGTAATCACTTCCTTGGAAACTTGTGCAAGTCTGTGAATCGCAGCATTTTAAGATTTTTAAACAATTTTGAATTTTAGTTTTAAAAGAATAATTCCCTTATACAGTTTGTTTTATAAAACAAAGTGGAGCATAAAATGCATTCTACATCTCCTTTTTTAGGAAATTGATGGGAATCTTATAATCAGTTTACAACTTCGAATGTTGCTGTAATTTTTTGCTGCATCATAAAACAACATTGATTCCCGAGTGTATGACGCAGGTCTCCAGCGACGCGGTTCCGATGGTTACAGCACACGTCCAACCCGCGGGGCATGGTGTGGGCGCTGGACAACGTATACCTGGGCAGTGGATGCCCCTGGCTCTGTTCAGGCCATGGCTACTGCAATAAGGGAGAGTGTGTGTAAGTGGGCAGCCTAGTAATGCTTAGAGATGTACCGTATGGATTACATACAAGGCCAGGGCATCCATAGTTCTCTCAACTGTTCATTTGTAATCTGATTAAGCACTGTCTGCTATCCACCTCAGAGCATTGCCACATACTCAAGCTCCATCAATACTAGACTCCATCAGTATGAGAAGTGAACTTGGGACTTTCATTCAAACCCACAACACAGGCATCTGGCATTTGGCTGGTTGGTCTAAAGAAATATAGCATATATTGTGTTGTACAGGATTATTTATAATCAGTTTAATTTTTTAATTGTTTTTGATTGGTAAGTTGATGCAAAATGAGGATCTATCATTTGAAAAATCTGTTTTAGTCACATGAAAGTTGATTGGATTATTTATATTATCAAAGTGATCTTTACTTACAGCGATATATATATAACAGACAAGAAACCTATGAGGCTTACAGTTTTAGGTCAGAATACATCATACTTCATGTAAATTGATTCACAAACACCCATTGGATCAGAGCATGTGGCTATTCTTTCCTGCATCAATTGGATTTGCATTTGAAGCATTTTGAGCAATATGTTTTGAGAATGGATTCAAGGTACAAGAAATAATGGATTACCTGTGCAGTTTGAATATTGTTTGGGGTCTTGGTGAGGATTTCACTGTAGAGTAAGGAGGATGTATGATGTGATACTCATCGTCTTTCCTTGCAAGAACTATGTGGGTTTGCCTGTTTTGACATCTTTAAGATGCACCATCAATTTTGATAAGGATTTCGACTGTTAAAGCTGTTGTGAACAACACTCATTAATTGTGAGTAGATTTCATGTTCCTTAGAGGGGCGGTGGGGTAGCCTAGTGGTTAAAGCATCCGCTCGTCACGCTGAAGACATGGGTACAATGTATGAAGCCCGTTTCTGGTGTCCCCCCATATTGCTGGAATATTTCTAAACGCGGTGAAAAACCATATTCACTCACTCACTCACTCATGTTCCTTAGATGTCATGATGAATATACAATACAAACTGAGGGACTAACAAAATCGACATTTCAAACATGGAATACGGCATGTGGCTTCATTTCTTACCCCAGTACTCTTAGATGTGGGTTAGAACTGATCTTCAGCAAACCCAGAGGTGACTAACGAGACTGGGTGGCCAGGCTGATTGACATGGTTAATGCATGTCATCGTGTCCCAGTTGTGTTCATTGATGCTCATGATGTCAATCACTGGACATGTAATAAATAACATGTGATTTATAAACAGTCTAGTGTTTCTGCAATTCTCCTGTACACTCCTCACTCAGTATTTATCCAAAAGGAAGACACCTCTCTCCCAATGCTTGTACTGTTCCAGGTGTGATGCCGGCTTCTCTGAACCTTTCTGTGTACCTACAAAGCCATTACCCATGATGCTTCGTGATGACTTCAACACAGACACTGTGGATCAGTCCAAGTGGAGGGAGGTGTATGGAGGGGAGAACACTGACGTCTGCGGGAACATCGTCAGTGGTAACGCACTCACATTCCATAAGGTAAACATAGAAACTTTGAATCATTCTCTTCTTGTCTTAGGGTCCATTTGGACAAAGCAACCCTAATGCTACGATAATCATAACCCCATACTCTAACATAGATTTACGTTAGCTGTAGCGCTAAGATCGTTTTTTGCAAGTGGGCCCTTAGTCTATGAAAGAAGGAGTTATGATTATCAGTGTGCTAAGATCACGTTGAGCAAGTGACCTAGGAAGGGCATGTTATATGGATCATGTGACGGTTCATTTGTGCCTGCTTCTCGGTTCATGTGTTTCATCGACATATTGAACTGCGTGGAAAACATGAATGTGTGTGGAGAAGAAGTCAAGTTGCTGCTTATCATTCAGTTTAGCAGATCATGGTCATGAATTCAGCAGGTTAAAGATGTGAATTCAAGAGATCATGGTCATGAATTCAGCAGGTTAAAGATGTGAATTCAAGAGATCATGGTCATGAATTTAGAAAATGTGTGGAATGAAGTTTGCAAATTAAGGGAATTATTTCAGACGTGGGTTGGATGAATTCTGTGGATGAGGGTGATGAATTTAGCATATCAAAGACATTAATTCAGCATATAAGGGCATGAATTCAGCTGATTCAGGGAAGGAATTAAGTAGAATAAGGACAAGAGCCCATGATCAATGACATGAAAGGGCATCACATAGATCAATATTATCAAAATATATTTTTCATTGTTCCTGTACACCGTAATACAAAATACCATCAGTATGGGATTGATATAATCATATGGACATGTTTCAGGGATATATTTATATGGACATGTTTAAGGGATGTAATCATATGGACATGTTTAAGGGATATAACTATATGGACATGTCTAAGGGATATAGTTATATGGACATGTTTAAGGGATATATTTATATGGACATGTTTAAGGGATATATTTATATGGACATGTCTAAGGGATATATTTATATGGACATGTCTAAGGGATATATTTATATGGACATGTTTAAGGGATATATTTATATGGACATGTCTAAGGGATATATTTATATGGACATGTCTAAGGGATATATTTATATGGACATGTTTAAGGGATATATTTATATGGACATGTTTAAGGGATGTAATCATATGAACATGCTTAAGGTTGGTTGGTTTGTGTTTTGTTTAACATCACACTCAGCAATATTCCAGCTATATGGCGGCTGTCTGTAATAATCGAGTCTGGACCCAGAAAATCCAATGATCAATATGATGAGCATAGATCTATGCAATTGGGGGACATGCTTAAGTGATAGAACTGTATGGATATGTTTAAGGGATAGAATTGAATGGACATACTTAAGGGATAGAATTGTATGGACATACTTAAGTGATAGAATTGAATGGACATACTTAAGTGATAGAAATGAATAGAGATACTTAAGTGATAGAATTGTATGGACATGTTTAAGTGATAGAATTGTATGGACATACTTAAGTGATAGAAATGAATAGAGATACTTAAGTGATAGAATTGTATGGACATGTTTAAGGGATAGAATTGTATGGACATACTTATTTGATAGAATTGAATAGACATACTTAAGTGATGGAATTGTATGGACATGTTTAAGTGATAGAATTGTATGGACATGTTTAAGTGATGGAATTGTATGGACATGTTTAAGTGATAGAATTGTATGGACATGTTTAAGTGATAGAATTGTATGGACATGTTTAAGTGATGGAATTGTATGGACATGTTTAAGTGATAGAATTGTATGGACATACTTAAGTGATAGAATTGTATGGACATGTTTAAGTGATAGAATTGTATGGACATGTTTAAGTGATAGAATTGTATGAATATGTTTAAGTGATGGAATTGTATGGACATACTTAAGTGACAGAACTGTATGGATATGTTTAAGTGATAGAATTGTATGGATATGTTTACGTGATAGAATTGTATGGACATGTTTAAGTGATAGAACTGTATGGACATACTTAAGTGATGGAATTGTATGGATATGTTTAAGTGATGGAACTGTATGGACATACTTAAGTGATAGAATTGTATGGACATACTTAAGTGATGGAATTGTATGGACATACTTAAGTGATAGAATTGTATGGATATGTTTCAGTGATAGAATTGTATGGACATGTTTAAGTGATAGAATTGTATGGAAATGTTAACGTGATAGAATTGTATGGATATGTTTAAGTGATAGAATTGTATGGACATACTTAAGTGATGGAATTGTATGGACATGTTTAAGTGATAGAATTGTATGGATATGTTTACGTGATAGAATTATATGGACATACTTAAGTGATGGAATTGTATGGACATGTTTAAGTGATAGAATTGTATGGATATGTTTACATTGATAGAATTGTATGGATATGTTTAAGTTAAAAAACTGTGTGAACATACTTAAAGGTCACATGCAACCCAAAAATCAAACATAATTAAAACACAATTATCACTTATTCATGACATATAATATACATTGCTGGTTATGAAAAAACATATAAACAAAATTATAAGCGTACAATCGCAAATCAAAAGTGCAATATTGTGTACTTGGGTTTACTTCCCAAGAAACGAAGCAGCCGAGATACCGAACCCAGTCAGAGCGGGTGGGTGTGCACTCAAGTGTAACGTCTGGTTCATTTGCAGATGCCCTCACGGCTCATTGTGTGTGTATATATAGAGATGTTGGGTTTTGTAAATACATGCTCATTTTTTGTGTATAACATTTTACAATCAACAGACATCATAACATGTCATGTGTTCAAGTATCACACCTGCCTGTCTGTGTAATTACATAATGTGACAGAGACCGAACTCGGGCCATAAATCAATGCATTTTGTTTATGGTGTATAGCCTGATTGGTGTTAAGTTCAAATTGCATGTGGTCAGTGATAGCAGCTGTGTATTGAATATTGTCATTAGCAGACAGGCAGGCGGACACACAGGTGTCAATAAAACAAGACATTGAGTTTTGTCTGTGACAACGACATATCTATATCACAGTTAGAAATTCTGTCAATGCTAAATAATGACATTGCTTTCAACTATCGAACTGAGAAAGTCACTCGGTAAGAAGAGTGTGTGGTGAAATAGACAAATGAAATTATATAAACAGTTAATTTACTGTCATAACATATAAAAAGCTCACGCCTGTGAGATATCAACAAAACATTAGAAAAATAGCTCACACCAAAGCCTTCACCGAGTATTCACCGGACAACCCGCTTCCAAGCTGTGCGAACCTATTTCACTGCCCACGTGCTATGAGCGCAGCCCAGCTGTTGAAACCAGTTTTCCCCCGAAAAGTCGGGGGAAAATTAGTGAAACGTTTGAACTCCGATTTTGCGCGTTTTTTTTCATCGCGTTATTTTTCAACTTTATAAGTTGAATTTGCATTTTTGACGATTTGTTTCGGTAAGTCCATACCGAAAGGTATCAGAATCTGCAAAGTTGTGTTTTACGTTGCATGTGACCTTTAAGTGATGGAATTGTATGGACATGTTTAAGTGATATATTTATATGGCTGGTTGGTTGGTTTGCTGTTGAACGCTGCACTCAGCAATATTCTAGCAAATTGGCTGAGAGTATAATTTGGCCAACAAAGCAAGGCCAAATGATATGTGAATGATGAAGTCTGGACCAGTCAATCCAGTGATCAACAGTATACACAGCGAGCCTGACAACTCCATCCCGTAAGTTGCCTCTTGCAGTAAGCATGGGTTAAAATTCTAACCCAGATCTTCATGGGTCTATAATTGTATGGTGAGTGAGTGAGTTTAGTGTTATGCCGCACTCAGCAATATTCCAGGTATATGGTGGCTGTCTGTAAATAATTGAGTCTGGACCAGACAATCCAGTGATCAAGAGCACGAGCATCGATCTGCGCAATTGGGAACCGATGACATGTGTCAACCAAGCCAGCGAGCCTGACCTGACACCCAATCCCGTTAGTCGCCTCTTACGACAAGCATGGGTTACTGAGGGTTTATTCTAACCTGGACCTTCATGGGTTATATAAATTGTATGGACATGTTTAAGTGATATAGTAATATAGTAAGACATGACCCAAGAGGAGGGATTACATTAGTTTATTTACTGCTTGGTAATGGTATGTTATTTAGGTCATGCTTTACATGCTCAAATTAAATAAGAAACTAATTCAGTTTACTGTAAACCATCTTGAATTTTCAATGTTTTTTTGCTTTTCAAAACTGTATGATACCTTTTCCACAGTTTTGTCATTTTATTCTTACATTTCCCTTCCAAATGAAGAGCCGTGACTTTAGTAATTTCCTTGCCTGTGAAGAGTCTTGGATTGCATTGCCCATGGATGACTTCCTTGGAACTGAGTCCTACTCCAGACACAACTCTCAGTACGCCAGTTACGAACAAATCCTCAAGTGGGACGTAGCGTACTTTCTGTGATGCTGCCAGTAATCCTGAAGCAACATCTGATGACATCAAAACAGCGTACCCATTACAGAAGCTTGGGAGAAAGTCGGCAGGATATGTTGATCTCAGCTTACGACTCTTCATTTTGTCAACAACAACCTTGTTCGACCCTTCTCTACAACTAATGAAACGCTTCCGCATGGACTTTGCTAAAATATTTTGGATTATCCCAAAGGGGTGGATAAACACGTCATCATCAATTTTAAGAATAAATTTTGCTTGGGGGCAGTGTTTTTTCTTCCAGTGGAGACCCATGATATGTTTAAGAGCCAGGTTTTCCTCAAGGTCAAGAAACCCTCCTTGAATAATATCATGAAAGGTCGCAGCCTCTTTCTGAAGTTCCTCCTGTATTTTGGGATCACTAACAAGTCCTACACTAAAAACATACACAATTTTCTTTCTCCATGATGACTGGATTAGACCAAAGGTTTTTCGGAAAGTTAACCTTTGCTGAATATCATGTGGCTGAGAGTGAACAATTGTCAACAGGAAGACAGGTTTCTTGTGACATTTGGATGGGCTGAGAGTATAATTGAACTGATGCTTATTTGCAAAGGGATGCCTGGCATCATTGTCTGTGAGTGCAAATGCTCTTATTAAATCAGTTCGTAAATTGGAGTCGTGATGATTGAGCTGTACCTTTGCTTTTCTTCTCCTTTGCTTTACTTTGGGATTGTGTTCCTTTGTTTCATTCGTGATTTGTTTCTTATTTCGATTCTTCTTCTTTCTCTTTTTCAAGTCAGCCTTCAGAAGGTTCAGAAACTTGGGATGTTTTCTGTGACCACGTTTGTATGCTCTGCCATGATTTATATTTCTGTCTCTCAAATGCTTTGGGAGTTTTCTATGGATTCCATGTTGTCTAAAGGATCTACGTTGTCCAAGGGATCTCATTGAACTGTGATTATGGCTGGTAGAGGCACTGTACAGTATTATCATGATCAGTGCCCCGACCAGAGACAGCACCACGATGGTCTGTATAGCCTTTACACGCAGAACAATCATCGTCACTTAGGGCAGCAACTGTTGATAAAAACATGCAGTCGGTGAAACAGTGAATTAAGGAATGACTGAGTTTTGCTTCTATGATGCTCTGAACAGTATTTGAGTGATTGAGTGAGTGTCTGCTGGTTGGGATCGCAAACTCAAAGTGACCCAGATTGTGGACATTTTGCTCTAAACATAGTAAAGCCATGATGTCAACTAAGCAAGGCCACGTGATATGGGCATTTAAGATCATTACACTTATATCATGAGGTTCATATACATTAATGTGGCTACTTGGCCTCTTCCGGACTAATTGTATGTTTGGTGGCTAAACTTCTCTCTTGTAATTCAACTATCAAATGTTATATAATGAGGCCTGTATAGCCATCAAGCCGTTTCTGGCTATTCTATATCAAATGTTATATAATGAGGCCTGTATAAACAATAGCAATCAAATATGGATAAAATCTGTGGAAGCCGCTTTTCTGAAACTGGCTATAGCTTTACTGGCTAAGTCAAGAAGCTGCTTTTTAATGAAACTATTGCTACTGGCTAAGTCAAGCTTTTACTGGCTATTGCTTTTAGGCTAAGTCAAGCTGCTTTTAATGAAACTGGCTATAGCTTTTACTGGCTAGGTCAAGAAGCTGCTTTTAATGAAATAGCTGGCTATGTCAAGAAGCTGCTTTTAATGAAACTGGCTATAGCTTTTACTGGCTAAGTCTAGAAGCTGCTTTTAATGAAACTGGCTATAGCTTTTACTGGCTAAGTCAAGAAGCTGCTTTTAATGAAACTGGCTATAGCTTTTACTGGCTAAGTCAAGAAGCTGTTTTCCCCAATGTACTTACATCTATTATCTCCTTATGGTTATATGATATAGCAACTCAAACATGACATGCAGAGATTTTGAATTTTTATAAAGGTACCACTTAATGTATATTCGAATCTGAACTTGAAAACTATTTGACATATATCCCTTCTCCTTGGCTCTTAAATTCCTCTTGTTTAGAACTTTATGTCATTAGGCAGGTGGCACAAAATTCCACTAAAAGATAGAATATGTAAAGCTCTGCGACATGTGTGATGTTGGCGATGAATTTCATACATGTATTCTTAACTGTATATTTGTACCTCTCATGCCGAGTATCCCGGCCTGATGTAGTAAAAGATCAGTTCTGTTCTGGCTATACAGTGCTAGCCCACTGAGATACCTGCAGTTTAACTTGGATTCTTGAACAATTATCTGACTCAGAGTTGACCTGTCCTTGTTTTATCCCTTTAATGCCATGTGCCATTCAGTGTAAAACAAGTTACTGTGAAGTAGTACATCTCTTAATGTCTTTCGGTATGATGTAACCAGGGATCAAACCACAGATACATGCTCCCTGAGTAGACACTCTAGCCACTACACCACCAGTGTTCCTTACAAACTACGACTATCAGAATGAAGAATAAACTAGTTGATTTTGTTCCTAAAACTTCAGTCTCACCAGGCGTTGTTTTGATCAAGAAAAGACACCCACAAATGTACCAACATAGTTGCATGGTTTTTCTGCTTTTCACAAAAAATATTATTTCAGGCACAAAAGTTTTGCATTGTTTTCTCCTCAAAAGTTTACTTATTGTTTAATTTTATTTCATTTACTTTGCATCGGCATATTTGTTGGATTGACTTAATGTGTAGTTTATAGTTCAGGTGTCATAAATATTTCTTTAAAAGGTCTAAAACTTTTTAATAGTTTGAGAGTTTTGTTTAACCATTACATCTAAATGCTACTGTGGAACAAGTTCCTCATTGTCATTTATCATGATGGTTTGGAAATAAATCTGATTTTAAAGGAAATATATTTGGCTATTCATTTCAAAAGTCCAATGTACTGTTGAATGTGTAGACATTTTAATGTTTACATCGTACTAAGTAAAGCATTAGTTATTCATAATGACTTTTGTATTTCTTGTATTTCTATTTTTAATCTTAATTTTTTCTAAATTTTACTTTTAAAATATCAGTAAAATTTGTGATGCAGGGAATTGCATGGCATATAGGTATGTTCACAAAATTAAGTTTTGTTCTTTACCTGAAGAGAATTTCCTATAATAAAATGTCTTGACGTACACTAACAAATATTACTAAGAGGCATGTCAGAAAGGTCCTTGAAATGGAAACATAGAAAATGCAATGATGACACATACCTCGCATCCACTCTGGGAGAATGTGTTTCTGTATCCTGGGAGGCTATAATGGCTATATCACCTGGTTGTGTCTTAACCTGCTGTTGATCAGGTTATAAATGGCTATATCAGCTACAAGTGTCCAGCCTTCTGACTAACACATTGTAAGCTATCTTGTTAGTGGTAAATAGTTATTCATTACAAATACACAGGCATCAATATACAATTATGATTCAATCAATTACACATGTTTCCCTATAGATTATTTCCTTTGTAACTGAATATATTTGGCCAATACATGCAGGGGTACTGTTTAAGTTGTTGAGCACTGAGGTGGTATGAATAGTGAGACATGATGGACAATATCGACCATGGGAACAGCTGACGTCCATGCACCAGGCTGCCTTTAGTCTCACTTTGCCATCAGCTGTTTGTTGTTGTGACTGTTGTTATCAATCATATATCACCAACTGACTGCATATTTTGTGTATCCTATTTCAGATCAGACTAGGTCTTAGTTAAGGCTCAAGATAATGTTTTTAGCCCTTGAATATTAAATATATTGATTCAATATATAAAATAGATTATGTTATATTGAATAGCTTTTATTCCAATTGGGGTTAATATTTTAAAGTTATTCAATATATTTTCACTGTCTTGGTTCATTGTCTGAGTATCTTTGCAATAATAAGTTGATATTTTGTCATTTAAACAATTCTGCTCAAAATGGTGAACATTTCATGTGACCACTGATTTGTGTGTGTTCATGAGAAACATGTTGCCTTAACCTATGAGAGTGATGTTCATGTCTCATGAATGTGTTCATGTTTAAGCATGTGTGATGTCTGCATTTGATCTGTGAATAAAGATCTGTTAAAATAGGTATGCAAGTTACAAAAGATAAACTTGGTCATGGTACACAATGCTGTTGTACAAGTGGGATTTGGGAAATGTTCACGTGTTTGTTTGCTTGCCAACCAATCACATAATTTGTGATTTTAATGCTAAATCAAATCTGTTTTGGTAGAAAAACGAGATTAAATATTCTTTGGGTGTGACATTATGTATTTTAAAACAATGAAATTTGTTTTCATCCTTTAAAATATTAAATATTGTTATTATTAGGTAGCTAGCTGATTTCTTGTGAACCCTCACATATTTTAGGAGTATCCTCATTACCATTGTTTCAGTAAATGTTTGACTGGCATTTCTTAGAAGTTGACATATGACGAATTAGATACAATTTATGGATAGCAACTTCTTTCATATACTATTATGTGTTATAGATTGTTATACCATTATCAAACAAGACTCAGTCTCAAATAGTGGGGGGCATGGGGTAGCCTAATGGTTAAAGCGTTCGCTCGTCATGCCGAAGACCCATGTTCGATTCCACACATGGGTACAATGTGTGAAGCCCATATTGCTGGAATATTGCTAACCCGGCTCTATACTCACTCACTCAAATAGTGGAGTAAAGATCGATACAGAAACAACACTGTAGTAAAGTCTTTGATTGGTGTTTAGGAGTGATACACATACAAGGAAGAATGTCGGATGGTCAACATCTCTGTTGTGGGGAACACTTTATGACATTTACTGATATACAAGAATACCAGCAAGAATATACTCCAAAACATGTTCCCTATAATTAAGAATAATTTTTCCTCTTTTTGAAAGTATAATGTTTTAGTAAAGAAGTTGTGATCAATAGATTGTGTCTATTCTTCTTCCCTATAACAAAGTTGATATCCAATGATTTTCCCATTTTTGAAACACTAATAGTTAAGTAAAGAAGTAAATTGTGTCTTATCTTGTTCCCTATAATAAAAAAAATGATATCCAAAGATTTTCCGCTTTTTGAAACTCTAGTAGTTTAGTAAAGAGGTTGCTTTCAATATATTGTGTCTAATCTTGTTCCCCATAATAACAAAGTTGTTATCAATAAATTCTCTCCACTTTTTAAAGTGTAATATACTCTTCTAAAAGGAAACTTGACATGCTGTTTTGGAGTTTATTTACTGAGTACATAGAACTGATTCAAACATGACATCATTGCTCAGTTACAGTAAAATCATCACTTTACTAATTTCCAAAACATGATTATCCAGAAAGTGTTTGATAAAACCACATAGGGCTATTAAAGCCACTTGGTCAGAGTAATATGTCAGTATCTGGTGTGACCACCATGAACATCGATAACAGCTTGGCAGCGGTGACCCATAGAAGAAAGGAGATGCCGAATGCTGTCTTGAGGAATGTTTTGATACACTTGCTGACATGCTGTGTGCAGTTCTTGTAATGTCTGAGGTGGCGGATTACGCTGGTGCAAGTGTCGGTCAAGAGTATCCCATAGATGTTCAATGGGTGACAAATCCGGTGATCGAGAAGGCCAAGGTAACAACTGAACATTGTCTTGCTGGAGGAAGACCTGTCAAACACGTGCAATGAGAGGTTGAGCATTATCATGCTCCAAAGTTCACGTTGATGTAGGGAATGACATGACGTTGAACTGGTCTTCTGGCAAAAAGTCTGGCTTTCCATAGCCAATTGCGCACTGTCTGGACGGAGATTCGGCGCAGTCCAGGGATTTGGATTGTTGTGGATGATGCAGCCGTGGTGTTTGAACGAAAATGTCTCAACTGGATGTAGCGATCCTGGGCGGCATTGGTAATTCCAGGTCGACCTGACCTGGGTCTGTCATTAACACTCCCAGTATTTTTGTATAGGGTCTATAGATTTAAGATGGTCTGTCTTGACACGCTGAAGTGCCTTGCCACATCATACTGCGATGTCCGTCCTTGTAAACAGCCGATGACGTTGTGTCGTTGAGCTTCTGTCAGTCTTTTCATTCTCTTGTCGTTTATAGTTGCTTAAAGCAATGCATGTGGAGTACCATTGATGTGGCTTTTTAAAGCCTACAGTCATGGGCTTCAGCTCAGGGTGATACACAATTTCATGATGCTTGTGCATTTCATGTAGGGTGCGTTTTAGCAATTCACTACAGACGTGAGTGTAATGTTACGTTTTTCTTAAACGTTTCTTTTTTTTCAAGCGTTTTGTCGTTAGCAACCATTCTCCTGCTGGGGTTCAGTATGGATTGGTTTGTGTCAAATATTTTCCTAAAATTCAAATTTGTCCTATGTCAAGTTTTTTTTTTAATAGTATATTTAGCAAAGAGTTTTGTTATCAACATATTATGTCTAATCTTGTTCCCTTCAATAACAATATTGTTATCCCCAAATTTTCCACTTTTTGACACTATAATTTGTTAGTAAAGAGGAGGGACGGTGGGGTAGCCTAGTGGTTAAAAGCGTTGGCTCGTCACGCCGAAGACCCGGGTTCGAATCCCCACATGGGTACAATGTGTGAAGCCCATTTCTGGTATCCCCTGCCGTGATGTTGCTGGAATATTGCTAAAAGCGGCGTAAAACCAAACTCAGTCAGTCAGTAGTAAAGAGGATGTTATTAATAGATTGTGTAATCTTGTTCCCTCTAATACCAAAGTTGACATAATTTTAAAACTATAATAGTTTAGTTAAGATGTTGTTATCAGTTGAACCTGTCTGCTCTCCTCAGTTCTGTTTATGGATGTTTATACTTCCAGGGTCAACTGAGAATGGCTGTGACAAGAGATATTGATACGTCCATGCTCACTACTGCAGAATTCTATTTCCGATATGGCTGTGAAGGCAAGTTGTTTGATTGGCCGAGGACACACAGTGTTCTGCTGCAGTATTCCACCAATGGCGGCATCACCTGGAAACTCCTCAAGGAACTCCATTACCGCAATACAAGTGGTGTAAGGTAAGGGTGTGTCCTTCAAAATAATAAAGTTTTAAAATTATATTTTGGAAATGGCAGAAAAATGTGTTTTGTCAAGTTAGAATAATTATCCACAATTGGATGAAGTTTTCTTGGCAGGTTATTGTTCTCAACACTGACAGCATGACTTGTTGGTCATTCTATCTCTCATCAGTTTGTCACATCTTATAATATAAATGGGGTGACATATAGCTAGAATATTGCTGACTGACTTATTAAACAGTATTCATTGACTATATACTGATAAAAGGTTCACTTCAAGGTCAAATGACTTTACTGGGTTCAAATTCTATGTATTTTGGTCTAACTCTATGGTCTAGTGGATGCTATTGGTGTAACAATACTCAATGTATTGTATCACTATATGAGGCTCACGATACAATATACAGACTTACAAATCCTGTATCACAATACATACCAATCACTACATTAGATGTTATATTCATGTAAAAACATTCAAACAATAATTGATAATGATCAGTTTATGCAGATTCTCATCTGAATCTACAGAATCTGCACATTGCTCCCAGTCTTATATGTTTCTGCCAACAATAGCCCATCTTCACTATCTGAAATTTAAAACAAATTATTTAGGACTGTGATTCACATGCAAAAAGGGAGAGAAATATGAATTCATCGAATAAAAGTACTACATTGGGATACAAATTGTATACCTCTAATGGATACCCATATTGGTAGGCTCATATGACAAGCTTGAAGTGCTTGGGGCCCATTCAAACCTTTTAACATATCCTTCATCAGGACATAATTTTGTGAATGCCAATATTTCAGTGGTGTCAACCTCCAGCCTTTCATGTACTTCACAATATCACTTTCAACATCATACGTTATAAATACTCTACAATATTATTCTCACCCTCCCACCCCAGTTACTTCACAATATCGCTTCCCATGAGCGCCAAGATGAATGCAACAAGATTCCGGTTCTGGCAGCCAGAGAATGCAGGTCAGTTTTCATAGTGATGCATAGCTGATAATTCCCAAATACACAGAGACGATAATTATTATCCCCCGCCGCGCGTTTAGCGTAAAGTGGGGATATAGTATTAGGCTCCGTCCTTCCGTCTGTACGTACGTATGAATGTACGAATTGGAATATCTTAAGAACCGTTGACTGGATTCTTTTCATATTTGGTACCTAGGTTCATCACAGTAAAAGAAAGGTCCCAGTCAGGTTTGGTGACCTTGACCTTCATTTCAAGGTCACAAGGGGACTTTAACGTTTTACCCTTTTCAGCAAGATATCTCAAGAACCATTCTCTGGATTTTCTTCATATTCAACACCAAGCTTTATCTAGGGAAGGCGCAGGGCCCAGTTGATTTTGGTGACCTTCACCTAATTTTCAAGGTCATGGCGGCACTTTGAAGATTTCAGGATGTTAAGCTGCATGTTAAGCTTGTCAGCAAAATACCTCAAGAACTGTTAACTGGATTTTCTTCATATTCGACATCAAGCTTCATCGAGGGAAGGTGCAGGGCCCAGTTGATTTTGGTGACCTTCACTTAATTTTCAAGGTCAGGGTGACTTTAAAGACTTCAGCATGTTAACCTGCATGTAAAGATTGTCAGCGAGTCTAGATATCTCATGAACCCATTCACTGGACTTTCTTCATATTAGACACCAAGCTTCATCTAGGGAAGGTGCAAGTTCCAGTCGATTTTGGTGACCTACCGGTACTAATAATTTTCAAGGTCACGGCGACACTTTGAAGATTTCAGCATGTTACACTGCATGTTAAGATTGTCAGCGAGATATCTCAAGAACAGTTCACTGGATTTTCTTCATAGACTTTCAAGACTTCCCTTGAATGTTTGTCAATAAGCAATTTCTTTATTACTATTTTTGCATATTTCATACACTAAGACATTCATGTCAAGGTCAAAGTGAGTCTTGAAAATATTTGTGTGTTTGAACAACTACAGAGCAAGATATCAAGAGAGGTTGACTGGTCATGTTTTTGTTGACATTTAACTTCATCTTAAATCACGACCTTCATTTTCATTACTTTTTAAGTTTGATTTGATAATTTGTGGCGGGGGATTATGTCACCTTAGTGACAATGCTTGTCTCTTATATTCTTCAGTACACAATGTCCTTTCTTTTGTATGATGTCTATTTTTTTTGGATTTGACATTTATCAGTAATATTTATTAATTTGTTCATAACATGTGATGGTTATTGAACACTTTTACACTTCATATCAACTGATGTATTTCCTGACTGAATGTCCCCCATTAGACTCTCTTGAATCGTAAGGACTTCCATCTCATCATAATATGCAGAAAATCATCTTCTTCAGCTAAAAATTATGTTAACTGTCATCTGATTCAAACAAATATATTCCCTTATTTGAAAGATGAGGCTATTTTGAATACAGTAGACCTATGTTGAATTCTCATTCACAGGAATGATTTTGATTGTATTTTATTTCAACTTCCTAAATGGAGTGGTTTAGGGAATTTCTCACAACAGAGCATGGGACACCAGAAATGGCATTCACCCATTTGGGGAATCGAACCAGCGTCTTCAATATGACAAGCAAATGCTTTAACCACTAGGCTACCCCACCACCCCTCAATAGAGTAGAAATGTAATGCATAGGAAATTGGAGTGATGTCTGCGATGAGGTGTTGGTGATGAGGTGATGCTGTGTGGGTTCCAGGTGAGATGCAGATGACTTGGTCAGTGGACAATCTATTTATTGGCACTATGCCAATGAATCCCGGGTTCTCTGTACGATGACTTTGACAGTGGAGAAACAGACCAAGAGGGCTGGATGTTTGTAAACAATGGACGTGTCGGGCAGTACTGTCAGTTTAATACAGGGTAAGTGTTCTTTTGGAAGAAGATTAAATAATTTCTCGTAACATGGTGTGTTTATTGAATGATTATCTATTGTATAAGATGGATCCAAGGTCCTGTTGAATCTGGGTCCATGATGATCTCTGCTATGTCCTTTGAATCTAGGGACACCTTGTGTCAGGGGTGGAAATAACCAATTGCCCGACGCCTGAGTCCAGTGTTTTTTTCTGTCGGGCAAGCAAATTTGTATATCACACTATACCGGTGTCCAGTTGATATTCCAATGTTAATTATGTTGTTTATTTAAAAAAATCAACAAGAAAATGGCCGGTATAGTGGAAAAATTATCAGGGCAAGTGGTTTTACATGTGCCACTGTACTGGAGTACACTAGCAATTTTAAAGTTATTTTATAAAGTAAAATTACTTTATGGCTTCATGTTGTATTTGATACCCACTGTGGTGACGTGATCATAGCAGTTAAAGATACCAACGCTAATGACGTAATGATAGTACAAAGCACCAATAGCCATGGCAGTGAAATAAGCAAACCGGTGAAATTTGCCAGCTTTAATAAGGTGTTGAAAGCAGTCAAGATACCAATGTCATGAAAGTGATGGTAGAAATAAATGATACCAATGTCCGTAGTGAGTAAAAGAATGAGTTTGGTTTTACTCCGCTTTTAGCAATATTCCAGCAATATCACGGCGGAAATGGGCTTCACACATTGTACCCATGCGGAGAATCGAACCCGGGTCTTCGGAGTGACGAGCGAATGCTTTAACCACTAGGCTACCCCACCGCCCCCCAATGTCAGTAAGATGATGGCAGATGTAAAACTTGCCATTGTCAGTAATGGGATGGCAGACGTTAAATATACCGATGTAAATCCTCTACATATGTTCTTGTACTTACCTAATAATTGACTATTCCCATGTTTGATGTGTTGACTCTCCCCAGGACAGATACATCATCATCTGGTGAGTCCGCCCTTGTGTTCCGGAGGTCAGCTGGAGGAGAGTTATCTGCTGTTACATGTGACCTTGACATTGGACCAATGTCAGTTCTACAGTTTGATGTAAGATTAATGCTATGCAGTATTTTTTGCTGGTAGGGTGACTTTTGCCAAAGTTTCACCATTATTGTAATACTGTTGCACACATTTTTGCAACATTGCAAAGAATTGTGATTCTTATATTTTATTGCTTTTTTTTGTACATGATTGAAAAACAAATATGTCCCAATTTCTTGTTTTAAGAGAGTTAAAATGAGGCAGGCTTATTTAAGATCATGGTTAGTTAGGTTAATGGAGAGGTAAGTATTTGTTATATATAGAAAACACAGATTCTTGACATTGTATTTCATCTTTTAAAGTATGTGCAATAACAAGTTATGGTTTGAAAAGATATTGATACATTACCTTCAGAACATGAACATAAGCTACAGGGGCGGATACAGCTTTTTGAGAAAGGGGGGGTGCACACTATTGAGAAAAGGGAGGGGGCACACTTCATTTTCACCCGAGTTTCAATGGTCATTTAATAAACTTTCAAGAGAAAAGGGGGGTCGCGCACCCCTGCGCCCCACTCTGGATCCGCCCATGAGCTATAGCAAGGCATAGCTCAATTGAATGTTCATCCCTGGTGTCTACAGTGTAAAACTCAACTCTGTCACAGGAGATCCAAATGAAATAGTGCATTACCAGAGTAATGTATAGAATATGGGAGTGGACGAGTGTGTCAAATTGACACAAGTGAAAAGACACAAGTGAAACAGGTCTTTGACCTTTACAATTTTTGGGGAAGCTTGGGTTGGTGTTGACAAACCTAGTAAGACGACTGTTGTAGACTGTTGTACCTTGACGAATTGTCAGCCATAGACAATAGTAACGGTAGGTGTCTTGTGTAGTGACATGGTGTGTTTGTGTCCCCAGATCAATGTTGGCTGCGGTTCCGAGGCCACCAACAAGTACCCTGTCAGGCTGGAATACTCATCTGATCGAGGGAAAACATGGGCGCCTGTTGTACCCAACTGTGCCGAGGTGTCAAGTGTCCGATGTTTCGACAGCACGTTACCACAGACTGTGTACTATGGCGGTACATCACCAAACTGGCGACGGATTGTAGTGCCTCTAAATAATCTTCTTGTGTGTGGGTAGGTATATTGATAGATGCCTCCATTGCTTGATTTGATATATGGCTGCTTGTCATGAGAGTGAGTGAATGAGTGAGATCGGTTTAACACCGCAGTAGAGCCTGTAGGTCTCGCGTGGCGCTACTCCTGGTACTAAGCTGGTTCCTGGTTCCCTTTCGTGCTCCAACTGTAAGTTCGCTGGGCTACCCTGGTACTAAGCTGGTTCCTGGTTCCCTTTGCGTGCTCCAACTTGCGAGATGGGGCCCCAGCTTACTTCCAGTACCAGATTTCTGGTGACAAGCATATATTCAAGAACCATTCCTGGTTCCAAAATGCAACGAGTGACTTTACAAGACCGGACCGAGTGTACTTTGTTGTCACCGGGAGTACTAAGGTCTCGCGAAGTGCTGTGACCTACTTGTGGGTCCTATTCTCAGTATTTTATATGTATCAAAGTATGTCAGCTCAACATGGGAAGAAAGCACAAAGGGATACAAGTTTCAGACGTTTACCACTTGGGAGACTCACAGGAATTGATATTGTGCTGACGATTAAGGAATGTATGGACAAGTATGTTTCAAACACACCATCATAGGATTTGGGTGTGCCCAAGGGATGCAACTCTTGTCTTTAGAGTGAGTGAGTGAGTGAGTTTAGTTTTATGCCGCACTCAGCAATATTCCAGCTATATGGCGGCGGCGGTCTGTAAATAATCGAGTCTGGACCAGACAATCCAGTGATCAACTGCATGAGCATCGATCTGCGCAATTGGGAACCGATGACATGTGTCAACCAAGCCAGCGAGGCTGACCACTCGATCCCGTTAGTCGCCTCTTACGACAAACATGGGTTACTGAAGGTTCATTCTAACCCGGACCTTCACGGGTTCTTGTCTTTAGAGCCAACTAATGAAACCATGACTAAGTGCAACCAAATGGTTGATGCTAACAACATTAACCATGAATTCATTTCAATATGTACAATATGTTGACACAAGAATTTTGATGCATCCATATATTGATATGTGACATAGACCTGTCATGACACCCTACTCTGTTTCAGCCTGCTGTTAAGTGAAAGTGTATAATGACCATGTTTCAGGGCAATGAGATTCCGCTGGTACCAAGGTGCAGTACCTGAGTACGACTTTGCCCCCGAGTGGGCGATAGACAACGTGTACATCGGCATGGCCTGCATCGACCACTGTAACGGGCATGGGTTCTGTGTGAATGGCATGGTGTGCATGTGCGACGAGGGCTACTCGGGGGAGAGGTGTGTGGCGGAGGGACACAAACCCACGTATCTGAAGGAGGACTTCAACCCACCCCGGGTCATCTCCCTGCTGCCCCAGAGGGGGGACGTGTCGCAGTCCAACGTCCTGGATGGTATGTGTCACACTCCCAAATACACAAGACAATCAAGCAGATCAATATGCTTCTTGTCAAATGGATGTTTGTCATTTAGGTCATGTAAATTCTCATTAAATGTATATTGTAGTTCAAGGAACAAAGATCTGAAGAATACATGTTATGGCTCACGTCAGACCAGTCTTTCATCCTACCAGTCAGAGTGTTAAATTGGGAATGTCAGAGCACAGTTTGTTAATCATGCAACTTTATATATATTCCTAACGACAGTTACTCCTTGTAGGACTGTTTCTGTGCAAATTATCATCCACTTAAAGCGTCTCACTTCTAGACGATAAACTTATGCAAAGGAAGAGACTTCCAAAGCCCATGTGAAGTACTGCCATACATTTATTAGACAATTAATTTTCTTTTGTTCACTTTCAAGTTTTGATATTTTTTAAACCATATTCTGCAATGGAAGTTCACCTTAATGAGGCGTCCTCATATTATCTTTGTTTAGAAGGAACATGAAATAAGACCTGATTTTATTGACATTGGTCCAAGGACTATATTCCAGTCATGCTCTTCTTGCTAGTAATATGTATGTGGATTCGTCAGCTGTGATTGGAAGTGCAGTTTGCATGAAATATCAGGGACTCAAATACTTGACAGCGGAATTAGATGGAAGTCCTTTTGGATTTGGATGTATGGAATAACACTTATACATAATGAAAAGATAGGGGTACATGACTTAATGGATAAAGTGACTTGGGTTTAATGGCACCTTGAACAGTGTTCCAGTTACTTCACGAGGTGTCGCCTGGGAAGAAAGCAGAGGTGGCGCAGGCATATATCTCTTTGGTGACTGTATGGGGTACTCACAAAACTAGAAACATAATCAGGAACAGGAATGGGAACCCACAGTTATGGCTTCACCGTGGGACGCCACTCTACACAGAGAATTTGACTGTACCAACCACAACCTTTGTTGGTTGGTTTATTGTTTAAATAATTGAGTCTAGACCAGACAATCCAGCAACTGACATCATGAGTGTCGATCTACGCAGTTGGGATACGATGACATGTGTCAACCAAGTCAGCAAGCCTGACCACCTTATCCTGTTAGTCGCTCCTTATGACAAGCGGATCAAGGGTGTTGGCAGTTCTATAAGCCTAATGGTATCACAGGATTATTCTGGACACATAGGATGTGTTTGCGAAACTCTGACTTGAATTATCACATTTTGTTGATGGCTGAATGTAACAACTGAGTGTAACTGTTTGTGTGCTCTTCCAGCTAGCCAGCAACTGGACCAGGACCGGTGGTCAGTGTGGAGTGGAGGCAGACCCTCTGACCACTGTGGGAATCTCTTCACCGAGCCCAGTCTGCACTATGGTAACACTGGCGACAGAGTGCTGGCCACCACGGAGATGGATCTCTCTCGAGTCAGGTCAGTACACAGTGATTAGTGGATGGTTACTATGGTAACACTGGCGACAGAGTGCAGGCCACCACGGAGATGGATCTCTCTCGAGTCAGGTCAGTACACAGTGATTAGTGGATGGTTACTATGGTAACACTGGCGACAGAGTGCTGGCCACCACGGAGATGGATCTCTCTCGAGTCAGGTCAGTACACAGTGATTAGCGGATGGTTACTATGGAAACACTGGCAACAGAGTGCTGGCCACCACAGAGATGGATCTCTCTCGAGTCAGGTCAGTACACAGTGATTACTGGATGGTTACTATGGAAACACTGGCGACAGATTGCTGGCTACCACGGAGATGGATCTCTCCCAAGTCAGGTCAGTACACTGTGATTACTGGATGGTTACTATGGAAACACTGGCGACAGATTGCTGGCTACCACGGAGATGGATCTCTCCCGAGTCAGGTCAGTGCACAGTGATTAGTGGATGGTTACTATGGTAACACCGGTGACAGAGTGCTGGTTACCACGGAGATGGATCTCTCCTGAGTCAGGTCAGTACACAGTGATAAGTGGATGGTTAGTAAGGTAACCAAGGCTACAGGGTGCTTGTTACCATGGGGAATGGAACTTTCCAATTCATGTCAGTAAACAGTGATTGGTTGATTGTTACTGTAGGCTATCACTTGAAGAGATTTATGTTGATCATGAAACATAAGACTTGTTATTTTTTCTTATCCTGACTCATGATCTTTTGCTGATCTCCCTTTCCCTTTCGAATGGTAGTGGAACACTTGAAAACCTAGAAGTTCCCCAAGCGTACGTAAAAATACACTCACCCACGAGTTACCTCCCTTTTGCTCTCTCTCATGCAAACAGTCATGTGACCAGCCTTACTTGTTACTCTCTCCCTTTTCGCCAAAGTGGATGGTTGGGCGAGCATTGGAGTCCCATATACGGCATTATATCCTTTTTATTTAGGTCCTATTCTTCAAAATTACGCTGTGTATGGATTTGGCAATAACTACTTTTTATTATATGTAAACATTTTGTAAAAATTATTTGTATTTGTGTCATAATTTCATCGTTATGTAACTTTGTTTACATTTCATGAAATCTTGCAGTGTTTGCAGGCACAGGTTATCCGTGGCTGATCCTCACCCTGAATGCCCTTTGTGCATAAAACCATGTTCTTCCAGCTTGCGCTGTACTTATTGTGTTGATTTATCAAATCTACAGTTTAATCAATATTTGTCTTATATCTATAGACGTGCTAGCATTACGCAGATCTACTCGTAACCTGTATGATGACAAGTGGCTGAAGTTTGAGACTTATGCAAGGCGGAAAGGCTTCATTGCGATAAAAGCTACTCATCCTCAAGTGGCGGAATACCTGTGTCATCTTAGACAGACCAGACATCTGAAAGGTTCGACATTATCTACACACCTCGCTGCCATCAGTACAGTGATTACCATGAAAACAGGCATCAAGTTGACGAAAGTACCAAAATTACTTGCTCTGCTGAGATCTTTCAAACTGGAGGACCACCAAAAGAAGTTCAGAGCTCCGGCCTGGGATCTGAATGTAATTCTACATCATCTTACGAGTGATGCCTACGAACCTCTAGACCAGACTACCTTCGAGCTGCTGACACAGAAGACTCTGTTCCTGCTTGCGCTAGCCACGGCAGCTCGAATATCAGAGATGCATGTGCTGGACTTTGGTCGAACCAGATTCGACACGGTGCAACATGCTGCAGTTCATCTAGAACAACTAACTGGGACTTCATTTCCAAGAACCAACTACCTGGCCAGCCAGATAGACAGTTCCACGTACCAGCACTATCTACAATCCTCGGACCAGAGGATATAGAGGACCCATACTTGTGTCCGGTCAGAGCCCTGAAGATATATCTTCAAAAGACTAAGACAAGGAGACGAAAATTCATCCCACTATCCACAAAGACATCAGCAGAAGTTTCAAGAACGACGATATCGTTCTGGATGAGAGCTGTCATATTGAGAGCCTATAAAGCAGCAGGACTAGAACCTCCTAGAGCTTCCAACCCACATGAATTCAGAGCACTGGCGTCAACACTGGCTTTGCATGGAAATTGCTCTATACCAACAATTATGGAGGGCTGCTTTTGGAAGTCGGACACGGTGTTTGCCAACCACTACTTCCGAGACATAGCCACTGAAGACGTCTCAGGCATTCACCAATTTGGGCCTGTCGTAGCACAGCAACTAACGGTTCCTCAAAGGCGCCGAGTCGGAAAATCTCACCCTTTATCACGTTGACTTGTTGATAACTTTTACTGAGGAAAAGTATTAGTTTGAAAGTCTATATGCGCACAGTCTAACACAGGCTAGCATGAGTGATTAAAGATCCTGTATGGGTAAAGATCTTATCTGTACGTGAAGGGGTCGCAACTCATTTATGATAAAGATCTTATCATAATCTATGGGTTGTTATAAGATATCTAGTAATAAGAAGATACTAGTTCTGCCACATGAATTAACATGATTCAACTTGTCTGAGACTGAAGTAAGACAAGAAAGTGGTCCCCCCCCGAGTTATAACGGAAGTTGGAAGAATACGATCACGGAAATGCAGTTTCGCAGTTCCCTTGGGAAGGATACAGGACGTATCTAAGGACAGCTGATGAATCCACGAAGTGGCTTGACCCACCACCAATCCATCGGATTTTATAAGCAAAAGATCATGAGTCAGGATAAGAAAAAATATGTAATTTTTCAAGTAAAATTGATATTTTTATACTTATCCTGACTCATGACGAGAAGCCCTCCCCGCTGGAAACACTTCGGATTTCACAGCATTTCCAAGTGCATGGGCAGAAAATCAGGAGAGAGTGAGACAAGTAAGGCTGGTCACATGACTGTTTGCGCGGGAAAGGGCAAAAGGGAGGTACTGACTGACTGAGTTTGGTTTTACGCCGCTTTTAGCAATATTCCAGCAACATCACGTCGGGGGACACCAGAAATGGGCTTCAAAAAGGGAGGTACTTCGTGGGTGAGTATATTTTTACGTCCGCTTCGGGAACTTCTAGGGATTCAAGTGTTCCACTACCATTCGAAAGGAAAAGGGAGATAAGCAAAAGATCATGAGTCAGGATAAGTATAAAAATATCAATTTTACTTGAAAAATTACATTATTTGTGTTTTGCAGCACACTGCAGTTCTACCTGAAGCTAGGCTGTTACCAAAGCGTCCAGCCAACGTTACCAGTCTTCCTCCAGTTTCTGTCAATGGTGGCATCAATTGGATCACCATTGAACAGTTTGACTTCAATGACCGAAGCAACAGTCCACAATATTTTGCCCTCCCCCTTCCGTCCACCGCACGCTCCAACTCCACCCTGCTGAGGTGGTGGCAGCCATCAGTAGATGGGACCTACTCTGAAGACTGGGCTATTGACCAGGTAGCATGCTTCATGGGGCGCTCACATACCTGCCCTGACTGATTGGTACAATACCTTTATCATTACCATTGTAAAGTCATGTAATAAATGCTCATGTACAAAAAGATGTAATGGGGATTTATCATTAGTCAGGGAAGAGAATTTCTGAAACCTTTCCCAGGTGTTAGTCTATGTTGTACAACACTTCCCCTGGCTGTAGGTCTACATCGGTGGCGACATCTATGGGGAGGATGTTCTGCAGGATGAACCCGGTGCCCCTCGTGACTCCACATGGCTGATGTACCCAGGGGGGGACGTGGAGAAGGTGTGTGGCTCTCCAGTGGAAGCCATGCACTTCAATGGTAAGATTTGACCTGTGAGACTTGATAAGAGACTGACCTTTGAATCTTGATTTGAGAGACTTGAACTGTGAAACATGACCTGCATGACAGTGACACAGGACATTGCCAGTGAAAGGAAGAGAAGTAGATGCGCATACTTGAACTGAGGAAAACTTTTGGAAATTGAAAGATGTTTTATTATGAATGAGAACTATTTTTTCTTTTTACAGCAATTGCGTTTTTCAGTTTTGTGAAGATCTGTCTTACTGTCTTCTACATTTACTCATGTAGCATGCTTGATACAGAGGCTTATATTCTCTCTATTTGTATTACTTATTATAAGCAATGATCAATATGTCATTAAGTTTGTATTCTGAAAAATGTTGACAGAATACTTGATTTTGGACTGTGAATCAGGTTAGAAGCCAGGATGTTCAGGGATCACCCTATATCTCTGTCATGATTTCTGTGTCAGGGCTTGACAACATGAGGTACGCCATCTCTGCCGACGTTGATGTGAGGGAGGGGAGCTTTGTCCAGTTTGATGTGGCTATGGGATGTGAACCAACCACAGAGAACTGTTATCGTAAGTAAGGTTCATAGGCTCTGTTAGCTGAATCGGTGATTGAACCCTTGCTTCATGGGAAGGAATTGTGAGCTACACAGTTTGCTGTCATAGCTTCCAGTAATTAGGTCTACCATTGTCGTGTGTATTGCTAGAAATGCTGCTCGAGGTCAGTATTCCACATGATTCATTGTAACCAGGGCCTCGTTTCACAAAGCTCACGTAAGCCTATGATCTCGTAATTTTTTCTCGTAGCATTCGAATCTCCTATACTGTAACATAGGAGGTACGAATGCTACGAGAAAAGTTACGAGATCTTGGGCTTACAAGAGCTTTGAGAAACGGGCCCAGGTAGAGAGGCCAGTATCACTTCAGTGTTACTGCACAGCAGGAACTGGAAGGGATGTGTGGCATTCTTGAAGGTTGATGTCAGGGATAACATTTGGTTGAAGCTTTACACACAGAATACACATGATCAATTCTACACATCAGTTCAGTCACTTCCCCACTGACTCACTCACTCACTCATTCACTCACTCACTCACTCACTTCAGACATGGACCTTGAGTTCTCCCTGGACATGGGCAAGACCTGGAGTCTCCTGCAGCGAGCGTGTGTTCCCTCCGATGTGGACTGCAGCACCTACTTCACCAGCTCCCAGTACCAGTCAGACATGTACGCTGGTTGGAACAGGGTCACCATCCCTCTGCCGTACTACACCAGGTGGGTCTGTCACACGTACACTAGGTAGGTGTGTCAGTCATACTACACCAGGTATCTACATCTCACCTGAGACAATTGGTCACTGCAAGAGAGGTGATGTGAAGACCTGGTCCACTTTCCCACAATTCAAAAATGTTGAATGATTTCTTTGAAGGACTTCAACAGTTCCTGCCCCAGTAGCTGCATCCATTGTTGTCAGTAGGCTCATCCATGTGCACGTATCAGAGGCTATATATTAATGTAATTGTTTTTCACAGGTATTTAGTCCCTTGTCCAAACAGAAACATAGTTTGATGTTTTGTCATAAATTATTTTCCAGATCTAAATCAACAAGATTTCGCTGGCAACAGCCACCAGGATTCATACCAAGTCAGTCCTGGGCACTGGCCCACCTGTACATCGGTGGGGAGTGTAGGTCCATGTGTAGCGGTCATGGTCGGTGCTATGAAGGCAGCTGTGTGTAAGTATAGACAGTCCTGGCCCACCTGTACATCGGTGGGGAGTGTAGGTCCATGTGTAGCGATCATGGTCGGTGCTATGAAGGCAGCTGTGTGTAAGTATAGACAGACCTGGCCCACCTGTATATCGGTGGGGAGTGTAGGTCCATGTGTAGCGGTCATGGTCGGTGCTATGAAGGCAGCTGTGTGTAAGTATAGTCAGTCCTGGCCCACCTGTACATCGGTGGGGAGAGTAGGTCGGCCCACCTGTACATCGGTGGGGTGTAAGTATAGTAGTCCTGGCCCACCTGTACATCGGTGGGGAGTGTAGGTCCATGTGTAGTGGTCATGGGCGGTGCTATGAAGGCAGCTGTGTGTAAGTATAGTCGTCCTGGCCCACCTGTACATCGGTCCATGTGTAGCAGTTATGGTCGGTGCCTTGGTCCATGTGTAGCGGTCATGTTTAATTCATATTAGTTCATATCTGGTCAGCACCATACCAATGCTTGTAGTTGTCAGTTCAGTGATAAATTTTACAACATGCACACCCTTTGGCTTTGGGAAACTAATACATGCTGAAATGAAGACAAAATGTCACTCAAAGTTTTGATAAAGAAAAGAGACATGCTGAATATTTGACTCAGGTTGTAAGTATCCGACTGTAATTTGAAGACAATGTTTCTAAAATTAAGACTTCATGTTGCAAAGAAGGTGAATTTATGTTAAATTTATAGATTCTTGAAATCGTTGATATTATTGCTGAATTAGTGTTGGTTAGGTGAATAGCACATGAAATATGCCATATTGTGTGTCTACCCACAGTTGTGATGAGGGATGGACTGATGCCGATTGCCGAGAACCAATCACTGCCCTCCCTGGTCGACTGGATGATGACTTTACTGTAGCAGCAGACGACACTAACTGGATTAAACTGGTTGGTGGGGAAGTGGCACGTCCTTGTAAGACTCTAGCCAATGGGAAGGCTCTTCACTTTACTGGGGTGAGTTTTGTGAGATGCTGGATATTTTACCTATTTTCAGTGCTGGATAATATGCAAGCATTTGTTGTTTTGATAATTTACGTTCAATTTGAAATACTGTAATCGTTTATATTTTCACGGGGTGCAAATTTCGCCAAAAGTTCACAAAAAAAATATAAGCGCAGTAGTTTTTTCGCGCATTTCAAACGCCTGAGTGATGGTGTCCATCACAAAGTTTTCACAACCCATAGACATGCAATGATCAAAGCTAGCCGCCAAAATTGAATCGTGTTTACTAAAACAATCACATGAGCTTCGTTTATTTTGTGATTACGAGTAATCAGCTATCAATTAACTGACAAACTGATAACAAACATTTGCTGATTGTGATCGCTATTACTAGTAGACTAGTATATGCCTCTATTCCTGTATATTGTTTTGATGTTGTTATCTGAGAGAATAAAAAATTGCATGTTGTTCCTACTTGAGTATTTGTCATGACTTGACCATGAATATTTCGCTTGATATGATTATTGACGCACAATCATTTTGCGCTAAAAACGCTAAAATTAATCCCACGCGAAAATAACTACAATTACTAAAATGTTTTTAGCTTTTTCATTTCTCTTATTATTCAAACTTAAAGAGTATTTTATACAAAACTGTGACATTGCTGTTTAATTTTTGGCAAAAATTTGACAGTTTCATACAATTAATTTACACATATACTGAAATCCTTTTAATCCAGAGGGTTCCATTCTTAGTAATTACTAAATCCAGATGGACAAATGTCTGTAATAATGAACTAATGTCAGATGTTCCCAGCAATAATTTTAGGCAGTCTGCTCATAGCTTTTAACTGAAATTTCTATTGTTTATGAGATGAACAAAGTATTTTTGATGCAAGCAATGTATCAGGATACTTATGTAGCCTGTTGTTTTTTGTGGTCATGTGTGGTTACACATCTTCAGAATGTTGAAGTGAACTAGCTTCTTTCAGAGTTGCAGCCGCGCTCTAATCACTCGTGACCTTGACCTCTCTGATGCCAAATTCATCCAGTTCTACTTCCTGTTTGGCTGTAACTCTCTGCCAGTGAACCGTGACCAGAGTGTTCTGGTGGACTACTCTGCTGACAGTGGTATTAGCTGGATCCCGGTCACGGAACTATACTACAACCTGTACAGACAACCAACGTAGGTAGCAGGCATGATCTTAAACAGTCAAACCCTCTTAAAGACAAGTGCCTCTGTAGAGATGCCCATTAATTCCTTTCTCTCAGAGAGACTGATAATTATTCTAACCTTGGTTAAAATTGGCCAGTGATACCTCAGACTTATAGCCATTGCTTCCTCTTTGATAACTGGTCATTGCTTCCTCTTTGACAAATGGCCATTGCTTCCTCTTTGATAACTGGTCATTGCTTCTCTTTGACAAATAACCATTGCTTCCTATTTGATAACTGGTCATTGCTTCCTCTTTGACAAATGGCCATTATTCCCATTGGACAATTGGCCATTGCTCCCTCTTCCTCAAATGGCCAGTTCTACCTCTGTGATGGATGGCCACTGGTAAGCAGATGATGGATGGTCATTGGTTCCTGTGTGACAGATGGCCATTGTCATGTAGTATTTTCTGATGGCATTCATGCCAAAAAAATGCTTAACCATGCTTAAAGATTGTATAGTCTGTGCATCCCTAACTAATCCCATTTATAACATACTGTCCATCATCTCCTACAGATTCATTAGCGTGCGTCTGCCCCCTGGGTCCAAGAAGCCAGGTGTCAGAGTGAGATGGTGGCAGCCCCAACACGGCGGCCATATGCTGGGAGACTGGGTCATTGACAGCATTCGCATCAACGGCCAGGAAGACAACCCCACCATCCTCCACATCAACACCACAGACATCCTTGACCCCAAATACTTCCCAACAAGAGATAACCTTGAACTGGATGAATTTTGCGGATCTGCTGATGTAGTGGTTGGGACAACAAAGGACGGCGAAGCCTCCATGTTGACTAGTCAGGAAGTGAAACTGGACAATGGTGCCATACTACAGTTTTATATAAATGTTGGTTGTGGAGTTTTAAGCAATGCGTCTACACCGCCTGTTGAACTGAAGTATTCCACAGATCATGGAATGACTTGGGACTTCCTGAATCCTCAGTGTTTACCAAACGACCCCCAATGTCGCAGTGGGGCACAGATGCCAACGATGTTCTATGGGGATCCAACAGCACGCTGGCAGAGGGTGGTGATTCCTCTCAATGGACTTCCAGTTTCTAAGTATGTCTCTACAGTCAGTCCCTCAAACATAGGATGTAAATAGATATATCATTATTACAAAATCTAACTATTTGATTATCCAGTAACTCTCTTGGAAAACCCATATTCATCAGCTGGAGGGCTGGTACAGACATTATAACATTGGGTTGGATCTCAGGATTTTGTCGCCAAATCCTTGCATTTTCGTCCTCCAAACTACTGTATGGCTTCATGCCATCATGTCATAATGGGCCCTGTTTCCAGGGCACTGAAAAGTCTGAAGAAAACAAATTTTCATAAAACTGTCAATTTATCTGTCAATTACTGTTATTTACTTACCTTTAGTGATTAAAAGCCAGTCCCTTGTAGAAATGTCCCGATTTCAAGCGTAAATGTGGTACCAGACGATGTTTACCTTTGATACGGAAGTACGCTATTGCAGCTGTGCAGAATTACTGGACGCACAGAATTACCAGACTCGCTTATATGTATATGTATTTCATTTAACATTAGTGGACCGCCTCCGTGGTGTAGTGGTTAGAGTGTCCGCCCGGAGAGCTGAAGGTTGTGGGTTCGATCCCCGACTGCGTCATACCAAAAGACGTTAAAATATGGTACTTGTTGGTCCCTGCCTGGCGCTTGGCATTAATGGGTACAACAAGGACTGGTCGGCTCGGAGTCAGTATAATGTGTCTGAGTGGGGTATTCATGCTTCACTGCGGCATGGTATCTCAGTGGGCTAGCACTATAAAACCAGCTTAAGTCTGGGCTAGTTCAATTATAACAAGCTTGTTCTGTAATGTAAACTTTTAACTCAGTCACTCACTCCTGGAGTAACATGTCTGTGGTTTCACCTGTGTATTCTGTCTGTCAGTGGCACACGGTTCCAGTGGGTGCAGCGCCCCGACGGTTCCCCCTCTCCACACCACTGGGGCATCAGGGACATCTACATTGGACCTGCCTGCCCTGACTTTTGTAGAGGTCATGGTCACTGTGATTACCCACGATGCATCTGTGATACTGGCTACGGAGGAGAAGACTGCAAGACTGTGGACATTAATAGGCCGGTAAAATCTGTCTCCGTTCAGTTTTCTTGTACAATAAAGGTGTCACAAGACAAAAGAGATAAGAGAAGAACCAATTGAGGTTGTTTCATTGTAGATTTGATACATCTTATAGCAAATATGGGACTGAGATCTGATGGGTTATCAGAAGCAGTTGTTGTACATTGGATATCACTAGATCATTGTGTGAAGATTAGTAAATATAGAGCTATCAAATTAGACTCCTTTCAAATGTAAATTCCCCTTTTTGAGAAACCAGAATCACAAATTCTTCAGTTTCATTCTTTTTTTCATTTTATAGTTGATGTCAGAATATTTATTCCCAATCTATGCAAAGCCTTTCCGGGGGAAGTTGGGTAGCTCAGTGCTTTATCCAATTGCTCATCCCCTTAAAGGCCCAGGTTTAATTCCCCACATGAGTAAGATGTATGAAGCTCATTTCTGGTGTCCCCACAATGATCATAATAGTATGAAACTGAACTCAAGCTCATCTATGGGAGAAAGCTGGTCTCTGTTTTGTATATTTTTGATGCTTTTCCCTTTTGACTGTGACACCGTTTCTCATGTTTGTTTCCCACAGACGCAGCTCAAGGACACGTTTGACAAGCCGGGGGTGAACAGCAGTAAGTGGACCGTGGTCCAGTCGGGGGATATCCAAGATGGCTGCTCCACCCTGGTTGAGGGGACGTCCCTGGTGTTTGACGGGCCGGGGTTGAGACAGGCTGTTACAGTGGACCTGGATCTCAGGAATGCCAAGTAATGAACTAACTAAGCTTGTGTAGTAATCAGGGCTTGGAGGTATGGTTACATTGTTGTCAGTGATGGTTATGGACATAGATATGCTTGGTTGGCTGTGTTGTTGTTTAACGCCACAATCAGCAATATTCCAGCTATATGGCAGTGGTCTGTACATAACTGAGTCTGCACCAGACAATCCAGTGATCAACGCCATCAGCATCATTCTATGCAATCGGGATATGATGTCAACCAAGTCAGTGAGCCTGACCACCCGATCCCGTTAGTCACCTCTTGCGACAAGCTTGGATTACTGAAGACCAATTCTAACCCAGATCTTAACAGGTAGACTTGATTGCAATGAATTAAATAGTTTCTGCTAACCAGGCAGGTTCAGTTATCTGTAGAAGGTTGAAAGTTGCTGAGAGAGTGAGTGATTGATTGAGTGAATGGGTGGGTGGGTGAGTGGTGTGGGGGTTGGGGTGGGGTGTGGGGTGGGTGAGTGAGTGAGTGTTTTACACTGCTTTTAGCAATATTCTTGGAATATCACAGCGGGAGACACACATTGTTATAAACAATATGTATACAGTCGAGCACCGTTGTCACGATATTCATGGGACCAAGAAAAATATCCAGTTATCCGAACTTCAAGAAATCTGACCAGGGCATATCATTACATATCACTAAGAAAGAAAACAAAACGCTTCTCAGTATGTTTTGATTTGAAACAATAATCCATTATCAGTAGTGTTCAGTCATAACAGTGAGTACTTCCTAATAAAATCCTTCTTAATTAATCCTAATTAAATAACAAACAAGTGACACCTTCAACCCAATTAGCCCTAATTAGTTTACACTACTGCATCTCTTTGAGACATGCTGCACCGTGTGGAAACGTGTGGAAACAACCTCAGTTCAGATGGATACTTGCCCATGAAAGGTAGGTGAATATCAAGTTTCTTTGCATATATCGAGTTAAAAGGGTACTTTTGCTTGTTGTTATATCGAGATATCCGAAATATCGAGACATCCGTATCAAGTTAAAAGAGCTTGAATAATGATAAATATGAAGGGTTTTAAAGATTATATAAGGACTACTGAGATATCGAATCGAGTTAAAAGAGCTTAAATAATAATAAATTATGAAGGGATTTGCTGGGACCGAGATGTTATATCGAGACTACTGAGATATCGAATTAGCAGAGTTTGACACAACGGTGCTCGACTGTATCTAAATTTTCCTTTTGAAACTCAAAGTTTGGATTGTCTGTCACCCACAAAAAGCCCTGTAAATGACTCACTTTTCCCATCCACTAAGATCAGAAAATCTATACTGACCCTCTTGTTAATACAGGTTCATGCAGTACACGGCGATGATCGGTGGCCAGAGCATCCGCCCTGGGTGCTACCTGCCCAGCTCACGTGACCAGAGTGTCCTGCTACAGTTCTCGGTAGATGGAGGTACTGGAGGCTAGTCTAGCAAGTGTAATCTGAAGTTCAATCATATGGGACTCAAAAGAAATTAACACCCAATTCTTCCACAGTGATAGAGTTAATCTACCATGGATGGCATTGTAACTATTGTAATATGAAACTTTGGTTTTCTTGACCTTCTTCTGAGTTTATATGTAGCATAAATTGCAAAACAATCTGCAGAAATTTGATCGGTTGGAAAGAGTTGTCAAATGGCATTTTGCAAATAGTGGTAGATAGCCTAATATTTAAAATGTTGCTTGCACGCTAAAGACACTGGATTGCTGTTACCATGATAACAGTCAGGAAGAGCTGGTGTGGTATATAGATGAACCTCCCTCAAACAGGTATCTCCTGGACCACACTACACACTCTGGACTATTCCACATACCTTACACCACGTCAGGATTACCTCCCCTTGCCGGAGGCCGCACGGACGGAGAGCACACGGTTCCGGTGGTGGCAGCCGCTGCCTGCAAACTCCCAGATGGAGCTCCCCCTGTGGGCGCTGGACAACGTCCTGGTTGGGGGGACGGAGATCAACCCTAGTCAGTTCCTCCACACCTTCAACCTCTCTTTGCCGGTACAGTACAACTCTACTACTCCACATGGGTGGTTTATGGCCATTTAACATTTACCTGACATTAAATTACACATCCATGTAACATGGCAAAAACCTAATTTTGTAGGCAATACATATTATTGTGTACGGAATGTTTTGAAAGACCAGCAGTGAACTACCTACTGCAGACTTTCCTGATTCCATACCAATATTTACTTATCTTAGTCTATATTTACTGAGAACATGCAAGTATCAAATAAATGACCATCTTACGAAACAGGGATGTTATCTGTGCAGCAAACTGCCAAAACATATCTGTATATTTTAAGAGAGCAAATTTCACCCAGCATTTCGCTGCTGCTGAGATATCTGCTCCAGTTTTGTCCCTGATAGTCAAATGGCGCAAGACCTGTAATTATTCACAGTCCTAGAAGATTTTATTTGTTGTAGTTCTAAACCCAATTTGTTTATCTGATTAAGAAATTCTGTTTTGTGGGGTTTGACTCTTGTTAGTTGATACCATTAGCAAATAAAACTTGTTCCAAATATGTTGTGTAGATAGTAATGGCCCCCTGATCACCGTTGTAATCACAGTTTTCTCCTTTACCGGTTATGTTGTTTGAGTACTGGACATCTCTCCTGTATGATTCTGTGTGTATTTCAATGTTCCTCATCTTTTGACAGCAAGATGACTCTTCAGACTATGAGTTCAGCCCACATGGGAAGGTTGAGAGTGGCGTCTGCTCCAATACTGATGGTGCTCTGTCGTACAAGGAGGGGTTGGGAATCAGGGTGTTCACCACAAACCAGCTGATTGTGCAGTCCCGATACATGCTGCAGTTCAAGGTAACACATGGATAGTTGAAACTTAATTCAATATCAATTATTTGTATAACAACAATAGATATGTACCCCATGGGGATTATAGTTTAGGATTGGTCCCTAGCTACCGATGCTGGTTGTAAAGTGTAGCTTTAGAGATTGATTGGTCAGGATCAGGACTTGGTTGTCATCGTACCCCAGGACATAGCTTGTTGCTCAGAATAACAATCTCTGGATTGTCTGATCCTGACTTAATTATTCACAGGCGCCGTCATATAGACAGAATACTGCTGAGGGTAACATTAAACAAGAGACCAACGAAAGGACTTGATATTGATATGACAGGTGCCACATTGCCTTTCAAAACTGTCACTGCTTGCCCTTGTGCAAACTTCATTTATGCAACAAGTGAATTATTAACTCTTACAAGGTAGAACGGACATAGTTGGCCCAGTTGTAGAAGGATCAACAGTTTCCAGTCCTGAGTTGTGCCCCTTGTGCTCCATGGCCGGATACAATCCCATCTTGCAGTATATATATATAGTTTACGAAATAATATTTAATTGGTCCTCCGTCAATCGTTGATGAATATACTTTAAGCTGATGAGGTACACGTGTTCGGATGCAGAAGTCTGGTGGAGTAAATTATCATCTGTAACAAAAATCTTGACTCCCTCGAGGTTTGTGGTGGAAGCTGTTCCTAGTTGTACATAAATACGACAGCGTTGATTTTTATGGCTGAGTTGAGTTTTGGTTTTACGCCGCTTTTAGCAATATTCCAGCAACATCACGCCGGGGGACACCAGAAATGGGCTTCACACATTGTGCCCATGTGGGGATTCGAACCCGGGTCTTTGGCGTGATGAGCCAACGCTTTAACCATTAGGCTACCCAACCGCCCCGATTTTTATGGCAATCGTGCCAGCATATGTTTAACCCAGGCAGAAGTCCCACCCGTTGTCCGGAGGCATTTCCAAGAACGACGTCGATAATAAGGGTAGAACCTGGTATCACAGTGATCCACGAGTCTGGGACTTCACTATATCGTTTTAAATAGAGCCATTTCGTTGCGTCTTCCGAGTGAGGGACTAGCATATAACCCGTTTGATCTGGTAATGGTGATGCGTACATTCCCTTTTTATGAAAAGGAATAAAACTCCCCAGTAGAATCCCATTGTTTTTTAGTTCGAGGATATTACGATCCTGATCCATGACGAGATAGGGGTAGGTCAGGACGATATTGATGATCCAGTTCAATTCGACGATGACGTCTCGACGTTGGTACACGTTGTTTTGTAAGTGCAGCTGATCGAGGTCAATGCACAGTTCGCGGTAGGGGACGAGGCTCGGCAATTTCGAGCCCGTGACGGTGTCTCGAGGTGCTATCTCGTGAGTCGTCAACCCGAGTGTTCTCGCCATGGGTCGACCCAGTTTGATGGGTTGGTCTCTGTTCGTCAACTTAAGCATGCCATTCGACTCATTGAGTTTAACACTGGCTCCGACGGGTTTAAAAATTTCGTCGTCCAGCATACACACATTATAATAACCGTCGGTCAACAGGTGGCGGCTATTATCGATAAACAGCTTCTTGTTGTTTCTCTTAACGCTGATATTCGACCATCGCGGGTAGTAGGTGAGATCGCAGAGTGCGACTTTCGAGTTCCCCGACCTGTTATCAATCGCTTGCAGCAGCGGAACGGGTTCACCGTTTGTGATTCCCTGGAGCATGAGGTACATATTGAAAAAATATATATACGTAATTATATTAATTCAATACACCCAAGTACAAGCCGGGAGTGATTTATCCTAAAAGCGATAACTTAAGTGCTACGTGGTGGATCACGAAGGAAGGTTCACATGAAAATTTGAAATGTGGATTTCGGTCACAAAGGAAGGCAGTCCACGCATGGTTTAACAACGTGATGCAATTCAGGAAGAATTTCATTTTGATGTATTTGAAAAGTATAGGCATTTCCTTGAGCACAAATCGTGTTCCGCTGAGTTGGTCCGTGTTTATTTTCCGCGTGTACTACCAGATCAGACGCATCCTGAAAGAGATCAGCGCCCCGATTCTGCAGGACAAGACAGGGGATGTATCGAACAATCCTTACGATCGGCGGGCTTACGAACGGATTTGTGGTGATTTCGAAATCGATCCGAACACGGATTGGCATACTGGGTACGAACCACGGGTTGGGCATTCCGTACAGTGGAGCGAAATCTGTGAAAGAAGTCAGTGATGGTTTACTGAAAAGTGGTTGGCTCTGACAGGACTTGCTCTGTCGAGTAATGAATGGCGAGATGATTTTATATGAATTTTAAAGGCGGTGTGTCGAGTCCCACCGCCCACGCATACCGGCAAAACAGGGATCGTGATGCCAGCCTCGGAGCCGCCCCGCGTTTGACCCGCACCACCACCACGCCCCACATCGGCGGTTGAACATCAGCAACACCTCGATCGTAAAACGGCGGTCGTGGTCGGTGGAATCGCGGCCGGAGTGTGCTTCAAATGGTTAAAAATTCTTAAGCGGCGACATACACCAGGCCGGCCGCGCCGATGACGACCACCCACAGGTTCTGGCCGAGCCATGTGACCGTTTTCAACAACAAGCCCAGCAACCACGACACGATGCTGCCCAAGATGCCGGGCAGGGCTTCGGCGGCTTTGCCGGCCAGTCTCGCCAGGGCGAGATCCAGTCTCTGACATCGCCACCTTTTTTGGGTGGTGGTGGTGCTGGTGTCGTACTGCAGCCACCCGTCAGCGCTAAGACGAGGGTCGATACGATGAAGCCCAAAGCCGTCAGAACGATGGCGATGGTGATCCCTTGTTCCGGGACAAAATTTGGATCCTGTCGGTCAATGTGGTGTCCTCAATCGATGGTTTCATGCACGCGGCTGATCTTGGATCGAAGGGTTTTTTTGTTCGAGGAAGCGGCTTCCAATCGTGTGCGTCTCTCGTCTTCCAAGTCGCGCAATCGTCCGTCGATGGGACGTCTGCTGTTGTCGTAAAAACAACGACGATCACTGCTTAAGATGGGTGCTGAGATCTGTCTTATTCCCCGCCAATTCTAAAGTGGCGAACAGACCTTCGAGCTATCCCGCAGACGATGGGCTGAACTTGGACGGTATAGACGCACCCACACCCATCTCTCAAATGACGAAGGTGGAAAAACAAAAACGTTTAGCCATCAACCTTTCCATCCCCGAAAGCAATACGACGATCGTGCACCGAATCAGCCCTGTGAGTGATAAAACCGGGCGCAGAATCAATTTATTTCTCATCAAAAAAGGCGACCGTTATCACTACGTGTGGATTAAGAGTTTGAGTCGGCTGTTGTACGACCAATCGAACCACGCCAGAAAAAAACAGTTCTGCGAACGATGCCTGCACGCGTGCAGTTGAGAAAACCTGCTGGAAGCACCGGGAGGGTTGCCGAGGTGTGGAGAGACGGCTGTCCGAATCGACATGCCTCGAGAACATCAAAACATCTTAATGTTCATCAATCGCGTGGTGTTCCATAATTTGAGAGGGTACGATGCCCACTTGATCATGCAGGCCATCTTGAACATCAAGGGCAAGTTAACGTGCATCCCCAACAACATGGAGAAATACATCTCATTCTCGCTCAACGGTCTGAGATTTATCGACAGTGCTCAGTTTCTCCTGTCATCGCTCGATAGTTTGGTCAAGGCCAACGATACCTTTACCATCACCGATCGATACACCGATGCAGCGACTCGACCTCAGCAGCTACGGAAGGGTGTGTACCCGTACAAGTACATGGACGATTAGTCTAAATTCGAGGAGCCACGATTACCCCCCATCGACTGCTTTTACAGCCATTTGACCGACTCAACCATCTCCCAGGACAATTAAGCCCACGCCCAGAACGTGTGGGAGAAATTGGGTTGCAAGCATTTGGTCGATTATCATGACCTCTACTTGAAAATGGATGTCCTGCTGCTGGCCGCCGTGTTCGAGACATTCAGAACAATGTGTTTGAAACAGTATCAACTCGACCCTGCCTGGCACTACACCAGCCCCGGTCTCTCGTTGGATGTGCTATTGAAGAAAACCAGAGTTAAACTGGAATTGCTCACGGATTACGACATGAATCTATTCGTCGAGAAAGGCATGCGCGGTGGGATTTCCATGGTCTCCAAACGGTACGCAAAAGCCAACAACAAATACGTGGAAGGCTACGACTCGAGCAAGCCCACCAACCACCTCCTCTATCCTCTAAAAACTCGTCCCTAACTTAATGAACAAGACCAAGTACTGCAGAATCAGAATCTGCAACTGTACTTGTCGCTGGGCATGAAGCTGACTAAAATACATCGGGTGCTGCAATTCGATCAAAGTCCCTGGATGGAACCTTACATTCGGTTGAACACCGAGCTGAGAAAAAAGGCCACCAGCGATTTCGAGAAAGACCTCTACAAACTGATGTTCGATGTTCGGTAAAACCATTGAAAACTTGAGAAAACGGGTGATGGTCAAACTCGTGTGATCTCACGAGGAAGAAAAACTCAGGAAACTCATAGCCAGCGAGGCATTCAACCGGAGCAAGCTATTTGATAATGACTTGGCAGCTACACATGAACAACAGTCACATAAAGCTCAACCGGCCCGTCTACGTGGGGATGAGCATTCTCGACCTCTCCAAACATCTCATGTACAATTTCTACTACAACGAGTTAAAAAGTCAATATGGCGATGGTGTGAAGTGCTGTACATGGACACTGATTCACTGCTCATGGAAATTCGTACTGAGGACATGGTAAAACACATGCACCTGTATGACACCAGCGATTACCCCCCAGACCACGCCCTACATAGGACGACCAATAAAAAGATGAAGGACGAATGCGCGGGGACACCCATCACGGAATATGTTGGGTTAAGACCTAAAATGTATTCGATTCAAAAAGCCGATCACGACGAAATCCGAAAGGCGAAAGGGGTCAAGAAATACGTGGTGAAACACCACATCAAACACACCCTCTTCAAACAGGCTCTCTTCGATAAACGCACGTTCAAACACCCCATGAATGCGTTGAGAAGCGACAAACACAACATCTATGGCATCACTCTCAACAAAATGTCGCTGTTGCCCATGGATACCAAATGATGGATTTCGAATGATGGCATCCATACTTAAAGCTATGGATACCAACAGTAGACCTCGACGCGTTGGGATTTTCCGAGACCCCCAATAAAGGAAACTCCACTCGATGCGTCAAAACAATTGAATGAACGATAGCGTGTATACATCATGGAGAAGGTTTACTACAGCCCTCGGGGGTTACTGTAAAGGTGTGGGTGCCATCCCGAAGCTAGCCAAAGCGGCTCGTGTCTCCGAGGATTACGCCAAAGCTTGGCTTAAAAAGCAAGCCATCTGGCAAGTGTACCTGCCGGCTCCCCGATACATTCTGAGAAGAAAGTTTGACATTTCCATACCCAATCGTACCCATCAAGCCGATCTCCTGTTTCTCCCGCACGACCGGGTGAGAAACAAAACATACAAGTACGCCCTGACCGTCGTGGATGTTGCCAGTCGCTATAAGGAAGCGGAGCCGTTAATGACAAAAGTTTCGAGTCAAGTCGCTAAGGCCTTAGAACATATCTACAAACGCAATCGCTTGACCTGGCCGATCAAATTACAAGTCAATCCTGGATGCGAGTTCATGGGAGCCGTGTCGCAGCTGTTATCGAAGCATAAAGTCCAGGTGAGACGAGGCATGGCCGGAGCTCACCGGAGCCAAGCCATCGTCGAAATATTCAACAGGACTTTAGCCGAGCGTTTGTTTGGACATCAGTATGCCCAAGAGATGGCCTTCCCAGAAAAACGATCGACAGAATGGGTAGTACGCTTACCGCGAGTGGTGTCGGCGATCAACTACGAGGTCACTCGTCTTTTCGATAAAAGGCCTGTTGAAGCCATTCGAATGAAATCCGGATGACTGAATCGGCTGCGCGATCGCGTCACGGCAAAGAGAAAAAACTACCGGACCGGGTCGTTGTGAGGTATCTGTACCAGCCCGGTGAACTCGAAGGAGGGGACAAACGTCGTGCCACAGACCCCGTATGGTCCATGAAAACGTACCGCGTCGACCGAGTGGACATCAAAGACGACGAACCGAATCTGTATTACTTGCAAGACGGACCGGGTAGGGGATTTGTCTGAGAGGAATTGATGATCGTCCGTCACGACATCGTATTACCCCCTTGTTATTAAAGATTTGTCTTATGTTTCTCATTATCAACATGTGGAGATTGATTGAGAAAGGGTTGTTCAGACGCTTCGGGATGGACGTCCATGGCCTTGATATAAACGCGGCCCTGCGTTGAGTCATAAGTCAAGAGAAATTCACTAGACTGTACGATAGTTAAGGTCTCGTTGGCACCAAATGGTTACAACGCCTCATGGATACCTTAGTCGATTATAGCTTCGAAACCCGAGAATGCGATGTCCTGTACTCCTTAATCCACTTCGAGGAATTCATGGCAGACCCACTCCATAAAGTCATCGCTCAATATTACGGACACCTTTCGTGAACCCTGGATTACAAGTCCAACGCTCTACCATCACACCACCGGGTCTGCTGATCAGTCAGTGCTCGGAACTTTGGGTCTAGGCTGGCGGCACATCGAAGGATGTCTCTCGCTACTTTTTAATTGGGGGTTGGGGGACTTAGTTCCCACAAATAAGCCTCTAGGCCGCAACTGCGACAGTACCATCATAGTACTACTACTTCTGCACTGTACTTGAGCTAGTGGATTCCGTCAAGGATATGAACATCCATATTGTACTGTAATGTAAGTGATTTTGCTGTTGACAATAATCGTTCATGTCCCCTGTACAAAGCACTTGAGGCTGATCATTGATGTAAGTATGACTATCTTGGCTTCTATCAGGGCTACAAACTCTTGGAGGACCTCTTACAGCTTGTGTTAGGATTTTGATTGCTTTATGAGTAAGTCATGTTGGATGTTTGCAGATCGTGGTGGGTTGCAACCAACATTACAACGTCTGCGAGGACCACGCCCCGATCCGCCTTGAGTACAACAAGAACCCACAGTCAGGACGCTGGCATCTGGTGAAGCAGCTGTGTCTCCCTGACAACAACCAGATGGAGTGTCGGCCCCAGGTCCACCACCAGGCCAGCATCTTCACTCTGGCGGACTTCCCTGCCTGGACCAGGGTCACCATCAGCCTCCCGGACAGGGTCTTCTCAGGGTGAGTAGTGGTCAGACAGGGCCTTCTCAGGGTGAGTAGTGGTCGAACAGGGCCTTCTCGGGGTGAGTAGTGGTCGAACAGGGTCTTCTCAGGGTGAGTAGTGGTCGAACAGGGCCTTCTCGGGTGTCTCTCTCTGGTAGTAGTGGTCTCGAACAGGGCCTTCTTGGGGTGAGTAGTGGCTCTAACAGGGCCTGGGGTGAGTAGTGGCCTAACAGGGTCTTCTCAGGGTGAGTAGTGGTCAACAGGGCCTTCTCGGGGTGAGTAGTGGTCAGAACAGGGTCTTCTCAGGTGGTGAGTAGTGGGTCAACAGGGTCTTCTCAGGGGGTCTTCCTCGAGTAGTGGTCAGACAGGGTCTTCTCGGGTGAGTAGTGGTCAGACAGGGTCTTCGGGTGAGGGGTCAGGGTCTAAGTCTTTGGGTGAGTAGTGGTCGAACAGGGCCTTCTCGGGTGAATAGGGGTCAGACAGGGTCCTCTTAGGGTCACCATCAGTGTCCCGGACAGGGTCTTCTGAGGGTGGGTAGTGGTGAGACAGGGTCTTCTGAGGGTGAGTTGGGGTCTTCTGAGGGTGCGTTGGGGGGTCAAGGGTCTTCTCAGGGTGAGAAGAGGTCAGACAAGGTCTTCTTCAGGTGACTAGATGTGAAATTTGATCTTCCCATAGAATAGAATGGAAACCAGAAAGTGTGAGTGGGCTGTATATCTTTATACACATTAGGCACAATAGCTTCTATCAGAAATGATGTCACCATCTCCTTCTGTGGAGTTATTGGAATGTGTTGTGGGTATTTATCATAATGAAATGGAGTAGATACACTGGACAGTTGAGGGTGCAAGTAGAATTTCAACTCATCCTAATTCCAGCTCCACCCGATTCCGGTGGATCCAGGCGTCCCAGGACCGGCCGTCTGCTGGTTGGGCTCTGGACGACATCTATGTTGGGGAGAAGTGTGAGAACATGTGTAGTGGGCGCGGAGACTGCCAGCATGGACGCTGCATCTGTGATGAGGGATATTACGGTATGTGCATCTTCCATCTGTACATCAAGCCCAGAATTACAATTTTTCCTTATCCTGACTCATGCTTATATGCCTCATGAGTCAGGATAAGTATAAAATATCAATTTTATTCAGAAAATTACATTTTTCAGGTCTCCTTGATGAAGAAATAACAGCATTTCTAAACATTCAAGAGTTTCAGATATCCCAAGTATTTCCTGATAGCCCAAACTTCACTTCGTTCAGTAAAATTTAACCTGGTTTAACTTTTTCCGTGTGAAATCATCCTGTTCAACAAATGTCTAGAGCAGAGTTGGACATGATTTGATCAAACCTTTTCAAACTTATTCTTTCATCAAATGTTCTTGATGAAGGAATAACAACGCACAATACAGATTGTAAAATGTGCCTCCTCAGAAAGGATCTTCTCAAAGGAGATTATTCATGGCATGACAGATCTGCTGTAGTAAGATGAAAGAACTGGGTGTTCTTGAACTTCCTTGAGTAGTATATTAAGCAGAGACTCCTGGGTGGGATCTCTGCACAGCTAAACAAGGAGGCTGCTTGCAGACGTCTTCATTATTCTTACTTCCTGTGTTCCAGGTCCCACCTGTAGACCAAGCAGACGTCAGCTCCCGAGCAAGATGTTTGAATCATTTGAAGGTGGGATATTCTCAGCCCACTGGGCAGCAGTGACTGGAGGTGGCATCGGGTTTGGATGCGGGGGCACTGCTGCCATATGCTCACGGAAAGACACTGTATTTCAATGACTGCGGCACAAGACAGGCAGTCACTGCAGAGATGGATATGACATCAGCTGTGTGAGTATCCTGGATTAGAGGTGCAAGTTGCAGCGTTCTTTCAAGCATATGACTCCTCTGACAGCAACAAACATGGCGCTTCAAAGATTCTAATGGCTATGAATATATCTTCCCAAGTAAATGTACAATGAAATGATAAAAGGCTACTAAAGCTTCTTCTATGTAGGATGCAATTCACATTTTACTTTCTAAAGAAACAGGGACATTTTTAAACTTATCCTATCTCACAGTATGCACCTCTCTTCTTCTACGACCATGTGTGGAAAAGTGCTGTAGGCTTAGTTGAATCAAATCTTACTGGCCTCTGACCCCACTGACCTCTGCGCCCACTCCGATATCAGCACCTGTCAATCATCTCCATAAGCGTGGAGCTCGCTCAGATGAACACGTGACTACCTGTGCCTGTCATTCTCTTTCTTGTCGCAACGTCGTGTGGACGTGTGCTTGTCTCTAAGATAGTTTGATTGTTGTTTCAACATGGGTAAATCGAATCGTAATGGTTCTAAGAAGCGTAAACATTGTGACAATTGTAACAGTAATTTCTCGACGGCAGATCCACATGCTTTATGTGCAGATTGTTTAGGTCATTGTGATTGGTCTCAACGCTTGCACTTTTTGTGCTGGCCTCGACGACGATGCTTTCTCTGAATGTCGCCGGGTAGCTTGTAGATGCATGTAGGGATCGTCTCAAAACATATGAGGGTCCGTCTGTGTCTAAATGTCCTAATGCAGAATGCCATAAGAAAACTGCAGTTCGACGATCAAAGTCCCCGTCTCCTAATGAAGATTTCCTGGGAGAGGCGTCTGATTCTTACCTCAGTGAAAATCTTTTCAGTCCGCATGCATCCAGCCCTATCACTTTAGAAGACTCCTCACCACCTAGGGTTGTCGTTTTATCTACATCTGCTGTTCAGCCCCGTCCGTCTTTGGTGGTAACTGTTCCTCAGCACCCCTATGTTTCTTTGGTAGGAGTTTCTAATGCGGTGCTTGGTGTGATTCCTAACATTACCTCCCAAGTGATGCTTGCTTGTAGTTCAGCTCTTTCCACTTCGGTGGTTGGTTTTACATCCATCCTCCGGTGGGGTCGACAAGTTTGCCGATGATTCCCAGTGCGACTTTTTCCACATCTATCCCTTATCCTGTACCATTTGGTTACGGACCACCACTTTATTCTAGTGCATCGTTTACCTCCGAAGCACCGCTTACATCGGGATAGGTACCTGGTTGCAGAGCGCGAGTGTGAGGGACCCTACGCCTTCATCGTTTCATCACGGGAACTTGTATCAGTTAGCTGGTTGCTCGTCTTCTCTTAGTGGGGCTCCTCGTCATCCCTCGTTATCTGCTCCTGTTTCGTCTTTGCCTCCTCCAACCGGGCCTGTGGCGAGACCTATTTCCTGGAATCCGGGGTCTGACTTCACAACCTGTTGATTTTGAAACTATTGTGCTAGCGGTAGCCTCGGCTTTACGGCATCAGACTCCAGCATCTTCCTCTGCTATTCAGTCTTCTGGCACTACGTCTGCTCCAGTTCAACATTTGGAGGAAGTTCATCGTTCGGCTCCCTCTTTAGATGGTACGTCGCCTTCGGATGTTAGCGTTCATGCTGTTGACACACCTCAATTGTTAGTTTGGATTGCCGATAGCCTCCGACTACAGCGTAGTAGTTCGCCTTTTGATTTGTTATCCAGTTTTGATATGAAGACAGGTGATTTTGGTTCTATCACCTTTCCGCCTCGACCTTGCATCTCTCAATTGGCAGCGTCTCTGGATGAGGCGTTTGGTAACCTGAGGAAGGTTAAGGATGGGTTTGCGGCTCCCCACTTCAATTTAGCATCTGCTCATGTGCATGGTTTCTGATCGTCTCCCCGTTGTTCGGAACCAAACAGAAAGCCTACTCGCCGTTCCTGGTCGAGGATCGTGAGCTCTTGCATTTGGATAGTGTCATAAGGAAGATTATGGCGCCACTCAACATGGTGTTGAAGACAACAGAAGCAATGGCTATGTCGGTTGCACATGCTTGGTCCCTCATGGTCTGATCGGACAACGCAGCAGTGGTATGGCATATCAACAGGATGGGGTCAACGGGGTCTGCTCAGCTCCTGCAATGGACTCAACAGTTCTTCAACCTAGTGAACTCTCTCAACATCTCTGTGCGAGCCAACCACATTCCGGGGGTGAAGAATGTCATCGCGGATTCCCTGTCCCGTCCGAGTCTTCCCTCTCCAACGGAATGGAAATTACATCCTCAGGTGTTTCAGACCTTCTGCCTTCCGTTGACGCCACTGACAGTGGATCTATTCGCCACTCGGTTCAACCATCAGTTGCCTCTGTTTGTGTCACCGATTCCGGACCCTCTGGCTTGCGATCACGATGCTCTAGCCATTCCGTGGGACGACCTGAACGCTTACACGTTTCCGCCAGTGGCACTTCTTCCTCGCATACTAGTGAAACTGCGCGCAACTCAGCGGATGACACTACTTTTGGTCGCTCCCTACTGGCCGGCCAGAAGTTGGTTCGTAAATCTTCAAGAACTAGCCGAACAAAATCCCGTACCACTTCCCGATCGGCTCGATCTACTGGTTCATCCCCACTCCGACCAGCTACATTGGTCCCCGCTCACGCTCCATCTTCACGCTTGGCGTATTTACATCGCTATCTACTTACCTGGCTGCCCTTAACACGGTTATTGCGTTGGCCTCAGGTGTGAAGGTGTCCACTGTACCTGAGCTCCAGTCTCTCCTCAGGTCTTACCGTATAAACTTCTGGCCTCCAGCTTGGGATCTTTCCGTTGTGCTTGCTCATCTCACGTCAGCTGATTATGAACCTCTGGAGGAGAAAGATTTCGAACATGTCTCCTTTAAGACCTTCTTTCTCCTGGCCTTGGCAAATGCTGCCCATATTTCCGAGTTGCACGCTCTCGATGTCTCTCGGGTACGATTTGAGAGGTCTAGACATGCTAGAGTTTTCCTTGGTTTGCGGTGGGATTTTCTCTCTAAGAATCAGTTACCAGGACAGCCAGATCGCACGTTCACAATTTCGCCGTTGTCCATTATCTTGGGCCAAGATGATATAGAAGATCTTTCCTTATGCCCGGTTCGAGCATTACGGATTTATCTAGCTGCCTCGCAGGATTGCCGCAGACTGCGTAAGAGATTGTTCATTCCATTATCTACTGCCTCCGCCTCAGAAGTCTCACGCACTACATTGGCGTTTTGGATGAGAACTACGATCCTGCGTGCTTATGCCTTTGCTGACCTGCCTCCACCGTCGACGGAGAAGCCTCATGAGACTCGGTCTCTCGCTTCCACCATGGCACTTCACAGGAATTGTTCCCTCCAGTCCATCATGGAGGGATGTTTTTGGAAATCAGACACTGTGTTCGCCTCACACTACCGGTTACAGACGTGGATGGTCTACATCAATTCGGCCCCCTGGTCCTGGCGCAGCAATGTCATCGGCCGGCATTCGCGGATAAAGCAATCCTTCCTTGGTCGGGTTTGCTTTGTACATAATAAAAGATATCGATGTTATCAATGTCTTGGTACTTTTTCTAATTTGGGCTTAGATCATTCTCCCCTAGGGGACTAGGGCGTGTTTGCACTGTCATAAATATGACTGGATAGACTGTGAGGCAAGTCTTGTGCTACATGCAGAGATGGTCAACATTCCGCTTACTGACCTCTACTCTTTGAGCAATTACGTCAGTGAAGTGTTGATTTCCGATTACCTACATGGTGGACCGCCTCCGTGGTGTAGTGGTAAGAGCATCCGCCCGGAGAGCGGAAGGTCGCGGGTTCGATCCCCTACCGTGTCATACCAAAAGATGTTAAAATAAGGTACTTGTTGGTCCCTGCCTGGTGCTTGGCATTAATGGGTACAACAAGGACTGGTCGGCTCGGAGTCAGTATAATGTGTCTGAGTGGGGTATTCATGCTTCACTGCGGCATGGTATCTCAGTGGGCTAGCACTATAAAACCAGCTTAAGTCTGGGCTAGTACAAGCAGCCGCACCTACACATACACACGCATGCACATCGTCATATGAGCGAAATATTCTCAAGCACGATGTTAAACCCAATTTCACCTCACCTACATGGTTTTCGAAGTGTTCCGCTCCTAAGTCCATTCTCACCTTTGGTAAGTTAGGGGGATTAGTACTGAACGTTAAACTGGTTAAGCAACCGGGCTATTCCCTCTTTCACCGCCTTCCAGCGTGTGTCTGTGGGGGATAGTTTCGAAGCAGGGACTGGCCAGATTAAGCTCTTCGACTTTAATTCACTGGGGTCACCTGATAAATCGCGAGGGGCGGGGCCTACTTGCCACACTTCGTCCTTTGGCTTGGCAAAAGTTGCGGCTGAAAACCACATTAATTTGGGAGCGCCCACTCCCTAGAGTTCTTGTGCTGTGTAAGCTAAGGGGTTACCTGAAGAAACCAATCACAAGTTTGGGGTTTGCATATCGGGAGTTGGTGCTTTCTCCTGGCCTCCTTGGGTTATGCGTCTTCACGGTTGTAAGTATTGACAGGGTAATCTGCGGCCCTCCTACCAACCGTGAGATAGGATAAGTTTAAAAATTTGAAAATTTTACTATAAATTGTATATTTATATACTTATCCTATCTCACGCGATGGATACCCACCCGACCTGCCCCACATCACAGATTCCTGGAAGCTCCAAGACGAAAATGACAGGCACAGGTAGTCACGTGTTCATCTGAGCGAGCTCCACGCTTATGGAGATGATTGACAGGTGCTGATATCGGAGTGGGGGCAGAGGTCAGGGGGGGTCAGAAGCCAGTAAGATTTGATTCAACTAAGCCTACAGCACTTTTCCACACATGGTCGTTGAAGGAGAGAGGTGCATACCGTGAGATAGGATAAGTATATAAATATACAATTTAAATAGTAAAATTTTCAATTTTATTCAAGCCTTTGCAAATGTAAGCATGACAATGGCAAGACCAAGAATCAACTTCTTACACAAATTCCTGTAGGCACAATACCAGGGGATGCATGGGTTCATACCCCTCCCTTTTGCCAGACTCTTTACATGTTAACTGCTCCCTATGCCATCACTTCTGATCTTTGGTGTTATGTGTACCTCCTTGTTTTGAAATCCTGGATCTGCTTATTGTGACAGATGAAATTGTGGCATATGTTTTTGTCTGTACATTTATGAAAATCAGAATGACATTTTGACCATTAAGCATCAACTTATCTGGATGGCCGTCTGTATCAAGACCAAGAATCAACTTCTTACACAAATTCCTGTAGGCACAATACCAGGGGATGCATGGGTTCATACCCCTCCCTTTTGCCAGACTCTTTACATGTTAACTGCTCCCTATGCCATCACTTCTGATCTTTGGTGTTATGTGTACCTCCTTGTTTTGAAATCCTGGATCTGCTTATTGTGACAGATGAAATTGTGGCATATGTTTTTGTCTGTACATTTATGAAAATCAGAATGACATTTTGACCATTAAGCATCAACTTATCTGGATGGCCGTCTGTATCTGTTTTCACAGGCCTAAAGGCATTAGATAAGTTTTCACAAGTTTTGTAACACTATAAAATGAATCTAAATTCCTTTAAACACCATCACAATAATTTCACTTGTGGGGATCTTTTTGTTCCAGGAAAATAATATTTGTGATGCAGATAGGTTGTCAGGCTCAGACAGAGAACTGTAACGTACGTCTTGGCAGTGGTCCTGACTATAGAGGTGTGCTGTTGCAGTACTCTACCAACCAGGTGAGACCACTAGATGGATGGACGTTCTTCATTTCAGTCATAGTCATCTTAATCTTGGAGTTTGATTTTACCCCACTTTCATCACTATTCCAGCAATATCAGGTCACACCAGCAATAGGCTTCACTGAACCTGGGACTTCGGGTGATAAGCAAACACTTAAACCATTCGGCTACCCCACCACCTGTTAATGATGGAGACCCCAATCATTACAAATAGATGTACAATATGTATGACCACACCACTTAAAGTGATATATATATATGGGGTTATGAATGACCTGAATCTGAATTAGTTCTTAAAGACAGGTTGTGATAACTTTATTGACTGACAGAGTCTTGGCTCTGACTTCAGGGGTCTGACTGGAAGTTGCTGGCCCGCCATGACCCTGAAGACTTCATGAGGCCCCGGCGTATGGCGTACGACGTCCCTTCCGCTGCCCGTGCTGTGGGCACTCAGTTCCGGTGGTGGCAGCCAATACACGATGGTGCTGGAGCTGACCAATGGGCAATCGACAAAGTAGAAATTATTTCGTAAGTATCTTTTCCTGGAACTTGTGATTACAAAGATGAACCTTCTTGTGCATGTGGACAACCTTGTCTGTCAGTCCCTGAACCATAGCATATGTCTTCAGTTCTGTAATGCTATGGCCCAAAATGGAGCAAGTCTACATTTTCCAGAGATTCAGGATCTGAATTTGCCATTTCACTGGTGCTCCTTTTCAATCTAGTGAGTTAGTGAGTATGATTTTGCGCCGCTTTTAGCAATATTCAAGCAATATCACAGCAGGGGACACCAGAAATGGGCTTCACACACTGAACCCATGTGTGGAATTGAATCCAGGTATTCGGTGTGACGACTGAACGCTTTAACCACTAGGCTACCCCTCCGCCCCATTTTAATCTAAATGGTGGTGTTTTTTTCTATCAAAATATTTTATTTTGAGAGATTAAAAGTTAGTCTGATGGACCTGCCTGTATGTAATGTAATAATTATTAAAATGTGTGACAAAGGTCAGGCTCACTGACTTGGTTGACACAAGTCATTCAATGATTGTATCTCAATTGAGTAGATCGATGCTCATGATGTCAGTCATTGGATTGTCTGGTCCAGACACAAATATTTACAGACTGTCATCATGTAGCTGAACATTTACTGAGTGGAGCATTAAACAACAAACAAAACTTAATACAAACATAAAATACACAATATTCATGCTCCTACTTCATCTGAATCATATCACGGTTTGTGTCCACTGTGTTTGAAAAATATACACAATGCGACATAGAAACCTTCCGTTTAGATTTGAGACATTGGAATGAAAATTCAACATTTAATTTATTGTTTCCTCACTAATATATATTGTCATATTTCAGTGGTCCGTCACATCACAGCAGGAACAGATGGACAAGACAGTAATTGATGAGATACATCCAACATCAGTTGTCACAGTAACTGAGGAAGCACAATATCAGCAGAAAAGTACCCAGAATCTGGGTCCAGACCGAGACTTTGTGAAAGATTGTGTACATACACCGCTGTGTAGATACATGTAAATATTTCTACAGCTGACTGAGTGACAGAGGCCAGCTATTACAGGGTCATGTCTAATTATTTCTGCAACAGTGCCTTGAACTACATTCAGATGTACAAAATCAGTTATATAAGTTTATATAGTCCGTGTATACAGACTGTCAGTTTACAGGATAACGGTTTGAAACATTAAAGTCCTTAATATCCAGTTCTAGTCAATTGTTTAGGTGCATAGTTGGATACAATTGTCTTTTGTACTTTCTTTCATTACACTTCCTATGGTACCAAAGAAACTGCTTATTAAGAATACTTCTTAAAGTACTTTTCATTATTTAACATAAAAAAACTTTATACCTGGCGCCACTGTTTTTCATTTGTGTGTAACCCTTCACAACAACCCATGTTCATCAATACGTGACCAGTATTGTCTTCAATATTCTTATGGTGCATGTTCGGATTATACGACAAAACAAACCCTGTTGCCAAACTATGAAAGTAGAATTGTATATACTGATAGAACCATGTTAAGTCATTAAATGGTAAGTCTTTTATACTTGTTTACATTTTGTTATGTTTTAAAGTAAGGTAGCATGGATGGCGATGGGCCAGTATTCCCTGAATTTGGTGTGGAGTTATGTCCCTTAGTCATGTCAGGATCTGCTGCTCATGGGTTCACACCCAAAATGGACCGAAGCCCTGTAACTCAGCAGCACGCCTGTGTTGTTAGGTTGTACAACAGTAGTAACATCTATGATCACTTTGGATTGACCTGCAACACTGTCATGTGACGACTGGAGGACAGGCATACCCAAAGCAATCTTAGTATTTCAACTATTGTAAATCCAAAATATAGGGAGAAAAGAATAATTTGGCATATAAATTTTGTTAATATGTTCCAGAGGCCCATAAAGAAAGTTCCCTACCCAACAGCTGTAAGTGAATCAAACAGGCCCTATTAAATGTGTTATAGTGTTTGTGTGAACGTGTTTTTGCATTCATATATCAGATATAGCAGGAACTCTGTCTGTCTAATGGTTGAGCCCTCTCTTGAAATTCAAGTTGTTTTAATACTCAAAATGCACACATTCACACATATTCATGTTTCAATATTAGTGAAATTATCTTGAAGTCCATTTCATCCCAACCCACACATGTAATTGTTGTTTCTTCCTCAAGATCTCTTATCATCCCACAGAATATTGGCTGAATACCTGCATGACACATCACAGCACCACTTTGTCAACAAGAAAACAAAGAACATCAATCAATCTCTATTTTATATGTACAATTTACATAATTACAAAAATAACTGATCAAGGAAGGTATCTTAATTCCTAACCCTGACACTCCAGTCCCTGTAACATGTCAATACACTGTATACAGTAACAACAAAATATATCTGGTTGCTATACAAATACCTTGTCCACTTGGTGGTAGTAAAACACCAAGAGAGATTATTCTGATAACAGGAAATATTTTGAATGTACAAGTCATGGAATAAATATCACAGTAACTGTCAAGATACTTACATCATGGATGGAATCTGTCCAGTAATATCAAACAATTTTATTCCATGTGTTAAGTGCACAGACTACCTACTCCACTATATATTAACTACCCGGTAGTCTAAACTTCTGATCATGTTGATAACTTATTCATAAACCTGACAGGAAATTATTGAAGAGCTACAGGTATCTTACTAAAGGCAACTTTTTGTTTTCAAAGGTAGATGTACTTATAAGGGTACTCCCCAAATATGTCACACAGTATAATAATTAACAATCTGGGGCTGCATTCAAAATACTCAGTCACTTGTCTCTACAAACTGTAAGAAAATATGCATGGTATCGTTCTGGTTGCATACTTCTCAGGGAGTTGGAAATGCAGTTCAAACACACACAGATCCGAAATACTTTGTGGTGTGGTATTTCACACTCAGGAAGTGGAATATTGTCGTTATGGCAACTGAAGACACTGGAATGCTAGGGATTGGCTCAGCCTATCCCCGGTGTGCCTTTCAGTTCATAATACTTCCGTGTGACCGGGTCATAGTAACAGTTGAGACTGGGGTCAAACAGGAGGTTCACCTTATCATCGTCTGTGTCTTCGCCTGTTGACTGGGGACCACTAGAATCTGGAAGAGGAATCATGTCATCATTTACAGACATTCACTAGAATCCCCTGACACACAGTCTGATATGATGCCTACACTGTCCTACAGTCACCAGGAGGAATATTGGAGGCTGATTTTCAAGCAGCCCAACAAAAACGTCAAATAATCTTTTTTCTTGAAAAGGTATAATTGAAAAAGTGAGAAAGCTTTTCTGCTAGGTTTAGCTTATTCCATATATGTGATGGTGGTGGGCACATTGCATGGCTTCACCATAGTCATCACAAATACTCTTGGAAGATCTGCTATCACTTCATAAGGTTTGAGAGATCACTGGGCAGTATTAGTCCAATACCCAAGGTATTGTATCCCTACTTGAAGGAGTTAACAAGGGCAGGTTTGAGAGATCACTGATCACTCGTAGTCCAATACCCAAAGTATTGCATCCCTACTTGAAGGAGTTAACAAGGGCAGGTTTGAGAGATCACTGATCACTCGTAGTCCAATACCCAAAGTATTGCATCCCTACTTGAAGGAGTTAACAAGGGCAGGTTTGAGAGATCACTGATCACTGTGAGTCCAATACCCAAAGTATTGCATCCCTACTTGAAGGAGTTAACAAGGGCAGGTTTGAGAGATCACTGATCACTGTGAGTCCAATACCCAAAGTATTGCATCCCTACTTGAGTCAAGGGCAGGTTTGAAAGATCACTGATCAAAGTATTGCATTTAGTCCAATACCCAAAGTATTGCATCCCTACTTGAAGGAGTTAACAAGGGCAGGTTTGAAGATCACTGATCACTCGTAGTCCAATACCCAAAGTATTGCATCCCTACTTGAAGAGAGGAGTTAACAAGGGCAGGTTTGAAAGATCACTGATCACTCAGTCCAATACCCAAAGTATTGCATCCCTACTTGAAGGAGTTAACAAGGGCAGGTTTGAAGATCACTGATCACTGTGAGTCCAATACCCAAAGTATTGCATCCCTACTTGAAGGAGTTAACAAGGGCAGGTTTGAGAGATCACTGATCACTCGTAGTCCAATACCCAAAGTATTGCATCCCTACTTGAAGGAGTTAACAAGGGCAGGTTTGAAAGATCACTGATCACTCGTAGTCCAATACCCAAAGTATTGCATCCCTACTTGAAGGAGTTAACAAGGGCAGGTTTGAAAGATCACTGATCACTCGTAGTCCAATACCCAAAGTATTGCATCCCTACTTGAAGGAGTTAACAAGGGCAGGTTTGAAAGATCACTGATCACTCGTAGTCCAATACCCAAAGTATTGCATCCCTACTTGAAGGAGTTAACAAGGGCAGGTTTGAGAGATCACTGATCACTCGTAGTCCAATACCCAGAGTATTGCATCCCTACTTGAAGGAGTTAACAATGGCAGGTTTGAGAGATCACTGGGCAGTATTAGTCCTATAAGCAGTGCATTGAACCTTGACATAAATGTAGTGTTCCCCTCACCTATGTTGTGAGACTCGGGGATCTCCTCCACCATGTGGCCGGTGTGGTTCAGGTCGCCAGGCAGGACAATCGGGGGACTGTACACTCCACTCCAGTCTCTACAACATGCATCACATCAACACTACAGTCTCCCTACTCCAGACATGTGCCAGGATCTCACATAACATGCCAGGTTCTATATCACACACTGGTCCACATAATGAATAATAATAGATACAATGAATTGTTCTAGACACACAGTACCATGCCCCCACATGTCAATCATGAGACATTACTATAATACTGTAAAAATATATGTTAAATCCAGTCAAAACTCATCACACTGATCTGTTGTATAATGATGTAAGGAGCTAAGGAACATTTCAAGCTGACTAAATCTTGGACAGGGTAGATATAGAGTGTGACTACGTCGATCACTAGTCACCAGTTTGTCTAATGAACACTACATATACAGTTTGATCGCACAGCTTATATATTCTTTACAGTTGACATACAATAACACATATTTTCTAACAGACCATGGCATCGTCTTTCAGCATTCACAGGGCTACCAAACTGGTTCCAAACCCTGGTAAAGTTAATATCCCTACATGGAAAGAAGAATCACCTACCTTGGGTTTGATGAAGTTAGGGTGTCACTGCTGAGCCGTGATTTCATTTCATCTTGGTAGTTGTGTGGCATCTGGTGGATCTACATCGAAACATGTTTCACTTAGTTTCATTACAAACACTACAAGTACATGTCAAAGAGGCTGTAATCATTTTAACACCACAGACAGCTTAGTGATCTGTTTCTGCCACAGTGTATTTGAATATATATAGATATATGAGATGAGATGAGATGCTTCATTTCACTTAGTTTCAATACGAACACTGAAGGCAAAGAGGATGTCATTGTAATTAGAAAACCACACTGAGAGTTCATTAAATCATCATCAGTTTCTGCCACAGTGTATAGAAGTCTATATAGACTAAGATCAGTGAATGAAATAAGCCAAAAATCCAGCCAGACATAAGGGCTGGTAACTTCAAAATGTTACCAGCCCAAAATAGATTTAATCAGACCAGACACCAAGATATGGTGAATTTGCTCAGATGTATGGAACATCTAAAATTTTACCAGACCATCGGGCTGGCAAGCTGTAAATTTAGACCGTTTGTCAGAATCTTGACCATCTCGAGTGGTCGGACGGGCCTTATTTCATACACTGCTAAGATGCATCATGACTTGGCTAAAAAGCATCATCATATACATGATATATGACATATACTCGTATTCACTACCTTGTACAGCTCTAGAGACAAGTTATGTGTGTCTGTCGACTCACCGGTGCTTTCCATGTGCTGAAGCTGGTGTCGTCATCACTGGTCGTTGTTGGTGACTCGGAGTACATCTGTGGAGCGATGTGATCATGGTGGGAGCGTCGAGGGCTCCGGTTGAAGGTGTTCAGGTCTTTCCTCGGGGAATCAGGTGCTTCCTCCTCCTCCTGCTGTCTCTTCATACTCAGGAACATCTGGGCCTCGAAGGAGTCGGTCACATCGGCCATCTGGTATTTGGTGAAATCGTACTGGCGCTGGAACACAGAGAATATCTCAAGACAAGAATCTGTAAACTCATGTAACGACAACAGGTTGATAGTCAACAGTTTGCAATGTTAGCTTGATATTTTACCTTACTGATTATTCAGTTTGAGTAATTTGTGGTGGTAATAAACACTTAAAAGGAATTAATTTTGAATTACAATTATGTAAATAGCTAGGGGTGTGCATTGTTCTGCTTTGTGACCAAAAAAAAATCATCTTTTTCTGACATGAATTACTGAAACAGAATTACCAGAACACTAAGCAACATATTTGCTGTATTAAACTGACAGTCCACATTTCTTGTGTTTGAGGACTGTTCACCTATGCTTATGCAGCCTTGAATACTGTTTGTAAATATTTCAAGCAGTTAAGTAAATTACAATTCTCTATATACTGAAACAACAGAATTGTTCACTACAAGGCAGTAGATGCCAAAATGACTTAATAAATTTGCTCAACAGAACACTTACTGAGGAAGGATTGGCATTTGAGATTCTGGCATCATTACTGGGTATCTGTACAAGATTCTTGAGACTCATCCTGGATATCACATTGCCGTGCAGTCCTCCATTCTGGTCGGCATATAATGCAGGGTTAAACTGCCCTCGCTGCTCGGGGCTAATGCTGGAAACTTTTGGCGTTGTATCAACTGTTCGTGCCCGCCCACCACTATCCCCACGTTTGCCCCCAGACCCTCCTCTCTGATCCCGTGTTTTGGGACTCGACGTACTGGACGTCCCACTATGAGGGCGTGAACTGCCACTGTGAGGTCTAGACCCTGGTTTTCTGTGTCTAGATGGAGTTGTCTCCTCATCAGTGCTAGACATGTCATTCACGAAGTCGTCCTCTAGTCTTGCACCACGGGCAGAGAGAGAATCCAGGGCTGACCTGGGGTTGGATCTTTGGGGTCTGGCCTTCTTGGACTGGAAAATGATTCGGTAAGTAACAAAGGAATGGTATTTGATAGCTATTTTAAAGTAGGAAGACCATAGAGAAATGGTTATGGGTAACAACTTCCTTTTCATGATTTTTGAGCGTAACAATGTTTCAGGGTTACTTTCAGTGCTAGTACTTGCCCCTTCATCAGGATGTGACATTTCAGCACAACCTCTCGTCACTTCATCAGGATCTGATATTTCAGGGCCACTTCTTGTGCTTCATTAGGACCTGACATTGTGGCTAATGAAGCCCCTTTATAAGAACCTGACATTGTGGCTACTTCTTGCCCCTTCATTAGGACTTGACATAGTGGCTACTTCTTGCCCCTTCATTAGAACCTGACATTGTGGCTACTTCTTGTCCCTTCATTAGGACCTGACATTGTGGCTACTTCTTGTCCCTCCATTAGAACCTGACATTGTGGGCTACTTCTTGCCCCTTCATTAGAACCTGACATTGTGGCTACTTCTTGCCCCTTCATTAGAACCTGACATTGTGGCTACTTCTTGCCCCTTCATTAGAACCTGACATTGTGGCTACTTCTTGCCCCTTCATTAGGACCTGACATTGTGGCTACTTCTTGTCCCTTTCATTAGAACCTGACATTGTGGCTACTTCTTGTCCCTTCATTAGAACCTGACATTGTGGCTACTTCTTGCCCTTCATTAGAACCTGACATTGTGGCTACTTCTTGCCCCTTCATTAGAACCTGACATTGTGGCTACTTCTTGTCCCTTCATTAGGACCTGACATTGTGGCTACTTCTTGTCCCTTCATTAGAACCTGACATTGTGGCTACTTCTTGCCCTTTCATTAGAACCTGACATTGTGGCTACTTCTTGCCCTTCTTCATTGAGAACATTGTGGCTGCTTCTTGCCCCTTCATTAGAACCTGACATTGGGCTACTTCTTGTCCCTTTCATTAGAACTTTGTGGCTACTTCTTGCCCTTCATTAGAACCTTTGTGGCTACTTCTTGCCCCTTCATTAGAACCTGACATTGTGGCTACTTCTTGTCCCTTCATTAGAACCTGACATTGTGGCTACTTTTGTCCCTTTAGCCCTTCATTAGCCCTTTCATTAGAACCTGACATTGTGGCTACTTCTTGTCCCTTCATTAGGACCTGACATTGTGGCTACTTCTTGCCCCTTCATTAGAACCTGACATTGTGGCTACTTGTGGCTGACATTTCTTGCCCCTTCATTAGAACCTGACATTGTGGCTACTTCTTGTCCCTTCATTAGAACCTGACATTGTGGCTACTTCTTGTCATATCATTAGAACCTGACATTGTGGCTACTTCTTGCCCTTTCATTAGAACCTGACATTGTGGCTCCCTCTTGTCATATCATTAGAACCTGACATTGTGGCTACTTCTTGCCCCTTCATTAGAACCTGACATTGTGGCTACTTCTTGTGCCCTTCATTAGCTACTTCTTGTCCTTCTTTGTGGCTACTTCTTGTCATTCATTAGAACCTGACATTGTGGCTACTTCTTGCCCCTTCATTAGAACCTGACATTGTGGCTGCTTCTTGCTTGTCTTTGTCCCTTCATTAGAACCTGACATTGTGGCTACTTCTTGCCCCTTCATTAGAACCTGACATTGTGGCTACTTCTTGCCCCTCCATTAGAACCTGACATTGTGGCTACTTCTTGCCCTTTCATTAGAACCTGACATTGTGGCTACTTCTTGCCCCTTCATTAGAACCTGACATTGTGGCTACCTCTTGTCATATCATTAGAACCTGACATTATTAGAACCTGTCATTGGAACCTGACATTGTGGCTCCCTCTTGTCATATCATTAGAACCTGACATTGTGGCTCCCTCTTGTCATATCATTAGAACCTGACATTGTGGCTCCCTCTTGTCATATCATTAGAACCTGACATTGTGGCTCCCTCTTGTCATATCATTAGAACCTGACATTGTGGCTCCCTCTTGTCATATCATTAGGATCTGACATTCTCATTTGTCATAATAATAAAACCCATCAAAAATGGGTATAAGTTTAAAAGTTAGAGCAGTCAAACAACTAAACAAAATGACATAAGACTAATGCACTGACAATGATTTGTGAAATCACTCAGTCTGACCAAATCCTAACAGATCAGTGACTATATATATACAAATCATTCGTCTATCACCTCCACTCTCTCAGTCCCACATTTACCTGTTTGGCATCAAGTTCTGCTGTGTTAGGAGACATGTTCCTGTGTGGTGCAGTTGTTGGAGCAACCGAAAACACATGGAGATGGTTGTGGTCTGATGAATCCCTGAAATTGTTATACAGAATACATGCATTATGCTATAGAGTGAGTGAGTGACTGGGTATGATTTTACACCCGTTTTTGAAATATTACAACAATACCACAGCAGGGACACCAGAAATGTGCCAGGCACATTTTACCCTTGTGAGAAATAGAACTTGGGTCTTTGGCGTGACAAGCGAATGCCTTTAACCACTAGACTACCCCAACACCCCAATATGCTATGGAACAGAAATATATAATCCTATTCAACAATTTCTCTACCAGCATGTTTCTGTATGTTTGCTAATGCAGCTTTTGGTAATATTCAATATAAGATGGCAGTCTGTAAATAATCAAGTCTGGACTAGCGTATCCAGTGGTTGATATAGTGAGCAATTACTGACACCATCATGGTGCGATGACACTTTTCAACCGAACCTGACCAATACATCTGGTTGGCACGTCCTATCAGCATACTGCAAATATTCTCACCCAGAATCTTCAAAGGGTTACATGTGTGCAAACAATCAGAAACCACTTAATGTGTGACATCTAAAGATGTTTATCTGACAGGTATTAACCATAATAGGTGATAAATCTGCTTCAGATGGTATGAGATTCATTTTGTCTGTCTCTAGTTTGTTTCTTATTAAATGCCATATTCAGCAATACTCCAGCAATAGAATGAGATCTGATAAGAACACTACTCACTCCTCACTGGACTCGTAGGACCTGGCCTCGGACTCATTGGACTCGGCGTCATTACTGCTGTCATCTTCTGCCTGTAGACCACGCCGCACATCCGAATGCAGAAGGCCGATCACCTCGCTGATAGACTCGTCCCCATCCACTGACCTGGACTCTGTTGGACCATGCAAGATGTTGAGCATTATCCAACAACTCATTCAGTGCAATACAGCAGCACTGTAATGGTTTTATTTCACCTTTACCAATGCTCCAGAAATATCACACTTCTTTGAGTGGCATATTTCGAAGTTGGTGAATCAGATGAGAGACTTTATTCTCATTTATTTTCAGTTTCTCATTATCTGGACTGCACACATCAAAACCATCATGCAGGAAACACATTAACCACCAAGCATCCCCTACCCCCACTCACAGCAACACCCACACAGAGTTTGCTGCAGTTTTACACTAATTTCAGCAATATTTCAGCAATAGGGCAACATGGGTAACCATAAATGGACTTCACACATTGAACCTGACAAGTAAGAAACCCTTTAACCACTATGTTAGTCAACAAAAGTGATGAGTGAGTTAATATTTAGCATCACATCAGCAATAAAATCCACTCCACCACAGCTTTCGGTAGCAGCCCACCTCTTGGTGTCTGTATCTCTGGGACGTCAGGACCAACCCCTCTGTCCTGTGACGACCTCAGAGGGTTCTTCACCACTCTAGATCCCTGTAAACTTGGAAACTCCCGACGACGATGGTCAGACTTGTCTACAGCCCCACTGAGGCTGACCGACTGACCAATCACTTCTCGCTTTGATGTACTGCTCCACACTGTGGCGGCCTCCCCCTGATGAGAAATCGGATGTGTCGCGGTCACCGCTGTGGGTGTAGAGGTCAGTGGTGTTGGTCACTGTCTGGTAGTTGCTGTCCCCGCGTGAGACATGGAGTCACTGCCCACAGAGGTAGGCTCTTCTGTAAACACAAACAACACAACTCCTGTGATGAACTGGAATCATACCAGCCAATATGTTACCAGGGTTACAGGCCAATGATGTCAACCTTAATTTTGAGTCACAGACAACATAGGCAAGCAAAGTGACTTCTGAGGAACTTCATTCAAACTTGCCAATTGGCAAATCTTCTCAAAATAAAAATGATAAGAAAAATAACTATTAACAACAGTAAACTGAAACCTAAACTCATCAATAACTCCTGCTAAATGAACAAGCTGAGCTTATCAGTAAGGATAGTGGACATCAAATCATGACTATCATATTTGCCGTAACTCTTAGCATCAATTTGATGAAAGAAGAAAGTTGAGGTCAGGGTCCTGCTCCATAGCTATATTTGCACTAAGATGAAATAACTATCATAGGTCTAAGATAACTTTGCACAGCAAGGAGCAAATGCATTAATACCTAGGCTCTTCCAGTGTTAAATATAGAAGTTCTTTACCTTTGACGGAGCCAGCACTGGACTGTCTCTCTTTAGTGTCAACATTCTTCACCCTCGGTCTCCGTCTCCTTCGGTCAGATGACGGCTCTCTGGGAGGGTGGGGGGTCACGATAGGGCCCTCTTTCACTCCTGAACATGCAAGTACATTCTTCTACTTACCAACACTTTACCAACATTACAATGAAATTGATAAAATATGTCAATCCGTTTACACATCCAAACATTGACCAGAACACATCCTGAATTATTTCCAATTCCTTCGCTGCATGGTGGACACCATTTATCACTCATTTAACAAAATAATATCAAAATCTTAAAAATGAATGAATGAAACAAGCATAACCTTTCTGGCTATAATTTTGATTGTCATTTTCATCCACGAGAGCTGGTTCAGACTTGGCCTTGCCACTCCGCGGTTGACTGGTGTTGCTCCCTGCAGAGGAATCTCTCTGTGGCTCTCGGGTGGACAGTAGACCGTTCCGACTTGTGGAGCTCCCAGACAGGTCTAAATAGGAGCCTGTTCCATAACCATCTATATAAACACATAGAACAGAGAGGTCTAAATAGGAGCCAGTGCCATAACCATCTATATAAACACATAGAACAGACAGGTCTAAATAGGAGCCTGTACCATAACCATCTATATAAACACATAGAACAGACAGGTCTAAATAGGAGCCTGTGCCATAACCATCTATATAAACACATAGAACAGACAGGTCTAAATAGGAGCCAGTGCCATAACCATCTATATAAACACATAGAACAGACAGGTCTAAATAGGAGCCTGTGCCATAACCATCTATATAAACACATAGAACAGACAGGTCTAAATAGGAGCCTGTGCCATAACCATAACCATCTATATAAACACATAGAACAGACAGGTCTAAATAGGAGCCTGTGCCATAACCATCTATATAAACACATAGAACAGACAGGTCTAAATAGGAGCCTGTGCCATAACCATCTATATAAACACATAGAACAGACAGGTCTAAATAGGAGAAAGTGCCATGTCTATATAAACCATAGAACAGACAGGTCTAAATAACCATAACCATCTATATAAACACATAGAACAGACAGGTCTATAAATAGGAGCCTGTTCCATAACCATCTATATAAACACATAGAACAGACAGGTCTAAATAGGAGCCTGTATAACCATAACCATCTATATAAACACATAGAACAGACAGGTCTAAATAGGAGCCTGTTCCATAACCATCTATATAAACACATATAAACACATAGAACAGACAGGTCTAAATAGGAGCCAGTGTCTAAATAGGAGCCAGTGCCATAACCATCTATATAAACACATAGAACAGACAGGTCCATAAATAGGAGCCTGTACCATAACCATCTATATAAACACATAGAACAGACAGGTCTAAATAGGAGCCTGTGCCATAACCATCTATATAAACACATAGAACAGACAGGTCTAAATAGGAGCCTGTGCCATAACCATCTATATAAACACATAGAACAGACAGGTCTAAATAGGAGCCTGTGCCATAACCATCTATATAACATATAACTTTTGCCTGTGAGTATACATGGTAACAAAAACACAGTTATTTTCACATTAACACATGTTGTCATACACAATAGCTCTAAGATGAACCCATCCATTTGCCAACATTGTGAAGAGATTTAAACACTTGGAAAAAACAAGAAGAAAACCCTTGTTTCAGTGAAATGACATATTCAACATAAACCTCACCGTCCAGCCTTGAAGATGTCGACCTCATGCTCCTGTTTGTGAAGTTACCCTGTAAGAAGTAATCACCATCATCATGACATTTCCAAAAGTTGAAATTCTAGCATTTTATTGATAGGTACTACTTCCATTTCCCTCTCTACATTTAACAGAGGGAGTGAGTAAGGTTTTATGCTGCTGTCAGCAATATTCCAGCAGAAACCAGAAATGGGCTTCACACATTGTACCCATCTAGTGAATCGAACCATGTTCTTAGGCGTGGCAAGCTACTGCTTTAATCACTTGATTACCCTATCATCCCAATATTTCAAATACACTATATTTCATACTGTATCAATCATTTTTGTAATAGAGAGCTATGTTGAATGAAATGCATTTTCCACAAGCAGGTGCATGAGTCTCTACAAAGAAAATAATGTGGATTATATCTTAAACAAAATTTACATGAAAACTGGGGATGATACACCAAGGTCGTAATATGATATCATGTGGAAAAATCATGACTATAAATATTTCAGACAGCAGGTTGAAAACGAAAAGCTAGCTGTAAAAACAGGTTCACAGCAGAAATAATTCATAGTGAACTTGCCATGACCAACATATCACTTCACCCCAAGTAACTGTTATAACGTCAGCTCACCTGTCTGGCTGACTTCCTGCTGGTATCGGCCTCAGTCGGAACCTTGGAGCCAAACGCAATGTGGTAGGACCTCTGGCTGTTGAGGCTGGAGTCTTAAACACAACAAAACTTAAACCTCAGTAGTCACAAATACTTGTTTATGGTGATCTGGTAATGGAACTAGTTTATCAAATACAGTAAACAGTAAATAATATAATCACAATGACATAAGCAATTTGATTGGTGGTTGATTGCTTGTGATTTGTGTGAAGAAATATGACAACCTCTAATCTGTTAGTCCTGCTTACAGCCTGTTGCTGATTCTATAGGTAAGGGTCTTGTCAATACAACTCCATCACATCCTGCTGGTGCTACAAATCACTGTGTGTGACTTGTCCAGGATAGGACCAGGGAGGATCAAACACTTTCTGGTGTGTTTTTGTCAAAGAGAAGCAACAACACAAAAGATGACATTTAGTCGTACCTTCTTGTGAACTGTTCAGATCAGTCATTATTAGCACCTAAATCTCATCCAAATTGCTTAAGACAACACGTATGTGATGCTAAAGAGCCATACAAATTGTCCTCATCTTTCAAACAACGACCTACCTAGGTTAAGTGTCGACACAGGTCTGCTCAACCCTCCACTGCCCTCTCTCAGTCTCTCACCATGCTTGATCTTGTTGAGAGTTAAAACCTTGAGGAAGATAACGAAAACACTGTTACAGGCATAATACACAATCACTGGGATGTATCTAGGATCGTGCACTAGACAGGCAAACTAGGAACGAAAACCCACTGGGTCATTACAAATGGCAATGGATACACGTCACACAACAGGGCATATAGAGTTTGGTAGCATTTTGGGCAAGCAGCCCTATTCAGGATTAATTGTCAGAATCACAATCCAGTCACAAACCTACCTGTGTACACTGTGGGACATCTGTGGGCAGCTGACAATGTTTCGGGATGGGATCCACCTCACCAGGGTTACTGCTGCTGCACCCATATAGTTCTGAGATAGAAAACAACAATAGAGACACACTGTCTTCACCACTGGGGGCGGATGGGGTAGCCCAGTGGTTTAAGCATTCACTTCTCACACTGAAGATGAGGGTTCAATTCCCCACATGGGTACAAAGTATGAAGCAGATTTCCTTTTTACCCTGCCATGATCACAATCCACACTCACTGAATGTTTAGTCTGTTGGTACATGACCAGATGGTGGCCACATGAATACATGCAAACACCTAGTTGTGGGTAAAGCAACGTGCAGTGAACATGGACAAAGTAACTGTGACTATGTGTCCCAGTCCACCCAGCTGTGAATGGGTACCTTGTTAGGATGAAAAGCCACAATAACTCGGTGCGCCTAGTGGCTGCAAGATTGGTATACTCCCCAGGGAGTTGAGATTGATAATACGATGTGCTGTTGAGATTGACATCCAATGATCGAGGGAATAAAAATACCAGCACCTTGAGCATGCACTAGTTGCCTGGATATGTGTGCTATATAAATATCCTATCCTAATCTGTTTATTAGTTTGGTGCTGAACTCCACAATCAGCAATATTGCAGCTAAATGAAAAAAGACTGACAATAACCAAGTCTTGTCCAGATGATCTAGTGATACTGTGATCAACAATCAGGGTATGATGGCAAGCAGCCACCCAAGTCATCAAGTCTGACTACTGACCTAGCTGATCACCTGTTACAACCAGCACTGGATGCTAGGAACCAGTTCTAACCTGGCACCCCCATTGTGTGACCACAGAATCACAAAACCAGTTCAGTATATAATGTCAGAGCTCCAGATAAGATTTAGCTCATGTGGGTACTGTACCCACTGTATTTTTTTGGAGTGGGTATTATGAATGTTGAGTGGGTATTTCATTTTCCGTTACCCACTGCTTCAAATGTGTGTGTATTTCAGTCATTTTACTCACCTAAGTATTATATGTCATTGAGTAAATTTACTAAGCAGGTATGTTCTGCCTCATGATTTCATAAAAAATCACTCATCCTATACTGACAGTACAACACCAGTCCTATACTAACAGTACAACTTGATAGCAATCGATGTCTTTTTCATTATGCAAGCAATTTTTATAAATATATTCCGTACGCATTTGTTTTAAACTTTTAAACATTTTAAATGAGTAATTGGAAATTTTCTATGCATAATTTACCCAGATACACAGCTTATCTGGGACTCTGTAATGTGTTACAGCATGTCCAAGAATCAAGAAATACTTGCATGGTATCATGTCTTCCTTACTGTACAATATCTTTCATAAGTACCCCTAATTAACAGCTTTATTTATTACAAAACAAAAATACCATTGTCATATTAAATTTGGGCTTTGATTTGTAAAATCATTGAAATCCCATTTTTCATACTGTGATAGACGTGTATTTTGATATGCATATTATTGCATGTCCTGGTATAGTGTTAATACAGTCTCTTCTAATGACACCTGCCAGTTTCTGCTTTCATAGTTTGTGCTTGAACAGTTTTGTCAAAACTGACATGTTTCAAGAATGATGTCCTGATTTTAACATAACCTAACCTGAAATTTCACATCGAAAGGTCCCAAGCAATATTTGCACTGCATCAACTTTATAGCGTGCTTGAAACAGCTAACCTTTCAGATCATTGTGATTTACTGTAAGGAATGTATTTATATTTCACTTGTTATTTCTCTTCTTTGATGGGCATTTTTATCATCATTCTTTTTATTTATCAGTTTTACTGGACAATTCCCAATCGGACATTTTGTATGCAGCTCTTTAAACATACACTAGGAGAAACAATTACCAATCGGACATTTACCATCATCATCCGTTGTGTCAGGGGGCTGAACCTTCATTGTAAACACTCGCTTCAGTTTACAGTTGGCTGAGATTGCGACTGCCTCTATGGCTCGGTATGTCTCTCCCTTCCATGTCTCGCCCACAAGTGACACCAGATCCAGACACAGGTTCAACCACTGAAATTAGGGAGTGTATCATTCTAATCCTTTCAAAATCAAAATCTATTCCTGTATAAAAATCTTTGCCCACCTAGTTCCTAATGACTTCCAATATGAACAAAAACATTTGTTAAAACATGCTGAAAACAAGAAAGAACAAGTGTTTGCCACAAATATGGAAATGTCCCCCACCGCTAAAGAAGAATGAAATATTTATAACATATTTACTACTTTTTATTTTTTGGTCATATAGAAGATGCCTGAAATGACTTGTGTCTACATAATCACCCAATGTAGGCTGTCGGCATGATTGAAGACATTTGGTGCACTGTTTTATCACGTTTTCAAAGTGTTATGGTGACCTTCAAGAGAAGGTCAAGGTCACCCAAATAAACTGGTGTCTGCGCAATCCCCAAATGTAGGCTGTTACCAAAGTTGAAGACATTGGGTACAACAGTGCCTGAGATATCACGTTGACGAGAGTTTGAAACGTGTTGAAAGTGTTGAGGTGACCTTGAAGATATGGTCATGGTCACCCAAATCACGGCTCCGAACCTGCTCCACGAAGCGTTCGCACACCAACCGGATCGCTCTCAATTCTAGCACATTGATGTGCAGGGTCGCCTCGTTCTTGGACCAAAGGCTGGAAGCTGTGAGGTCCCCCAGGAATCCCCCCCTCCCCCCCTTTTGGAAGAGTATTCCATCTGAATTGTGAGCGTGGGCACCGGGGTCTCCAGCGCGATACCCCTGGATAGATTCCTGGTGTCGGTCCACCACCACAAGTGAGGAATAAGCCACTCCGGAGTTAGGAGAATCGTCTCGTAACTCTCCGAGTGGGACCACAACTGCGCGAACGCTTGCTGAACTGGTTGCATCCTCAGATGCGCACGCCAAACTATGTCCACTGTCGCCGCCATATTGCCTAACAGCTGAAGTCATGTGCGAGCTGAGGCCCTGGGGGACTGAAGGAATTGTAAAACAATCCTTTGGACTTTGGAAACGCGGTCTTGAGACAGAGAGACTAATCCCTGCTGTGCATCGAATCTTCCCCCAAAGAAAACCAGATCCTGTGTTGGAACCAGCTCTGATTTCTTGAGGTTGATAATCCAACCCAACTTGGTGAGACTATCCATCACTGTCTGTGTGGAATCCCGACACAAGATGGTGGCGAGTGCTCTGAGAAGCCAGTCGTCCAGGTACGGGTAACAAAAGTTGCCCCGTGCCCTGGCGACTTGAGCTGGCACTAACATGAGCTTTGTGAACAGGGGAGTACACGAAACTGATAGCCCCTCCCGTCGAAGGAAAACCGGAGGTATTTCCTGAACTCGGGGTGCATCGGTACATGGAAGTAAGCCAATCCCCTGCCTCTACAGATGAGATCACTGAACGCAGTGTCTCCATCTTGAAAGACGGTACCTCAATCAAATTGTTCAGGCCCTTTAGATTTAGAATGGGCCTGAACCCTTCGTCCTTTTTTGGTAACCAGGAAATAGGTGGAGTAAACACCTGACTTTCCTGGCCCGTCGGAACCACCTCGATGGCTGCCTTGTCCAGCAACGACTGGACCTTGGCACGGAGTATATCTGCTTCTCCTGAGAAGTCGGCAATGGAGTGCAACAAATTCCTGGAGAAAGGAGGAGGGCCTCGCCTCCACTGCGGCATATGGCCATCCCTGAGTGTAGACAGGAACCAGGGATTTGACGTGACTTTCTCCCACTCCCGAAGGAACAGAGGTAGTCGGCCGCCGACAGGGAGGTCGGGTAACAGGCAATGAATCCTGGCAGTCGGCAGTGTAACAACTGCTTGCGCCGGGACCACTAAGGGCTCCAGAGGATAGCTTACTGAGAAGCCGGGCCGACTTCCCCTTCCTCTGAAAAGGCTGCTGACATGAAGCAGCCTTGCCCTTTCCTTTACCCTTGCCTTTACGTGCCTGTAGTGGAGCAGTCCACTTAGGCGCTTCCTTCCCAGACGAAGAAGGGTAAGCACTGGCAAGGACGGAAGGCCGGGCGCGAGAGGTGAGGGGTTGCTCAAGTAAGGGCTTGGAGTCCTTAAACTGGCTAACTGCCTCCACGGCCTCCCTGACTACTGTCAAAGCCCGCGGGAATAGGGTCGAACCCATCCTGAAGGGGAGAGACAGTAGCGCCTGCAGTGTAGCCGGAAAGTACCTGGCGACCGACAGCCATAGCCTACGGAAGGCCCATGACAGTATGGCGTAGCGTGCCAGATGAGAGTGCACCTCCGTAAGCTGCCTCGCTAATGTAGACGACGACATGGCATCGTCAATGTCCTCCATGTCCATCAGCTTCCTCTGCAGGGCCGAGTGAACGGTAACCTTAAGCTGCTGCACGGCATTGCGGTATTGCTCTTCAAAAGAGCGATATACAGACTTCAACACCTGGTTGTTGGAGGTAAATGGAGGCAAGCGCCGACCCTGACGAGCCGACGCTTGACTGTGGCCAGATACCCCCCCCTAGGGCGACCGAGGCATAGATGCACTTGTCAACCACCGGGGGATCAAACAGAGCAGCCTCTCCCATCAAGTAGCGACGGTTAAGCTCCGGGAGATCGAAGCGTGACCTGCTACCTGAAAAGAGAGGATTGATAACCTCACTAATGAGTGAAGGTAATATGAGCAAGTGGGTCTCGGTGCCCGACACGGAGCAAACGCCTCCCCAAGGAGACGAAACTCTGCAGGGTTGCCAACGGTACGAGACCCAAAGGACCAGCGCCAGTGAGCTGGACTGTACCGGAGCCGAGGCTCGGGCCAGACACAACTGCACCGGCAGAGAGGCCAATACCAGAGCCGAGGCTCGGAGCAAGCACACCCCCGGAGGCAGAACCCGTCCCTGAGCCTAAGCCCGAGGTAGGTGTACATCCGACAGACGACCCCGGATCACCACTAACCCCCGAACGGATACCGATCTCCTGCCAGAGACCGGACATCGTGTCCGAGATAAGTGAGCGAACCGAAGTCATCTGTTGCTGCAAAATGGAAGACAAATCCGTTAATGTTAAGGGTGCAGAATCAGAATCAGATTGTGCTGAAGTTGAGGGAAATGGGGAAGAAGGAGGTTTTTCCGCCATCTTGGCCCGCTTACCCCCGCCCCCATTAACATACGAAGAAGAACTCTTCTTGCCTTTAGAGGATTAAGAGGGTGGGTCCTTAGCCCATATGTCTCTTTTCCACTAATATCCGTAGGTAGAAGTACAAACTTCGATGAACAAACCACGCACGTCTATCTCGGTGAACGACAGCATGAAAAGTGAGGTGCAAGGTTGTCGGCTAGAGTTACCTGCTCTTGCCGGTAGGGGGGCCCTCGGGGGGTCCTGTAGGGGTGGTCTCACAAAAAAAACATGTTTTTTTAATTAAAATATAGTTACAACTGTCGCAGGTTTTAAAATGGACATTTTAATGCTTATATGGATACCCCAAGGAGGACTTCTTCTGAAAAAGAACCTGAGATTGACATCATGAGCATCAACCTAGACAAATTTGATACGATGACATGCATCAACCAAGTCAGCAAGGCTGACCACCCAATCCCGATTATTGCCCCTTACAACATGCATGGGTTGCTGAAGATCAATTCTAACCAGGATCATTCTACCACATAAGCAAGTTGATGACCTACCACAGCTTTCCGGACCACATTGAGTGGGATCCGTGCATGTAGTGGCGTGACTTGTGTCTCCTTCTGTGAGGTAGACATTTGGATCCGGCGTTTATTGTTGTGCATGTCCGTCACACTGTACAACAGAGCAAATTGGGAAAAATACAAAAGATGATTGGCAGAGGATATTACCTAATGTTTGATGTAACTCATCAATATCAGAGAGCCAAACAGAAAGGATTTTTTTCAGAAACACACACATTTTGGAAATCTGACAGTGTGAATACTATATTGAATTAACTTATAGAAAAAAAGCCTAAGGCATTAACTAAATTTATAACATGGGAGAAAATGTAACATATTGATGTTCTATCCACACTATAGGTGAGTGAGTATGAAGATTTAATGCAACATAATTCCAGTTACATCCGAGAAGCAGGTGTTAGATGCATGCTGCTGACATACAAAGAAACATAACTTGGGCAAACCAAGACACAAACCCATGCTTATAGGTTTCTGGAGGGGCAAAGGGATATAATTCTCCAGAGCAAACTGTGGCGCCTAAGACCAACCAACCCCCTTGCCATGACATCACTACAATATTCATAATTAGTACCTGCCTTCAAATCCACAGTGAGCGAGTGAGTTTAGTTTTATGGTGCTTTTAGCAATATTCCAGCAATATCATGGCGGGGAACACCAGAAATGGGCTTCACACATTCTACCCATTTGGGGAATCAAACCCGGGGCTTTGACGTGAAAAATGAACGCTTGAACCACTGGGTTACCCCACTGCCCCACAGACTTACGAAAACCATGGTGTTACTACAGCTTAGTGAAACAAGCCCAGGCCTACATCTAACCGTAATCAGCACCGATCACACTGGAAAGCCTACTTACCCAAGCTCTATGGAGAATTCTTGTCCCTTTACCAAGTACAGCTGTAATACAAGGTAGCGCTGAATCAGCGTCACTGAAATGAGAAACAACATGAGGGTGACATTAGTGAAACATCCTTGTGAAACAAGACTTCTGTGCTGGCACCACATCTGTGCCTAGGTAGCAGGTATGATGATGTCATGCCATGTGAGGCTACATCAGGTGAAGGAGGACTGGTACAAACAGGACTTACATGAATGTCTCGAGTCCCTCGGCAGCTGTATCCGGGTGGTAGCCGAGGTGCCTTCCAGCGTGTACACATAACCTTTAACCTCCTTTTCATAAAGCTGTAACAAACATCAAATATGCACATACTGACGTAAGAGTGAAAAAGAATATTTTTGGAATTTTTAGCTCATTTCTACCTTGCACTAGATTTGTCAGTTTTTGATCTGAATGACCTGTCCATGCATGTCACTGACTGTGTATCATGTATATTTTAAACCTTTTCAATGATTAGTGTCCAGTTAATGTCAAGTCTATGTTGAATATCCATAACAGACTGACTGACTGACTGAGTTTGGTTTTACGCCGCTTTTTAGCAATATTCCAGCAACATCACGGCGGGGGACACCAGAAATGGGCTTCACACATTGTACCAATGTGGGGATTCGAACCCGGGTCTTCGGTTTGACGAGCCAACGCTTTAACCCTTAGGCTACCCCACCGCCCCATCCATAACCGAGAAGGACTATGTGTTAGTGTATGAAAATTAGATCTAGAGCTATGATAAGAGCACTGGCGTATTGCGGATCTAAACATATCCCTTCATGAATCCATTTTGTCTATTCATGGTCACTAGAACTGATAATGAATGAATATAAAAAAGAGAGAATGTTTTTCACTTGAACTCGGGTTATGTACTGTAGAGAGAAGAAAATGGAATACATCCAAGCCATGCAGGTAGATTAAACCAGTTGATAATGAGTCTTCCAATTAAACTAAGTCATCAAACAGGGACAAGTCAATTGTTGAAAGTTTGACTCAGGTCATTAAAACAGAACATGTGGTAATCCCAGGTATATTATGTTTATCAGTCTAGTAGTACTCAGTGATTACCTCGATCAACTGTCTCACATATCACATGCCGACAATAAGATCCAGAATGGGGACAACTGCACTCAGTGAGTCTTTAACTACTACTATACATCGAAAGTTCAAATGTTCGATTCCTCACATGGGTACAATGTGTGAAGCCCATTTCTGGTGTCCCCGCCGTGATATTGCTGGAATATTGCTAAAAGCGGTGTAAAACCATATTCAGTCAGTCAGTCGAAAGTTCAAATCCTACCAAACACCTTCTTTCAAAAAAGCTTGCCTCTTGATACATTTGTGTTTTACCTCCATTTTTCAAAGCACAAATAATATTTCCACTTTTTCTACATTCAAGGGCCCTGTTGCTATGGCGATGACAGCCAAAGAGCTAAGATCTCTCAATGCCAAAACTGTCTCACCTTCTTGATTCCTGTCCCATTCTGCAGCTTCCAGTGAGATGTGGAATCTTTGCCCTGAGCGCTGAAGATTTCAAAGTATGGACCACCCTGAAAAAACAAAAGCAAGATTGATTCTGAAACTGTTTGAACATGTTAACAAAATTTCGATTCTATCCCATCAATCATATTGGCCACTGACAAATACTGCTTTGGTGAAATGCACAACTACAGGTATCATGACAAAGACAAACTTCAGGCACGACAAATCTCAAATTCCAACCCACATATAGCAGGTCCTGAAGCTGCCAAGAGGTGCAACTCTGCAAACAATATTGCAGTCACACAGAACATTGTGTCATTATCGAATCACAGCATGACATGGGGTGAGTGATCGTTTAGTTTTACGCCGCACAGCATGACATGGAGTCCTGTAAAGTTTAGAGACAATAGTATTTAGGAACTCTATCATGTCTATACAACCTATCCCGTTTAACATTATGTTATGCATAGTGCCTTTTAAGGCAAGAAATGGGTTGCTGAAGACCACTTCCCGAATCTTTGGGTCCAGCATGACATAAAATTTCAAATACTATTTAGTCATCATGTCTATCACGCCTATTTTAACATTATGAAAAGTCATTTCATACATAAAATTTCAAATACTGTCATACGTACCTGAAAGTCATGCCTGAACATGGTGCTTGTAAAGGTCTTCAGTTTCCTGTAGCAATACTTATACAATTCAGTCGTTCATTGGGAAACTGTTCACCTCCAGGTGTCCAAATAGGTTCTCTTCCCATGGTCTGTCTAAAATCTTAAACTCTTTTCATGTAGGTTTCATCAACTTCAGTGTGTTGTTTTGTGTGTTGTAGTGTTATACCAAGTGATACATCGAACCTAGTGTTCACATCTGGAAAATATAAAGATAGTTTCTCAATACAAGCTTATAACTGTGATTACTGATATGAGGTTAGTTAGTTTACAACAATATTATATTATCAATATGAAAAGATTCTTTATATGGATGTGTTTTTAATTTATCAGGTGAAATTGTGTTTGAGTAGCAAACTTGGTAACATCATCAGTCAACATATCTATGGAGTTTACAATTTGTCTGAGAGACAGATACACAAGACTTCTAAACTTATACAGCATGACCATGATGATATTATGAGTGATGACAGAAGCTTTGAAAAGCGTAGATTAATGATGCACATAAATTTTCACAATATTAAAGGGGAACTGACATTGAGCAATTCTCTTGGACTGGTTCTTGCTTTTGTTACTGTTTTTTTTTATGGGTAATTGAATGATATCCCAGAAATCTTGACTGGTTTGTGAACAATGCTGCGCAATATGTATGTACAATGGATAAAAAAAGTACAAGTGTGAATCCTATCATTGATAAAAACTTGAAAGACATTTTTATCTTGGAATTAATTGGGAATAATATGTGAATGACATGAACAGGGAGAGGCTTGTACCACCAAACATAGATGACAACAAGGGTGCAGTACCAGTAATCATTATACTGTAAGCAATCAAAATGCAAAAAACGAAAACAAAAAACAAAACAAAAATACAACTGCTGTGAGGATAGTTGGCTGCAGGGATATTGTTGCTGCTGCTGTGGAGGATATTGTTGTTGCTGTGAGGATATATTGATATTGTTGCTGCTGTGAGGATATTGTTGTTGCTGCTGTGTGAGGATATTGTTGCTGCTGTGAGGATATTGTTGCTGCTGTGAGGATATTGTTGCTGCTGTGAGGATATTGTTGCTGCTGTGAGGATATTGTTGCTGCTGTGAGGATATTGTTGCTGCTGTGAGGATATTGTTGCTGCTGTGAGTTGCTGCTGTGAGGGGATATATTTGTTTGCTGCTGCTGTGAGGATTGTGAGGATGCTGCTGTGAGTTGCTGCTGTGTGAGGATATTGTTGCTGCTGTGAGGATATTGTTGCTGCTGTGAGGATATTGTTGCTGCTGTGAGGATATTGTTGCTGCTGTGAGGATATTGTTGCTGCTGTGAGGATATTGTTGCTGCTGTGAGGATATTGTTGCTGCTGTGAGCATGTTATTGCTGTTTATTGCTGCGTACTAAAGTTAACAACTGTACATACATATTTACCTTAGTTGTCTTTTAAATAATAACATTAGCAAAGTGGGGTTCATTTAGTTTATGGCTTCACATAAATCAATAAATGAAATGTGTTTTCTCATTATCACAGGTCAATTGACATGGCATTATTACATTACTAGATTAAATATCAAGGTACAAAACCAGAAATGGGATCCAAATCGGTCTCAGTTATCATATCATGCATGCATAAAAAATATTGCTTGCACTGCTGGGATACTCTAACAAGATCAGACTAGAACCATCAGGGTTATTTTCAAACAATTGCATCTGATGGGCATCCACCATTTCTTATGTCTGTTTGTTTAGGCTGAAGAAATGAATAAGCATGTGCCCTTTCGTATGTGTATCTACATACCGTATATACAATGTCTCAGAGTTTATTCCACTGTCCTTACAAAAAGTACCCCAGTCTCATGTTATGCTCAATTGCGTCTGCTGGCAAATTGTCTTACGTTAGCTAATGAGACCTGGGTAGAAGTGTTAGACTGCCTATTTAAAGCCAAGGATCGGTACAAAAAAACATTAAACAGGCACAGCAGTTCACCTTCATTAGGTGTTATATAAGTCTAATGATGTGCTGGCAAAAATCTTTAAAGCCAGCCCTAGGTATACTAGATAATGTGGCACATAGTTGCCACTCGTTTAATACGATCGCGGCAATCCCAATTGCCTCGTTTGACCCGGAAATAGAAGAAACTCTCTATTATCGCGGTATTGCTATTTTCTTACTATGACACGCGGTACAAGCAAATGACTCTGTCAAACATTAACTAAGACAATTAAAATATCTAAACAGTTTTAATATTAAAAAATTATTCAGGAATTTCATTCAGATTCGTAATATCATCATGTTTTTAACCAAAACATGTGAAACTTTTATTCACTTGGATGCAAGGTAACAATAACGTACAAAATCATTTTTTGCCGCCTTACAATGTACCATACAATATACCACCATGTGCAGGGTAAAGTTCCATAATATGTCACTTCCTGTTATAGCCTTAAGAGGGAAAATATGCAAATGACCTTACATTTGTTGCAGGATTACTCTTGACGAAGTAAGTATGATTCATGCTAGATATAATTGCAGTAGGGGTCATACTAGTTTCAAAATGTTCCAGAACTTACTGAAAAGATGAATACTTCAATATTTCTACGATTAGACATGACATTCCAATGCACATGATGAAATAAATGACTTTTTCAAGAGCGATGAATTGTTTTTTACGTAATTTGCATACATAATTTGCGGTATGTAAACAGTCGATGTGGGGCATGGTGTTTCTGCTTTCCCGGTGTTTTCATGTGCCGCGATAATAGAGAGTCCCAGTATATAACATGAACCTGTTTGGGTTTGGGGTTGAGGAATATGGATTTGTCCACTGTTTAGGGTAACGGGTATGTTTATGCATTACGAATATGTTCAGGTTACATTCCTAGGAGCACTTTACTTATACAGGTACCATTGTTTTAGCTACTTCCGGTTGCTGTATGTAGAAGTCTAACCCTAACTCGGCTAACCGTAACCTTAAGGTTCCTTCCGATTATGCGTAGAAAATATGCTTAGTGGTACCGGTATAAGTAAATCTAGCCCATTCCTATAAATATATAAACGTAGCTGATGTACATATCGGGGAAAGAGTTCCTTCCATTCCCCCAACCCTAAACCTAACTCTAAACCTAACCCTAACTTAAATTTTGGACTTTAAGTCATTTTGTGAGTTCTCTAGTAATTGTTGTGTTAAGTTTGTTAATAATTTTAGTATATTTATAAATATTATTTGGGATAGGGGAACGGGAGGATCTCTTACCCATATCTGTAGCTCCCGTGCAGACAACGAAACCCATCAGCCTAAATATTACTACTGATTCTCATAAACATGTAGCGTATGTCAAAGATATGGTGGAATTTGTTTAATGCTGTCAACGGATGATACATTGGCTTTACTTAGGTTCTCACTTTGAACTAACTGTAATGGTTTGTAATTTTTGAAAATTAGAGAGTGTTGAGTACACAGCTAGGCTCCAAACATTCCATAACGTACCAATCCGTCTGCTGTACACTTGTCAACAGCCCAACCAAAGAATGAGGGAACGCTACCCTCTGAGGTCCATCAAAGTTAATTATCTTCGTAATTGTACGGATTAGCCTTTTTCCATGGTTAAAGATTTGTCTCAGTATTAATGCAAACGGAAATGTGGTTGACAAGACGAATGAACCAATAGTAAATGAAGTATTGACCTTAAATCTTTAAAGTTGACTGATCTCTTGCGTCGTCCGCCATATTTGTTGCTACAGCCAAGCCGAGATCCTAACAGCCAATCAAAACTACTTTTACATTGTAAGCACCTGCAGCAGTTAGGAATTTTCATAATGAAAACGAAAAAGGATTTTGTGAGTAGAACTATTTATTGAACAGAGATACTTTTACCGAATACATTGCGCACCTATGTCTCAAATCCGTTATAAACATAATATTAAAACTTTGTATGCAGAACAAGATGCAGACATGACCACTCTTACAAAATGTTTTGTTTCGTTTCGTTAATACATATTTCACAGGCCATTCCAATTTTGCAGTTAACGCTTGTCGGAAGATTGCGCCACATGTGTGTTATTGTTGGAAATTGATTGTCAGTTAAATTGAAAACATGTCAGGCCGGGCAGGTATGTCTTCTACGTTTAACAATCGTGCCATACTATCTCCAAAAAAATTCTAAAGTCTTTGGAACTCTTCGTAGAACACCAAATCCGTTGCGTATTTGCGTGAAATATCGCGCCCCTTGTTTTCGATCGCAAGTTTAGTGTTATAAAGATATTAGACAGGGAAAGAAGCCATAGAAAGTTCTATTTTAAAGTAAGGATTTAGATATATAAATATCATCGACTTTCATCATAAATGATTCTGCAAGTTAGTTTGTATTGATTGAACAAATAATACTAAACCAGAAATACTATATTGTACGGTTGTTGAGGTTGCTTGTTTATTGTGCTTAGGCCTGAATCACGAAATACTATACTGTCAGAAAGAGAAGAAAAACCCCTGTTTTTTTCGCATTTAATCATTTATATATCTTTGGTTTATGTAGTTAATATGGGAAAGAGTTCTGGGGTTCAAGCTAAAACAGCACCTGGACTCAAGATAGATGTAGCAAAGTCTGCAATAGTGCAATTTCAACAGTTAATTGGAATTGGATGAAGTATACATGGTGTACTTAGTAAATCAATAAGAAAGAATACATCTTATAAAATTCAATAATATATGCACTGGTTTCTATTTCTAAACAGTCTAACCTATAATATGTGAGCCAGGTGTCCACACACCAACGTTTGATCAATGATATTTTCATTTAGATTGTATTACCACCATTCTATTCTAATGGTTGCTAGCAATACCTGTTACCCTTGTTATGTTGTAGCCCGCTGACTTGGTTGACACATGTTGATCATGCTGTTGATCACTGGATTGTCTGGTCCAGACTAGATTCTTTACAGACAGCCACCATAAAGCTGGAATATTGATGAGTGCGGCGTAAAACTAACCTCACTCACTGTTATGTTGTATTGTCTACATTCACTGAGCCAAACAGTCACAGAGTGCCAGCAGAATGCTACAAAAATACTTGTATGATTTGGAAGTATTTCCTGTTCATAATTTTCCGAAATTTATTTATATAATCTTCGTCATATTTAATTTCATGAACCTTCCAATGTCTTTACAGGTGGTAAGAAGAAGCCTTTAAAGGCTCAGAAGAAAGAACAGAAGGAATTCAGTGAGGTAAGGATTAATTCCTGTATTATTTTCAGCATCATTAATATTTTACAGCCAAGTGTATTGACCGTTGATGGCACCTTCCTAAGCAAGGTAGTTTTGACTGTATGGTTAACAGAATTTAAGGGAACACCTGCATAAGATTGAAGACCAACTTAAACAGTAGGTCATGTATTTTTATTGTGCAGGGCCCCGTTTCACAAAGCTCTCGTAAGCCTAAGATCTCGTTACTTTTCTCGTAGCATTCATACTTCCTATGTTACAGTAATGGAGGTACGAATGCTACGAGAAAAGTTACGAGATCTTAGGCTTACGAGATCTTTGTGAAACTGGGCCCTGGACTGAAAGAAGCCATCAAGGAGATTGTGCATCACAACCGTATAAAACATAATAATAATTATGGTGTCGTCAACATTATGGTGTTGTCAGTGTATCAAAATGCCTCCAAGTCTATTTGTAGTAAATAGCAACCTCGCCTGAGGTTGATTTAGAAATGATATATCAACCTAGGGGGAGGTAGCTATTTGCCATACACGTAGCGGAAAAGGAGGACTATTTTGTTAAAATACACGCAGGTAAAACAGAGGATTATGTTAAGTTAACCTAAATGATTTTAAAATTATTTAAACAAATACAGTATTGTTTTGAAAAATGAGATTAGGTCTTACGTAGTCTCAAAATCCCCAAAACACCCCTTGAAACAAGATGAGATTGTCCCACGGGAAAGTGCATCTGCACAGACCAGAACGCAGGAACCGGGGTGCGTTCAGTTGCAGATACCTCACCGCGGGTGTCCTTATTTAACATGGGATGTTTGTGAATGCTCACAAATTTTGTAAATGAAAATAAATATGTGTATAGGAAACCTGCAATCAAATTAAAACTCACAAGACACGATAATTCAATGTCCTTCCTGTTATGCTACCTGTTATTTAACTAAGCTGAAATAACAATCAGCTGTGTACTCATGTTTTGTTCCAATCTACTGGTGATTGAGTTAAAAACGACCTGAAAATATAACATCAAAGGATTTCTATCCATTATCAGAATGATTTATATCTTAAGCGGTTATTTTAACAGAGATATATATATATATATATATTATCGTATGGTATTAGTATAGTGCATGTTTTCTCCGAAAAGTATTTAACATAATAATTAACATGTTCAGCACTTTGGGTTACGTGTCGGGATACATTTTACGTATGAGACAGTTTGTCAAGTCACCGTTGACTTCCCACGGTACCAGTCTATTTGATTGTAAAAACACAATAATGGCAATTAATTGTGAAATATGACTTCAATGAGTCAATAACGCGGGTCTTGTGGGTCCATGGATGTCGTGGCGGTAATCTGTTCGTGATTGCTGAGAATAATGTGAAATTGGTGCTAATGCGGTAGGCGCAAAAAGCGGACCCTTATGAACAAAGTAAGCGGAAGTGGTACGCGTATAGAATAGGTGATGCATTTCACACACATTTTCTCCAATGTTAATGTAAACAATTTTAATGAATGGAAATGGGATTAAATTTTATCAAATAAAATGAAATCGAGGTAGATCATTTTATTATGAGTTTTCTGACATATGTTTTCGGATGGCAGTGTTTACCCATGCTATAACGCGGTTTGTTGCATCACAGCTAACATCGTAAGTACTCGGCTCATGGCGTGTATTTATGATAAAGTTGACTTCAATAAGTTATTACAATGTTTTGCTGTTCGTCTGATTTGAAATAACTGAAAAAGAAACAACTCAGCCATTGATTTGGTATCTGCAGTTGCTGTCTTGATGACTTTGTAAGTAGACGACTTGAGGCAGTCTCGAACTTACTTCCAGGAAAGTAGTGGCCGTCAAGCAAAGATATGCATAGATTTTGACCAAATATAATGATTTGATTTCTAGACATTTTAAAAAAGGTTTTTAATGATTAATAAAATGACAGTACGAAAAGGGAAATAACCGAAGTTTTGGATTGCATTACAGTATACCGAACCGAAGGCAAAATACAGCGGTTCTACTAATACCGCGGTATACCGTTTCACCCCTATTCAATTCCCCACATGGGTTCAATGTGTGAAGCTCATTTCTGGTGTCCTGCTGTGATATTGCTAATAGCGACGTAAAATTAAACTCACTCACTCACTATTGCTCACAATGTTGATCACTGGTTTGTCACTATTTGATTATTTACCATGATTACAGGAAACTGAAATCATAACATTCATACTGTGGAATATAGCTGGAATATTTCTATGTGTAGACATAAACTATAAGCAAACTTTGTCAGGCGAATTGACTACAGATCTGACTACCAGTAACCATGACAAGGTTCCCAGATACATGGACCAGGAGTATGAGTAAACTGGCTGTGTAGAGTGAGTGAGTTGGGGTTTACGCCACTTTTAGCAAATTTCCAGCAATATCACAGCGGGGAACAACAGAAATGGGCTTCACACATTGTACCTATGTGGGGAATCTAACCCGGGCCTTTGGGGTCACAAGCGAATGCTTAAACCACAGGCTACCCCATGGCCCTGCTGTGTAGAGTTATGTCCCCTGTGCATGCCAGAATCCTATGATCATTGGTTCAGATCCCAAGTAAGAGATGCCTGTGATTCAATATTTGGACATATGTTTGCTTTTGTCAACAGGAGGATCTTGAATTCAAGCAAAAGAAGAAGGAAGAGCAAGCTGCATTGAAGGCAATGAAGGAGAAGGCTGGCCAGAAAGGTCCTTTAAGTGAGTAGAGTATTCAGATACCCAACTGTGCCAAAACTTTTGTATCTTCTGTTACAAACTTGAGACTAAAATACAATTTCCTCTTTACGTCATACAAGTATGAAGATCAGAAGGTCATAACTACCAGTAAATACTTATTGTAATTTTGGAAAGTTCACAACTATAGTCTGTCTCACAGTCCCTGAACCAGGGGTGTGGTCGAAGCAAGCCTTCTGGTTGGTCAACGCTGCTAAATCCGACATTCTTTCAAAATTCTTAGGAATTTTTACTTTCATCGACTGCTTGACTTGAAATAAATGTAAGATATTTTTCTAGCAATGGCTTCTCAAAAGAAAGCATCATTTGTAAATGTCTCCTTAACAAACATCAACCAATCAGAGCGCTTGCTTCGACACAGACACACACACACCGTTTTTTTTCGGATATATCGTAGCCATTTGTGTCAAGATCGTTTAGTTGAGAGTCAAAATCAGGTTTCAATCGACTTGCTGAAATAACAATAAAGAATTGGTAGGTGCCATGAGTGGTGATCAAAAGGCCAATCATCCATGATTATGTTTACATTACGTTTTAATCGATTGCATGCGATGGTAGCGTAGCAATCGGCAAATCAAGCGGGTGGGGTATACCAAAGTGTCAAGCCTTGTCATAATGTATTATACTGTGAAGCATTTTGAGTCGGGGGTCATATCAAAAACAATATTTTTTTAATCTTTAATCCTCGCAAAGACACGAGGGACTGGGAGGGATGTAATAACCTTGATCTCGGCTGATTGTCAGTTTGAGGCAATCAACATGAAACGACTCACCCATTGTGCATATGTTGTGTATCATTTGCTTGATAACGGTGTTAGGATCTACACCGAAACGTCACATCCGCTGCCATGAAGAAGTAGTCCATCCATAAAAAGTGTTCCTCTTGGAAGCTACATGATAATTCTATACTTCACTGTAACAGAAAGAAAGAACTGCCAACAGTTAGCTGATTCTCTTCCCACAGAGGTTACTTGTCATTTCTTCCTACGAACCTCGACCCGTGTAGATCCGGGGTAGAATAGGTCTTCAGCAACCCATGTGCTTGCCATAAAAAGGCGACTATCTTGTCGTAAGAGGCGACTAACGGGATCGGGTGGTCAGTTTCGCTGACTTGGTTGACACATGTCATCGGTTCCCAATTGCGCAGATCGATGCTCATGCTGTTGATCACTGGATTGTCTGGTCCAGACTCGATTATTTACAGACCGCCGCCATATAGCTGGAATATTGCTGAGTGCGGCGTAAAACTAAAACTCACTCACTCACTCACTCCTACAAACCTCTGTTCTAATACGGCCTTTTCATGGTGCGAGTGTTCAGGATTCGTGATTGGTTGCAATCAGATTTAGTTGTGCAATCAGTGACGTTGTTTCATCGGGAAAACTAGAAGCCCTTTCCCTGCGCGATGCGCAAACGTTTCTTATAGACAGACTCAGTCATGTAAATGGCGGATCAATGGCGTCTCCTTCGCCCTCGTTGACAACGGCTAAGCTAGCCATTAAATGTCTTGTGCGTCACATGAACACAAGTTCCTGGCAGAGGAAGGATATTTGTGACCCAGCATTTGCTTGTATTAGTCAAGTTGATGTAACACGTGTTCTGATTGGACAGAAAGAAGGGAGATAATTCGTGTTGCGATTTTCTTGCCGCTAGGGGATTTTTTCGAGAACCGGGAAATATGACCGTATTAGAACAGAGGTTCGTGGGAAGAAATGACAAGTAACCTCTGTTGGAAGAGAATGCAGTTAGCTAAGAGTTGGCCGTTTCCCTCCCCGTCACTACTTTAAAACAAACCGAAGTAACTCTAATCTGGAGTTGTCATAATTTAATGAACTAAACATGTAGGTTTGAAATTCAACTAACTTGTTTTTTAGATAAGTAGTTGGAACTATTGAACAGTACTAAAGTCATTTAAACATTCCTACTGATACAGATGTACTACTAGGTTCTCTTTTTTGTATTGTGTATAATGATTGAAAGATGAAGATATTTTGAAATTCACATTGATGTATTATTTTACAACAAACAGTTGCAATACACCAAGAGTTCAATATAACGTTAGACTCGTATTCACTTAAGCATTTTGCCAGAACTTTTTTTCTATATGACTATAGTCAGTCTTTCATGTATGTAAGCTGAAAAACATAGGTGTTCTTAACTTTTCTTGAGTAGTACATTTAATAACTCGATAATATTTATCATCTTGGTATCAGATTTATTTCTGTTCTTCCATTTTCCTGAAGCCCTTATCTGGTGTCCCTTATTGCTGGAATATTGCTAAAAGCGGCGTAAAATTCACTCACTCACACTTCCATTTTTCAGCTGGAGGAGGAATCAAGAAATCTGGCAAGAAATGACCCTGGCTTTGGCTGCCATATTTTTAGAGGCGTTTATCATGTTTACCTGCAGAGAAAACTTTGTCATCACTCCTGGTTTACCATATACATGACTTTGTGTTGACTTGTTACCATGCAATGTTGGCCAATTGTTCGTTATGTATCTTATCATGTAATAAAATTTTGAACTCCCAAATAAAGCATTTATTAAATTCTTTAGATAGAATTCAGAGTTCTTTGAATGTTTAGATATGTTCTTGGTGCTTGATGATCAGCATTAAATATTTTAGGAATCTAGTGATAATGTACTTTTTATTTACAACTAAGGCGATTTAATAGTTGGAAGATGATTATGATATACACCTTAATGTGCAGTATTGTTAAAACCCTGTAGACGACGAGCTCGAAAAGGATATATATATCTCAATAAACAATTTTCTCAATTACAATCGTTTACTATATCTCTCACGGTGAAGTCATATTCGCCGAGCTCTCAGTTGGCTCAAAAGTCTTCTTGTTGGTCTAGTGGATAAGGCAACTGCCTGGTAAGCAGAGGGTTGGCTGTTCAGTGCCTGGTCATGTCAAAACAACCTATAAATATTAGATCCAATATTCACCCTATCATGCTTGTCAACTAATGTGATTGGCTGGTCAGATTTAGTAACTTCTACCATGCAGTTCATCGTATCCCAATATCTGTAGATCGATGCTCATGTTGCCAATCGCCAGTATATGATCAGCTGATTCGAGGTGGTACTGAGATGTTGAAGTGTCATGTGACAAAATAAGAGCAATTATCAAGGTGCTGAGGCCTAATCACGGTACATATTCATAATACTACACAATATAAGTAAATATATTTTGTTAAATAGACTACACAATCCCATTTAGAAAGTGGGTCAAATTTAAACTGTTATATTTAGGGTTACACATCTCAGTACAAATTCCAATACTTTTTGGGTGGAGACTGATTAGAGATTCAAGCTCCGAGTCAGGCACCTAATTGCCAGCACAAAGCTAGTGATCTAACCCACTCGTGTGACGACCAGTAGTCCAGATCATATACTTTGTGTACCCTCTGACCACAGGGGCTTGTATGCTAAAAACTGCCATCAAGGTATATACTGTCACTGACTGGGTCTAATCCTTTTATATAGTACTAAGACCCCGTCAGCGTTACAAGCCCCTGTGCCTCTGACAAGTGTAATCACTAATATAATGTTATCAATAACATCTGATAAAGTATGGTTTCTTTGGAATTTGTCAAATTCCTTCTTGGGTTGCGACAAGTTCAGGTGTCACCATTACTGACTAGCAACAAGTCAAGTCCAGTTCTCGTATATTAACTCTTGCAGAATGGACAAACAGTTCAATCATCAGTGCCAGAGGCTTTAGAAACCATACCAGGTCTTCCGCGCTGTTACTGTTAGCCAACACCTCAAACACAAGGTAACCTCATTGTACCTCTGTGGTGAGCATTTGTAGTACCATGAATAAATACTAAACCAAAGTTATGTTACAAAAATTTATTTGTACAAAAATATGTTTTTCATCGGCCAAAATGTAGACAAAAAGGTCAAAGAGTATTTGTGGCATTAGTACCTAGCCAAGTAGTAAAAGTAGCTGAACCGCACAACATGAAAAACATCACAGATGAGAAATATTGCTGTTCTTCCATACAGATTTTTACTACTGAAAAAGACAATTATGACTACCAGATTCAATTCACTATGTATTAATATGGAATGACAAAGTAAGTATAAACAATATGAAAAAATTGGCAGGTAATCAACTTTTTCAGTAGTATTTATCTTGTACTGGAGTCTTTAAAGATAAAGTGTCAACAAATATATGTCTCTACTGTCAGACAGACTTCTGCACTGATCTCATTTCCGGAATTATTCTACAAGTACATGTATTCACAATACAAATTGCAGCTGGTGAACTGACATACATCAACACCACCTCTGACATTAAATCATACCAATCCTTTTATCTATTTCTCATCTTGACACAAGTCTGATGAGATCTCTTTTCATTAAACATGGAATATTTGAGAGATTCATCATCAAAGAGCTTGTACTAAAAAAGACCTATTTAAATCTGTGAAATAACAGCTGTGAATGCCCTGGGAATTTTATTTTTGATATCTTGGATTAAGTTATTCAGCAATGAACCAGACTTCATTGTGTCTCTTGAAGAAGGTGAAGGGACTATCGTAGCCAGCGGTGTAGTAGTAGTCGGTGTTGTAGGAGGTCCCATTGAGGTAGCCACTGAGTTTCTCTGCCTCTTTCAACCACGGGGTGATGCTCTCCATGTAGTAGCCCCCAAAAGACCTGAAGAAAATGATGTTCCAAGTGTCACCTCGCGTCTTTAAGAAGTGCATACAGGTACTCTGAAGAATGCTGCTTTTAACAATATTCCAGTAACATCACAGCAAGGGAAACTAGAAATAGGCTTCACACATTTGAACCCAAGTGTGTAATCAAACCCTGACAAGCAAACGCTTTAACCACTGGGCTACCCCAGTGTCCAATCAGAAGTCACAATTAGCGAGTGAGTGATTTTAGTTTTATGCCACACTCAGCAATATTCCAGCTATATGGCAGCAGTCTGTAAATAATCGAGTCTGGACCAGACAATCCAGTGATCAACAACATGAGCATCGATCTGGGCAATTGGGAACCGATGACATGTGTCGACCAAGTCAGCGAGCCTGACCACAATTAGAGTAAAACCCTCATACTTCACATCCTCTTGCACCTCTTCGTACAAGGCAACTGAATGGATCGGGAGTAAGAATATTCTAACATATGACAGGCCTTTACACAATGAAATGAGTGAGTGAGTGAGTGAGTTTGGTTTTACGCCACTTTTAGCAATATTACAGCTATAGCATGGCAGGGAAATCAGAAATGGACTTCGCACATTGTAACCATGGGGGAATCGAACCTGTGGTTTTGGCATGACACATGAATGCTTTAACCACACAGCTAATCCTACTGCCCTTACAAACACATCGTAGCCAGGCAAACCAATTGCTGATTGGATGACCACCAAGTTTTGTTCTGCTCCTTGACAAGCATGAAGCTCTGGGGGGCTATTTTGATCTATATTTTGTGTGGTTAAGCACAATGCCTTAGACTGAATGTTTGATGTATCACAGTACAGATTCTTGAGAGGCATTTAGAACTTGGTGAATATATAAGACGAGTACATGGATGGCAACATCTTTATTGTATAACATGACGTATCTGGGCTACTTTTGCCCCTTTTCTATCACCTGAAGAAGGGGCAAGAAGTAGCCCAGAAACGTTGTGTTATACAATAAAGAAACATAACGAAGTTGCCATCCACATACTTGGCTTTTATGTCACAGTACACTCGGCAATATGCCAGCTGCATTATACTGGTCCAGAAATAATTAGACCAAACAATCCTGTGATTGCAGTGAGCATGCACCCAAGCACTGGGATTCAATTACATGCAATACCAGTAACCCGATCACCGAGTCTTTCCACCTAATCATTCAGATGATTCTCTTGACAGGCCTAGACTGCTTGTGACCAGTATTCTTACCCAGAATCCAACTGTGGTTTACATAATCAGAATAGAACAGTACAGAACAATCACAGCAGTCACAGAATCAACTCGGATATGTAACAAATAACATGAAAAACAAACAGCCAAGAAGATGCGACCTTGATCCAAAAGTCATCATTGTACAACTGCTACAAAATCTCTTTGATGAGATACCGGTAAGTTAAATGCTGCACTTTGCAATATCTGATCTGTATGATGGTGGTCTGTTAATAGTCGAGTCGATATACCCAATTGGGTTCCAATGAACCAAGTCAGCACACCTGACGGTATTGCAACTTACCTCACGTAAGCTCTAAAGGATGGAAACCGCTGTAGAGAGACTTTAGGATCGGTGGGTCTGGGTGGGTTGTCCCGTGCCACGAAGAATGACATGGTGAAGTTGGACTCACAGGCTGGTCCCGGTCCGGGGATGATCTTTATGATGACAGGCGCAGTCATATCGATCTTCTCACCTGGAGAAGATTAGTCAAGAAAATATATTCAAACAGATATACATGTGATGTTTTTTTTGTTCCATAATGTCCATTTAGAGTAAAAATATATTACTGATGTCGCAATACGCAATGTCCTGTATGGCACATGTATATCACAATACCTAATTCAGGGTACGTATCACGATACTCAGGTATATATTGTGATAAATAGTTCATGGAATGTATTGCACAACCAAGTACACTGTATAAACTGCAATACTTTGTACACTTATTTGCGCATGAAAAGGCCAAGGGCTTGAAATTTTCTATATATCTGAAGTTATATTTGAAATAAGACTTGATTTGAGATTAAATTGGTGTGTCAAAAATAGTGAGAACAGAATTCAAGTCTTCAAAATTAGAAACAAAATTGGAGTAAATAGGGATTCAAAGACAAATGAGTAACTTTCTGGAGCACCCAAGGGACACAACTCTGCATGGCAACTGCAGCACCTAGATGACTGAGCCACCACTGCTTTCTGGATTAAGATCTGAATTGTAACAGCTAAGTGTGCATCATACTTCATGTATTTGAGAGTAGTTTTTAGGACTTATCTAAAGGTGAATTTCAAACTGCTAAACAAGATACGATATCACTGCGCACCCAGATTCTGTGATATCACCGTACCAATCACCTGTATCCTCAATATCATGAAATCACCCATGTCTGCTGTGTGATGTGTATTTATTGAAGTTGTCACTCACGCGCACTATTCTTGCCAGAGATGTACTTGAATAGTCTCATGAAGTTGGTTCGGGATGCTTCTGCATAGTCCACGCCAACAGAGTTGGTGCTCACCCACTGAGATGCAGAATATTCTCGAGCCTCATATTCCTGTGCAAGATGAGAAATATTTAAAAACTGAAGCAGCTATGATTGAGTTGAACTAACATTTCTCTAAACTATCTGGGTTTCCAAAACAATAAGTAGACATCAGTTTAGTGAGCAAGGTTATGTGGAAATTTAAGCAATATTCCAGCAGGGGACACAAGAAATTGGTTCCACAATATTGTACCCACACAAGGAATCGAACCCAGTCCTTGGGCATGATAAGCAAGTGCTTTATCCACTGGGCTACCCAACCTCTGCAATGAGGTTAGGTGAGGTGAAATTGGGTTTTACGTCGTTCTTGAGAATATTTTGCTCATATGACGACGTGCATGCATGTGTATGTGTATGTGCGGCTGCTTGTACTAGCCCAGACTTAAGCCTCTGCAGTGAAACAAGAAGAATCAAGAGGATGGTACTCACCCCTTTAACACTTTTAAGAACTGTAAATCTAGGGCAGCCAAGGCCATGGCAAAACTTAGGTGGCCATTTTGACTGATCTCTGAAAAAGACAAAAATATCGAAATGAACATGGTGCGAAAAATATTAGTCTGATGGATGCCTCTTGCCCATATATATGAAGAACTTGCCCTTACATCAATGCAAACAAAACTGGAATCATCTGTTAAAAGGTATGTTCCTTCAATTTTTAAATGCTTGTGAAAGACTTGGATAAGAAGGATTTGAATTTTGACTTCCATATTTAGATGCAGTCTGTAGATAAATTCAAACATATTGGAAAACTAATGGAATACAGATTCACTGATGATGATGAGACCTAGGTACGTGAAAAGTCAAAATTTACTAGTCAGGTACCTGAAACCCCGATACCCAACACTACCTGGGTACCAGCTGTAGTCTCACCAGTTGGGTACCTGAATCCCCTGATACCCAACAATACCTGGGTACCTGCTGTAGTCTCAACAGTTGGGTACCTGAATCCCCCGATACCCAACAATACCTGGGTACCTGCTGTAGTCTCAACAGTTGGGTACCTGAATCCCCCGATACCCAACAATACCTGGGTACCTGCTGTAGTCTCAACAGTTGGGTACCTGAATCCCCCGATACCCAACACTACCTGGGTACCAGCTGTAGTCTCACCAGTTGGGTACCTGAATCCCCTGATACCCAGCAATACCTGGGTACCTGCTGTAGTCTCAACAGTTGGGTACCTGAATCCTGGGATACCCAGCAATACCTGGGTACCTGCTGTAGTCTCAACAGTTGGGTACCTGAATCCCCAATACCCAACAATACCTGGGTACCTGCTGTAGTCTCACCAGTTGGGTACCTGAATCCCCCGATACCCAACAATACCTGGGTACCTGCTGTAGTCTCACCAGTTGGGTACCTGAATCCCCCAATACTCAACAATAACTGGGTACCTGCTGTAGTCTCAACATGCCGTTGGGTACCTGAATCCCCCGATACCCAACAATACCTGGGTACCTGCTGTAGTCTCAACAGTTGGGTACCTGAATCCCCCGATACCCAGCAATACCTGGGTACCTGCTGTAGTCTCAACATGCAGTTGGGTACAATATGTCTGATTAGGAATCTACCAGAACCCTGGCAAAATGTCTTTAAATAATGTACAAAATGATCTTGTCATGGCTATTTTCCAGTTGACTGAAGTCAGCATATAAAGTAAGCATTGTTTTTCACCACTTTTTGCAATATGACACCAATGAACACCAGTAATGGGTTTCACACATTGTATCCATGTGGAGAATCGAACCCGGCCTTTGGTGTGACAAGCCGATAAAACAATAGGCAACCCCACACCCTCCTAACATATAGAAGTGAGAAGGAATACATGCACACTTGGAAAGAAATGCAAGCATCAGTGACTTGTAGTGCAACCATATAATTACAGTGAATCAGTCTCTAAACTAAATATCATGTGACTTACCAAGGCTGATGGACGTGCTGCAGGTACCCAGCTCCCAGTCGGTACCCGAGTGACCTTTCCCAGTCATAACATGTTTCACTTGAATTTACCACAAAGTGCAGTTTAATGCTTACACTGATTGACTGAGTTTGGTTTTACACCGCTTTTAGCAACATTCCAGCAACATCACGGCGGGGGACACCAGAAAGGGGCTTCACACATTGTACCCCTGTGGGGATTCGAACCCGGGATCTTCGGCGTGACGAGCCAACGCTTTAACCACTGGGCTACCCCACCTCCCCCGTTTAATGCTTACAGTTAATATCAAACTGAATTTTCAACTTACCTGTCCTTGCTGAACTTGGGGACAAATTTGAGATACGGTGATGCACTGTGACACAGGGAGACCAGTAGACACACACTCAGAACAGCGAGTACTTCCATTGCCTTGGAAATCTGAAACGTTTAGTTTAAGTTGTAAATGCACAGACTTATAAATGTACCATTTAATCAGAAAAGAGGCAAAATAACCAACACTGAGATTAAGAAAGTGGGTTTTACACAGCTATCAGCAATATTCCAGCAATATCACAGCAGGGTACACCAGAAATGGATGTAACCCTTACACTTGCAGGTACACCATGTTATTTGTTTTTACAGTGGTTACCATGCGATCTCCCAGCACACTCGAAGCCTCAACTGTCAACATGTAAACTGGAAGCACGGGATACTTCAAACTTCCAAGTCTGAACACCTCTGCCTCTTATGACAAACATTTAGGTTGGTAAGGATCATCGGAGTCCACTGATAACATCACTAGAAGTGAGTGAGAGAGATTTAGGGTTTACATTTGTATTAATTACCTTGATGACATTTTTCAACAATTACCATGATTATACCCACACAGTCTTCGACAGTATACCTTCATGCCAGATTTTTGCGTTACAAGCCCGTGTGCACAAATGAACAACTAACATGTATCAAGTACCACAACATGATTAGAACATCTGATCTCTCCCTCCCAGATTGTATCACCTATTTCAGCACGGCTCATCAGTCGTAAAATTTCGGGTCAAGTGAAACCGCCCTAAATGGGCCCCACCGTCAATTGCCGATGGTTTTCCGTCAAACAATGCAAAATCGGTTTTCGACCCATTTGCCATTTTGTTCACACATGAATGTTAACATGTATGGACATAAAGTACGGTAAACTTTCCATGAAACTAAAAATACTTACTCCGAATACTTGTTTCTGCCCTTTCCTCTTTCTGTGACCGTGCCCGTCGTCTGGAATCTGTCATCAACACTATGCTTTTCGTGTTTATGGGACGAGCCCATCTTTTTCTTGAGGGGTAAAAGGCATCGAAGAATTTCAATATTTTGATAAATATTGAATCACTCCTTTATCAAAGGATATTTATCATACATGATCCAACAATTACTTAACTAAAACTAACATACACTATTCTCCTAACTCGATATTGTAATTAATGAAGTATTGATCACCTCTGTCATCCCCCACGCAGTAATGTACCCTGCCAGTGTGACCACGTGAACAAATAAACACTGTTATGAAACGTGAAGTCATGTGATGCTTTCATAAGTTACGAAACATATCGATTTACATCAGGGCGTTACACACATGCCGACACCATATAAAAAAATCAATCGAAAGTAAAACTTAAATAATTTTACACTCGAAAGTAGAAATTGTCCTGTTTAAAATCACAGTAAAATACGGGTGTCTCAGCCTTGTCGGGCGCGTATACAAACAATAACAATTCAAAGCATTTTCAAGATTTAAACAAAATAATGGCGAATTAAGTATGCATTTCAACAACATATTTAAATTTTATTTCATTAATTTAACATTAGACTTTGAGATTTGTGTTAATTAAGTTGCATTCGGGATTCATCTTTGATACTTTCAGCACACACGGTCAGTAAAAGTAGGGGACTGATTCGAAGTACATAGGTAAAAAAAAAACTTTATTGAGAAAATAAGACAATATTTGTCTCTTTTTTTAAATGAGTGCGGTGGTGCTATCGACATACGTAGAGATGTGCTTTTAAAGGAACAAAAACTTTTAAATCGTTCAAATACTTATTTATGACCAGGAAACAAAGGCAGTCTTTTGATAAAGACTTTCTGGAGTAGGTAAATCTACTTATAGCATTCGATCGACAGCATGTTTGAAGTGGATGGATCCATACTGTGACAAGACTAGCTACCTAGCTGTTCGCTATGTAGTGTACGGCATCTAGAGATGAAATATACATCTGATATGTCGAACAGATAATTGTTGACATGGACGGGGTGTAGCAGCGAATGTAGTAAAGTAATATTCGTGTTTTACTCGTCAAACATCATTTGGAGTAGCCCACTACGCAATGCACATAAACATCATTGGATAGTGAATAAACTATTAAACTGTAAATGATAGTCTGAAACCAGCCATCTGTACAACTAACATGAAAAGTGATGCATGTTACCATACTGAAATTGGTTCAAACCTAACTCTGACATTTTTTGACAATAATTACAATGAAAAAGAAGTTAAGGATTAAGAATTTATGTGTTTCTTATCTTGAAATAAGATTGGAGAGAGCTGTCAGTCTAATATATTTTTATTCATTTATAAAACTGTTGAACGATGAATTGTTTGCCACAAAAATACATTGTTAGAAGTTATTTATTTTGTACGCAACCCATAAAGGGCCTCTTTGTGGCACGTTTTGCCTCACGTGTCCCAACTGTCTGTGCCTCGCTGCACAAGAAGACCACCGAACACAATTTGCTTCTTTCATCAAATTTAGGTGGGTGACCTTCAAATCCTGCATGCATACCACGCATTGTTGTTTGCACGAATCTGTTGAGATTGTTTTATATCGTCTGCTGACCGGACCGAGGTCATAACAAAGACTTTCAGTTTATGCAACAGCGCTTGACTGCCTTGAGTCAAGAGTGTACAGGCATTGACCCGTGACTGACTCTTGTTGTGCTCCGTATCACACACCAAGTTGTGCTCCGTATCACACACCAAGAATCAGCTGTAAGTAATATTCCGTAAAATAAATATATATTTCGTTGTCACTTTAGCCATATCGGGTTTAATAATTGAATGAGCAACACTTGTTCAAGTCATTATATTCACTGAGCCAGCCGGTCAGCTGTTGTCAAGTGTATATATTGATACATATATGACTTATCGTTTTAACCTTGTTGAAATATGATAAACTGGTGCTTATTCATTGGTGAAATATGATACACTGGGCATATGCTTCAGCGATGATTCGCACAGGCGAACATGTGCATTTATGTGTGACCAGAATACGTATGTCTATGTATCGACTATCAGAATAGCGATACAGCAATGTCACGTGTGTAGACATCTGTGGTATATGTGTATGTTATATACCGAGAAAGCATATGATAACTGATTTATACGTTACTACTGGAAACTTCTTCCTTGTAGTGGACTCGCATGCATACAGCACACGTCGACTGTAAAGTTGTATAACGATCAATTTCATCACTTTGAAAACATTCGTATCACGTGACCCAGCTAGGTAGGTCAGTTGTATAAGCCCAGCTATATATGCGTCAGGCTGGTGCTTTGGGACAATTTATCCATCGAGCGAAGTTCTGGAAGCACTGACAGCCAGTTGATAACTATTTGTAATATTCCCGTGTGCCAGATCTCACTTATTTCAGGTAAGAGCAGCTGACATAAAAACGCTGAAATGATACACATTGCATATATATGTATGGATTTTATCACTTTATTTTGATATATTAGTTCCGTTAGGGGACCGAATGAGGATATGTTTCGGATTCTGATGAAATTCCTGTGGTTGACAATACAATTTATTTGTTGATAAATTGTGTTATTCATGGCAAAGTTAGCTATGTTATTGTATGATCTATCCTGGCAGGTACAGATGATCTCCTGTAACTTTTTGATACATCTCCTGTAATAATTAGATAGATCTCCTGTAGCAATTAGATAGATCTCCTGTAACAATTATATAGATCTCCTGTAACAATTAGATTGATCTCCTGTAATTATTACGTCTTCTGTGACATTTTTCTGATCTGGCAAAGTATTTTTTTATTCTCTGTCTCAACTGTTTTCTGTGCAAGGCAGATTAACAGGATTACCTCGCTATAAAACCGACATTAGTCAGGGCTAGTGCAAGTAGCCACACAGGTTCTGGTCTGTCTCCCACAATCCAGCAGGCAGGGAAACAACAAGTGCCATCTTTTAACATGTTTTGGTATGACATGGCTGAGGATCAAACCCCTGGCTTCTTACTCCAGGAGGGGCAGTGGGGTAGCCTAGTGGTTAAAGCGTTTACTTGTCACGCCAAAGACCCAGGTACAATGTATGAGACCCATTTCTGGTGTAACCTGTGATATTGCTGGAATATCGCTAAACTAAACTCACTGACTCACTCTTACTCCAGGTAGATGCACCATCCACCAGACCACGGGGGTGATCAGCCCTCTAGTAGTAGCTGTTTTACATTCATTATACATTATATATTTATGGATGTTATGGATTTGTCTATTAATTTCAGCAACATGAGTGGCATATTCACAGCAGTAAAGTCCGCCTTTACATCCAAAGGACTAGAAACCCCAAAGTACAAGGTTAACGAGGATGCCAAACATGAGGTGAGACCTATGTGATGTGTGATATATGCACTACACATTACACAAGTACACAAGGAACTAGGCATGCAGGTTTCATGATATTTAGAAGACACATTTATCTGTCAATGTATTAAAATAACTATAATTTCACTTTTCACAAGACCCTTATTGGGAATACATCGGACAATTTAGAACAACAGAGATAAAAATATGCTTACTGTGAGTTTTCTGTGATGATTCAGACAGTCGCATGTGATGTCAGTTACATCTGGTGACTAGGTGTTTATCGTGATGAGTCATCATGCCGTTTCATTTCCATGACTTACTTTCCCTTACCATGTATCACCTTACCAGTTTGGTGACAGCAGACTCTTGCTGGTCCAATCTAGATACATGTCATGTCAGTTATGTGAAGCTGTTACTTAAATGTCTTCCTTTTTACATAAAAGCAGCCTAGGGTCTCCTTTTATGTCACTGAACATCACAGTCAGCAATAGTCCAATTATATAGTGGTGTCTTCAGATCCGTAAATAACCAAGTCTGGACTGGACGATGCAGTGATTGATTTTGTGAACAAGAAACTAGAGTGTCCAGTATGGGTTACTAGGGATCTATACTATATATATTTGTTTATTTGTTTTGTTATGCCCCACTCAGCATATTTCTGCTCTGTGATAGCTGTCTGTAAATAATTGTGTCTGGACAAGATACTTCAGTTATTAACATCATGAGCATAGATTTATGCAATTAGGTTAAAATGACGAATCAACAAAATCAGTGAATTGTTTTCATAAGAATAAAACAGTTGGCAGCAAGCAAGCATGACATTTTATATTTTTTTATCAATTTTTACTTTTGTGGTCAGTAAATTAAGCGAGTAATGGAAAAGGGAAAATGCATCTAATTGTAAAACTTCTGAAATGAGTACTTCCAAATGAATTATGAAGTACGTTACTATGCTTTTATGGTTCTCAGTACACTAAAGGGGCGGTGGGGTAGTCTAGTGGTTAACTAAAGCGTTGGCTCGTCACGCCGAAGACCCGGGTTCGAATCCCCACATGGGTACAATGAGTGAAGCCCATTTCTGGTGTCCCCCGCCGTGATATTGCTGGAATATTGCTAAAAGCGTCGTAAAACCAAACTCAGTCAGTCAGTACACTAAAGAAGTGGAAAAATGCATTTGGACTGTAATGCACCTGGATGAAGTAGTTCATGGTGAATTTTGAAGTACTTTATCTCCGTATGTTAAGAATATGTGGATAAATATCTACTGTTGTGTGTGGTGTTTAGGGTTTCGAGGAGCGTCGCTACGAGGCGTGCAAGTGGGTGAGCACCAAGGTAATGGCTATGTCGTACAAAGATGGCGTGAGCGCAGGTTTCTGGAGGCTCTTCAAATACATCAGTGGAGAGAATGAACCAAGTAAGTGAACATGTGATAAATGTAGTTCAGAGTATCAGGCTGGAATGAATTAATGGATCACGATATTATGCATATGTATCTTGATAGTAGGGACATGATACATTTAATATTCCCTTGTCAAAGAGAATGAAAAAAGACCAAAACATATTTAGCAGATAGGAATTTGTTAGTTAAACAGTGGCTGAAATCCTTTTGTTCACTGTAGTAAAAAGTTTACAGTTATCAGATCATAGGGATGTAAGATCAATACCCGTATTACACCCCCAACCAGCTGATATAGCTTGTCAATGCATATTAAATGGGTAGTCGATACCACCATAGGTGGTAAAACATCAGGGGCTCCCTGAGGAGCATTTCCCCCTAACCTTTCGACTTGATAATTTATGTGCATTCTGCCTTCTCCAAAATCCTGGATCTGCCCATGAATATTGAAGGTGCATCCCTTAGTTCTCCTTCAGCTTGTCTGACATGCCTCTGACAATGTTCTGTAAAAAATGTGAAATGTACTTGTAAATAAATATAACTTGATGTTGTAACATAGGATACCTGGGACTGATATGAGGCCTTGGGTTGATATGGGGTATGATATGATACCTAGGTTTTCATAACATTTGAGTATCAACACATGATGTAACATGTATTTTATTTTGTTTGAAGAGGAAGATGTTTTCTTTATTCATTCCTCAAAATATAACAATATGTTTTTGTTTGTATCTCACTACTACTTGTATGTGTTCTTGAAACATATTTTTTGGTCAGTCACAAGACCTGAATAACTATTCCTCTATTCTGACTATTTATGCACAAGAATATAAACAATGCTTGTTCTCTCCTAAACCTTTGTTTAAACTGCAGAAATGACATGCAACTCACAACTCTATAATGCTAGCCTGTAAGGGAGATAACCCTTCCTGTGACCTGGTTGTTGGACCCTCATATTCTACACTGCATATATGCTGTACTATGCCCTTTCAAATCAGACATTACATTGCATGTAATTATGGTTACAAAACACATTATAGCAGGCTGGTAATTTAACTTTTGGATAATTGACATTTAAAAAAAAGACTTTTTACATTATTTTACACGTCAAGACTCTGCATGCATGTACTATTGTTTGAATTTTCATGGAAAGGGAAATAGGGAGTTAATGCAAATATGGTGATTTATTGAATAATCAATATTTCATCCTGTCAGTCCCAACAAGACTGTTAGTTCCAGTCACATAATGTTAGATTTACTGTAATTTTGTAATATTATTTACAGAACAGAAGGTGGAAATGACAGCGCCAGTGGCCACCCAGGTTGTGCCGGGGGCGGGTCCCAACTGTGAGAACACCTTCACCGTCTCCTTCTACATCCCCCCGGAGCACCAGGCTGACCCCCCAAAACCCACAAACCCAGAGGTCTTCATCAGCGACTGGCCGGAGATTAACCTGGCAGTCAAGTAAGTACAATGTATGCCTTACAGTTGTGTCCCATCCGTAGTTTCAACATATTCCCCAACTCTACATATCTACTGGTCAACAATAAAGCAGCCAAATTCCGGGTAATATGGTTAATGACAACATAAATTTCTTAGGGTCATTTTTAAAAAGTTAAAACTATTGAAAAAGAAAGAGATGAATACAGTATATTTCTCCCCACTAAGAATACCAACAAATTATACTCATCGGACGACATGAAGTTGGCATTTAAGTTCAGTGTCAATTGTCATTGTTAATATTGGCTGTTTTATGTGACTGTTACTTGAAAAATGTTTTGAAATGGACAATAAATTTGATTGGCATACATGATTTAAAGTGATGCCTGAGAAACAATTTTTGTTTTAACCCTGTCCAGTGTTAGTGATCTGTGTGGAATGTAAAGAGAATGCAGTGATTGTGTAACTGAATATGTGCTCTGGGATCTGGTTTAATGAATGTATACACTGGCATTTGTTTTATTGAATGTATACTCAGAGGCTTCAATAGATGTTATTATTTTCAGATCTTTCAGCGGTTTTGCAAAGGAGAGTGACTGGATTAGCAAAGGGAGAGAACTGGCTGAAGATGTTGAGAAAACCGACCTGAAGAACAAGTTTGTGAAGGAATATTACTTCACAGCTGGTTACGACAGCCCATTTAAACTCTTCGGACGCCATAATGAAGTGTGGTTCCAACTGGAGGACTGAACATGGACTAGGTGGAGGCGAACTCTCCTTATACTGCCATTGAAATTAGCATTAGTCAGTGTGATGGGACTCTTATAGAGTGAGAGGGAGACATTAAGGTGTGTAGAACATTCAGAAGGGAGTGAGAGATATAGATGTGTGTGTGTGTGTGTGCGTGCGTCTGCGTGCGTGCGTGCGTTCGTGCATGCATGTGTATTTGTCAGACGGTGACGAAAATGCATTTAAACATATGAGTGAGAGTGCTTGAGAACTGAAAGTGACACTGAGATGTAATACAGAGGAGAGCCATTGAATGTCTGCTAGTACTGTAGCAGCCATATAGTAACTGAAAGAGTGGCACTGAGTGACACTGAGAAGTGTGGGAGTAAAACAGTGATATTCCTCATTGCCTCTGCTGTGTAGTCTATCAGTATCACATGGGGCCAAAACATCTTCCATGTCTTGTCAGTACTGCTGTCTAAATTCACTTGTTGAATTAGGAAGTGTGCAGCATTCTTATATAAAATACCAGACCCACCTCTGCTGATGATCAAAAAGAAAGGTGCGGCCTCCACCTGCTGATACCATATTAAGAGTTGACATACTTGTTAAACATTGCAATATTGTAATCCTCAAAGTGAAACAAGACCTTGTTTAACATCTGTTATATTTGTGATTACACTTTCTAAGTAAAGCACAGATTTTAGTCGGGTTGATTCCCATCCGGGATTCAAACCCACACCCTCAGAGTCAGGCATCTTATCGCCAGCACACGAAGTGAGACGCCTGACCCATGCAGCCATGGTAGTCGTGGTGGTTAGGTGTCTCACTTTGTGTGCTGGTGATTAGGTGCCTGACTTTGAGGGTGTGGGTTCGAATCCTGGATGGGACTCAACCCAACAAAAATATTAGAATCTGTACTTTACTGAGAATGTTACATTTGACCACTTTCTAAATGGCACTGTGTATTCAAGGCCTTGTTTGTTGAAGCTCCTGAGTATGTGTAGGGTGTATATATATATTATTGTACACCTAGCCCCCAGTGGGTTTGTGGGTTTATCTCATGATTATGAAATGTGAAATTTAATGCCATTTATGAGGGATTGTCAGTATATTAGCTTCATCTGATATTTGTTGTTGAGAACAACGGAAAGTATATGTCTGTGGTTTCTTTTGGTTGTATTATGTATTGAAATAAAGACGTCAACATGAAAGGTGAAGGACATGGATTGTATGTTCCTAACACCTAATTAATATTTTGCACATTCTGATGCAATTGTATTTATTTTTGTGTATTGCATTGTCTTGTTGATTGTATTGTCCTTTTATGGAAAATATATGACTACTGAAGGATGATTGAATAACTTATGAGGAGTGAGTGTACCATGTGCTTTTTGGGTTACACCCAAAATGGGCTTCCCACTTTGTTTGTGTAGAATCGAACCTTGGTGTTCAGCGACAAGTGAACGCTGTAACCAGTAGGCCACACTGGCCTGAGTTGTCAGAGTGAGTGAGTGAGTGAATGAGTGTGCTTAGTTTTATGCCGCTTTTAACAATATTCGAGCAATATCATGGTGGGGGACCCCAGAATTGGGCTTCACACATTGCACCCATGTGGGGAATCGAACTCTGGTCTTTGGCATGATTGGTGAACGCTTTTACCACTAGGCTAGCCCACCGGTCCCTGTTGTCAGAATGACAGGCAGTATTCACAGAGTATGCCCTTGAAAATGTGTGCATGAATATGTGATGTTAGACAAAGTTGTGGCTTAACACACGACCAGGTAGGGCATGTTCCAACTATCAGTCAGTATAGTTTATTTTTCTCTCTGCACATTTACCTCGAATACTGAAAATTCAAAATGTTGATTGGTGTCGTTTTGATGACATATATTCTTTCAGCATGTGCATTTGTCAAACAATCTCAGTGAACAGTTGTCATGGTAACTTCACAATGACATGTTTTGTGCTCATTTCTAACTTTTTATTAAAACTATTTTGTATACTTTGTTACCTATATAAACAAAAATACTATGAACACTAACCTGTTTGTTGTCATGTATTTATTGTGTGTTAAGGGTTTGAATACTCCTAGATATCGGACAGTGCTGTAAACATAAGCGCAGAGAAACACGTGAAACACTGCATGGTAGCCGATACATTTAAAAAAAATAAAAGTGAATATGTCATGGTGGCATTTCTGTTGTATGATGTTTTCTAGTTTAATTGTGGGCAATTCCTGTTCTGTGGGGGATATCGTCTGTTTTGAAGGGCGCCCTTTTCGTAACATGACAGCACATACTTCTTTGGTTCCGAGGACTTTTACCAGGTAATATACTGTTCAAAACGCCACTTACCATTGACATAGGTAAGTAAAGCAACGGTGTTTAAGGCTGCAAAGATACCTAACTAGACTGGGTGTAGGATCATAAAACAAAGAATAATTGAGGAGATCTGTGTGAAAGTAAACCAGTAACATTTTAACGTCAACCTTTCGAACGGCGTTTTAAGCTTATCGCCAAAACGCATCTCTCAAGAACTGCACGCGCAGTTGTGTTTTCTTCACTTACCAATGCTGATAACCTCTGTGGGTGGCTATGAAATGCCATGAATCGAATCCATGTGACAGATCGAATTATGACAGTGTATGGTGTTAAACATGGCGAGGATGTGGAAGCACAACGTCACAATGCTATTGGCCGCCTGGAAGCAGGAGCGACACAACAAGATGTTGCCAACAACTTTAGTGTTTCCAGACAAACCATCTCCATCCACTGGCGTCGTTACAATGCCACTGGTTACGTCCGCGACAGGCCAAGGTCATTTGGCCCTCAGATCAGCCCTCAGCACTAGCAGCACAACTACAGCCATTCCTGGACCAAACTGTTAGAAACAGGCTAAGAGAGGCGGGGCATTCAGCCAGAAGACCTCTCCAGCGTTACGTCCTAACCCCACGCCATGAAGCAGAGCATCTCCAGTGATGTAGATTGAGTCGCCGATGGACCAGGAATCAGTGGAGGGAGATATTGTTTACAGCAGATCCCGTTACCTGCTGTAATGAGCTGATCACCGTAGGCGTGTTTATCGAAGTCGTGTGGAACGCTAACTGTGTCCTGCAGACTGATTGTGGTGGTGGGGCGTTATGCTGTGGGCAGTCATCCGTTTCGGTGGAAGAACAGATCTTGTTCATGTGGAAGGGAATCTGACTGGTGTGAGCTATCATGATGAGATTCTACAACGTCATGCTGTGCCTTTCATTAACCGTCATGGCAGGGTGTTTCAACACGATAATGCCATTGTTTGTCAGGACTTCATTCGTCAAACTCATTCTGCCTTGGTCTGCTCGTTCCCCGGATGTGTCACCTATTGAGCATTTATGGGATGTCCTTGCCCGACGTGTTCGTGAGCGACGTGTTGCACCTCAGAACCTTCAACAACTCCGTGCAGTCCTTCAGGAAGAATGGCAGAAGATCCCACAGGACGCTATTCGACGTCTTATTGCTTCTATGCGTCGTCGTTGTGACGCAGTGATTCAGGTTCGTGGTGGTTACACACGGTACTGACCCCCTCCTCCTTCTGAGACTTGTGAACCGTGGACATTTTGTAAGACCATCGATCTTGTGATTGATTTGTAAGCATGCATAACTTACCATTCAATGTACTGGAATAAATCAATCTATCCAAGGATATTGTTGTTTATATGTTCACTTTAACACCGATGTAAAAGAACATTTTTGAACAATATATTTGCTCATTTCCGTTTTACCGTAGACTACTTTCGGATGTTCTGTTGCGAGACCAGCCATTAACCTATGATCTGTTCCACCCTAGGCCGGCATATGATCAAAATTTCAACAGCGGCCATATAATAGATCTATATAATATTATATGGTCTCTAATTTCAATCATTATTTTCTCGGCAGTAAAAGTCGACTGAGCTACTGAAATGTTATAGCCTGCGCAGGCACTAAATGCCCCAGGGAATACAACCTTTCAGATTTATTTGAATATCACGCAGAAGTAAGTTTAGGTATGGTGTGATTTACAGTAGTGTCATAGCAACCCCTATTGCCGCTCGGAGGAAATCTTCGCGGTAAATACCTGTCGTGACCTAAGACGTATCTTGCTCCAATGAAACCACAGCGGGTGACGCCACGCTCCATAATGGCGTCATAGATCGTGTTCCATGACCTCATAGTGTTGGGTCAACAGCCCGTTGCGAATTGTTCGAAGTAAACTTACAATTAAATTTATAATACTGTTTTGTCTTTTTGTTAATACAAATTCCATCCATTTTAGCTATAATATGAGAGTTAATTGAAGACCTTTGGCTTCTGCAAATGATAATGCCCAGAAAACAGCGTTACCCCTGTAGTATACAGACGGTCCGTACCGTCATATGTGTCACTACGGTCGGAAATTTATTAGTGGTGTGACGATTCATCGATACGCATCATGCATCGATCCATTGGTCGCCGATACAGTGAATAGATACAAAGTTTTACATTGTCGTATATCCCGTTACGATACTTCAAATGGACCATGATACATCGATGTTTAATTTTGAATATTCCCGAATCGCGATATCTGTCAAGAAAAAGACATACTTTTGTTTGATGATTAAAATATATGCTTACTTATTTTCACTTCATGAATAAACGTTTTCTCGGAAATTCCTGCGTCAGGAACTGTTTCAGACGTAGCGCTGGCATGTTAACTTTCACAAAGTCCGTGTATAAACTTAATTATCTCGTTTCCAAATGAACATTGAACAACGCTGCATGAATTTGACGAAATACTTTAAGATTCGTTTTGTCTTGTGTTTTATAGTTGGTGTTAGAATTAAAGATTTTAGTATCGTGATACGTATCGTATCGCCACCCTTATACCAGGATTCGTATCATATCGCAGCTTAAGTGCACAATACTTTGGCAATATATCGTCGTGATTAAAATTTTAGTATCGTGATGTATCGTATCGCTTGTTGTATGTCAAAAGCTGCAGTAAAATCTATGGCATTGACTAATCAGAACTCGTGTTACACACTGAGTTGACATTAGAATCCGTAATAGCTGTCTAGGCTCATATGGATATATATACCACTTCGTGAGTGTGTATGTGTATGACGTCACCTTGTAGAAATGGCGTCAACAGTCGGTTCAGTGTCAATGTGGGCACAATGTGTGAAGCCCATTTCTGGTGTCCCCCGCCGTGATATTGCTGGAATATTGCTGAAAGCGGCGTAAAACTAAACTCAGTCAGTCAGTCAGTCAGGGGCAATGAGTACTAGGTGAGTTCCGGTGGATAACCCCTCATGCTGGAGTATTAATGGTAGAGCCGATCAGGGTTCCACCTTCAAATTCTACATCGATACTTCTTATCCTGTCTCGGATGGAGTGAAATGTCCGCCGCCACCACAGCAACATACACGCTCCAGTCATCCTCCTCTCCTCCAAGGGCCAAACGTTTATGTTACAGTATAGGAGGTACGATTACTACGAGAAAAGTTACGAGATCTTAGGCTCACGAGAGCTTTGTGAAACAGGGCCATGTTGTCATATGGCGGGTTGATTGTTTTACGCCGCACTCAACAATATTCCAGCTATCTAGCGACGGTCTGTAAATAATCGAGTATCGACCAGACAATCCAGTAATCCAGAAATCAACATCATGAGCATCGATCTACACAAGTGGGATACGATGACATGTGAACCAAATCAGCTCGACTAACCATCCGATCCCGTTAGTGGACAAGCGTGAGTTGCTGAAGACCAATTCTACTACTACTACTACTACTACTACTACTACTACTACTACTACTACTAGGCCTAAATGCAGGTCTCTCTGCTTCGGTGGCATCAGATGTTATATTCTGATAATAGATCCGCCTGATGATGTTCAAACCGACTATAGGAGGTCGTATTTCGTGTTCTGTAAGCAAAACTCTCAGAGAGAGGCACATCTGATATCTGGATATCTAAGTCAACAGTATTTCAGATATATCAGGATGTGTCAGCTTGAAGTAGGAAGAAAGTGGTGCATGCATAAAACATTCGCCATTAAGATTAGTAAGTAAAAATCCTATAAAACATAAACACAAAACAGGTATTACTGGATTGTCTGGTCGACCCCTCAATCAAAGGCCTAAATTATACGTATTTCCCCCAAACTGTTAACAGTGACTTGACGCTGCTTTTAATGTTTAAGCGCAGCAAACCAAAAGATAATCAGATAGATTCTTATTCGAAGGGGCGGTGGGGTAGCCTAGTTGTTAAAGCGTTGGCTCGTCACGCCGTAGACCCGGGTTCGAATCCCCACATGGGTACAATGTGTGAAGCCCATTTCTGGTGTACCCCGCCGTGATGTTGCTGGAATATTGCTGAAAGCGGCGTAAAACCAAACTCAGTCAGTCAGTCAGTCTTATTCGAAACTGGTGGTTTCTTTCTGAGAAGCTCATAAGGCTCAGTTTACTTTCAAAAGTGTATTTATCCATATACACTCATGTTATCAATGTTTGACCACACTTTATTCAAGGCTGGCGTTTTGTACAAGTTCTGCAACAGCACATAAATCTCATAGACATTAGGGGCGGCGGGGTAGCCTAGTGGTTAAAGCGTTCGCTCGTCACGCCGAACGGCCCGGGTTCGAGGACCCAAATGGGCACAATGTGTGAAGCCCATTTCTGGTGTCCCCGCCGTGATATTGCTGGAATATTGCTGAAAGCGGCGTAAAACTAAACTCAGTCAGTCAGTCAGTCAGGGGCAATGAGTACTAGGTGAGTTCCGGTGGATAACCCCTCATGCTGGAGTATTAATGGTAGAGCCGATCAGGGTTCCACCTTCAAATTCTACATCGATACTTCTTATCCTGTCTCGGATGGAGTGAAATGTCCGCCGCCACCACAGCAACATACACGTTCCAGTCATCCTCCTCTCCTCCAAGGGCCAAACGTTTATGTTACAGTATAGGAGGTACGATTACTACGAGAAAAGTTACGAGATCTTAGGCTTACGAGAGCTTTGTGAAACAGGGCCATGTTGTCATATGGCGGGTTGATTGTTTTACGCCGCACTCAACAATATTCCAGCTATCTAGCGACGGTCTGTAAATAATCGAGTATCGACCAGACAATCCAGTAATCCAGAAATCAACATCATGAGCATCGATCTACACAAGTGGGATACGATGACATGTGAACCAAATCAGCTCGACTAACCATCCGATCCCGTTAGTGGACAAGCGTGAGTTGCTGAAGACCAATTCTACTACTACTACTACTACTACTACTACTACTACTACTACTTCTACTAGGCCTAAATGCAGGTCTCTCTGCTTCGGTGGCATCAGATGTTATATTCTGATAATAGATCCGCCTGGTGATGTTCAAACCGACTATAGGAGGTCGTATTTCGTGTTCTGTAAGCAAAACTCTCAGAGAGAGGCACATCTGATATCTGGATATCTAAGTCAACAGTATTTCAGATATATCAGGATGTGTCAGCTTGAAGTAGGAAGAAAGTGATGCATGCATAAAACATTCGCCATTAAGATTAGTAAGTAAAAATCCTATAAAACATAAACATAAAACAGGTATTACTGGATTACTGGATTGTCTGGTCGACCCCTCAATCAAAGGCCTAAATTATACGTATTTCCCCCAAACTGTTAACAGTGACTTGACGCTGCTTTTAATGTTTAAGCGCAGCAAACCAAAAGATAATCAGATAGATTCTTATTCGAAGGGGCGGTGGGGTAGCCTAGTTGTTAAAGCGTTGGCTCGTCACGCCGTAGACCCGGGTTCGAATCCCCACATGGGTACAATGTGTGAAGCCCATTTCTGGTGTACCCCGCCGTGATGTTGCTGGAATATTGCTGAAAGCGGCGTAAAACCAAACTCAGTCAGTCAGTCAGTCTTATTCGAAACTGGTGGCTTCTTTCTGAGAAGCTCATAAGGCTCAGTTTACTTTCAAAAGTGTATTTATCCATATACACTCATGTTATCAATGTTTGACCACACTTTATTCAAGGCTGGCGTTTTGTACAAGTTCTGCAACAGCACATAAATCTCATAGACATTAGGGGCGGCGGGGTAGCCTAGTGGTTAAAGCGTTCGCTCGTCACGCCGAACGGCCCGGGTTCGAGGACCCAAATGGGCACAATGTGTGAAGCCCATTTCTGGTGTCCCCCGCCGTGATTTGAAAATTTTGAAAATTGCTAAAAGCGGCGTAAAATCATACTCACTCACTCATGGAGATTGAACACGACTCAAGTTTCAATCCACCCATAATGGGCCTCTTAGTGACACGTGATGCCTCAAACTTGCTCCTGACATCAATGTAAGGTTGACCCTCAAACAATGCATGCGTACCGCGGATCTCAAGTTTGTTTTGATATCAGCTATCGAGGTGACGAGGTCAGAATAAACCAGATTCAGTTTGTGCCTCTCAGTCACTCTTTTGTTATGTTCAGACTCAGAACTACAACTGTTTTAAACACCAAGAATCAACTGTAAGTAAATTTTCATATATTCCTGTAACACATGAGCTAATTCATTCCATGTGCAACAGTTATAAATGTCTCCGTTATTTTATTTATTGGCCGTAGTCTGACAGTCAGCTGTTGTCATGGTATTCAAATTTATTAATTATCATTTTATCCTTATTGAAATGTAATATATTGGTGATCATTCATCAGTGAAACAGAATATACTGGAAATATTTAGCATCAGAGATTGATAAAGATGAACGAGTTTATGTTTACGCGTGACCTGAATATGTAGATTGTATTGTATGGGATGGAATAAATTGCGGTATTCATGTATAGACATCTGTGGTATAAGTGTTTTAGACACCTGTCGATGTTATGAGGCATTTTGTAGGTGTGACAGAGCCAACATGCAGTGAGTCAAATCACTGTGAGTGTAATAGAACCTGTATTCCATCTGTCGGGCTGATGTGGCTCGTCAATTTGAATGGGCGATCGGTATCACCGGGAATATATTAGAGTTACGTCCCTTAGTGTGTCGTCTGTTCACAAGGCGAAACGAGTTGTATTCTCTATCAAATAGATGAATTACCTTACGGTTGATAAACATGTTATTATTATATTATATATCAATGTTTATAATCATTATATCCAATATCATCCCTCATACCCACATGTAAACAATCGGGTTGACATCGAGGTCTCGGCTTGAAAGCGGGTAATGGGCCGGGTATGTTATGAACCGTCACATGTTACAGTTACACACCGCGGTGCCCATGAACTGGCCAAATGTCTGTACCAGTAATGGAAACTACTGGAAACTTGTTCCTATCAGTCGACTCAAATCAGATGAATACACGTCGATTGTAAAGTTGTATAACAAACATTTCATCAGTTTGACTACATTTGTCACGTGACCCTGACAGGTCAGTTGTATAAGCCCTGCTCTATAAATGCGGCAGGCTGGTGCTTTGGGGCAACAGATCGATCTATCCTTAGAGCAGAGAGCAAGGAACACTGACAGCCAGATGATAACTATTTGTAATATTCTGGTGTGCCAGATCTGACGGATTTCAGGTAGGAATAGCTAGCATGTAAACATTGAATGTGACGCACATTACATATCTTCATGGCATTGAGTTTGTGATTTTATATTACTATCAATTCTCTCAGCGCTCGGCTGTAAAACGAGAACTGGTCGGCTTGGAGTCAATACATTATGTGGAGTAAGGTGTCGGTGTTAAACTGGTCGGCTTGGAGTCAGTACATTGTGTCGAGTAAGGTGTCGGTGTTAAACTGGTGTCGGTGTTAAACTGTCGGCTTGGTCAGTCATTGTATATGTCGGTGTTAAACTGGTCGGCTTGGAGTCAGTACATTGTGTCGAGTAAGGTGTCGGTGTTAAACTGGTCGGCTTGGAGTCAGGACATTGTGTCGAATAAGGTGTCGGTGTAAAACTGGTCGGCTTGGAGTCAGTACATTGTGTCGAATAAGGTGTCGGTGTTAAACTGGTCGGCTTGGAGTCAGTATATTGTGTCGAGTATGATGTCGGTGTTAAACTGGTCGGCTTGGAGTCAGTATATTGTGTCGAGTATGATGTCGGTGTTAAACTGGTCGGCTTGGAGTCAGTACTTTGTGTCGAGTAAGGTGTCGATGTTAGGGGCGTAGCCTAGTGGTTAAAGCGTTCGCTTGCACACAGATGGTCCTTCGATCTGCGATTCCAGGTGGACAAAGAGGGACGTCCATTTCTTGTGTCCCCTGCCAGGATATATTCCCGGCATAAACGATACACACTCTCCCACTGGATTTAGGGCTATTAAATCGCACAGAACAGTATAATCAGCTTCACACACTTGCATGATCATTGGTCTTCTAGTATGTATTTTCATATATTATATATTCATTACAAGATGTTATTGATTTATCTGATAATTTCAGCAGCATGAGTGGCATATTCACAGCAGTTAAGACAGCCTTCACATCCAAAGGTCTAGAAACCCCAAAGTACAAGGTTAACGAGGATGCCAAACATGAGGTGAGGCCTATGTGATGTGTGATATATGATATATGCACCACATGATATATACAATATATACTCAATCTAACAACTACACATTCAGTAATCACGATTTTTATGATAGTAATTTATCTGTGACATTATTTTTCGAATATAGAAGACAGTTGATGTAATGTCTTAAAGCTGGCTAATCAAACTGCCTTTCATCAGTGAAAGTACTTTATCCTAGCGTGTTAAGATTAAGTCAAAATGCATTTTATAGTAAAACCCCTGGAATACGGCCATTGAAGGACTTTACGATGCTGTACGATGCTTTAATGTACTAGACCCGTGACGATCCGGGTTAGAATTGGTCTTCAGCAACCTATACATGTAAAAGGTGGTTGACGGGATCGGGTGGTCAGGCTCGATTATTTACACAAAATAGCTGGAAGATTGTTTAGTGCGGCGTTAAACAACAAACCAGCCGACCAACTCAGTTTACTAAAAAGTGGATTGATGCAGTTTGACTGAAATGCACCTGAACCAAGTAGTCTGAATTTGGAAGTACTTTATTCTTGTGTTTTGAATACGTCGACTATATCTACTGTTGTGTGTGGTGTTTAGGGTTTCGAGGAGCGTCGCTACGAGGCGTGCAAGTGGGTGAGCACCAAGGTAATGGCCATGACGTACAAGGAAGGCTCCAGCGCAGGTTTCAGGAACCTCTTCAATTACATCAGTGGAGACAATGAACCAAGTAAGTGAACATCACGAAAGTAGAATAGCCTGTATGTATGAGACACATGTTGTACACGGCTGAACCACGTATTCCAAATCATTGATCTTTACTGAACACAATTAGGAGATAAACCAGCTGTATTGTGAAATCACAGGTATTGTAAAGGATTTAAGATAGCTCAAAATTAAAGTTAAAAACAAACCAGTAAAACCGCAACCTATCGATGTATGCGTACTTTGTTTGGTGTCGCCATGCTGGTGGGCATGCGAAAATTGTGCATTACGGAGCAGTCTAAGTAAACTTAGTCTCAATATTATTCGTTACACTCCTACACTGAGTCTAAAAAACCCTAGTAGAAGGTCGCCTCAGGCGACCTATGACCGTCCAATCAAATGCGAGACGGCCGAACGGATTTAACCAATCAGACAACGACTACTGTTTAGAGTTCGGCGGGACTTACAAAATTCCCCGGTCACTGACACCGATCTCTCAACAAACGAAAATCCGCATAAAACACATATATTTGACCTGCAGTATATACGCTTTTGGGTTTCTGTTGACATGGTTACCATTAGCTAATATTTCCTTTAGCGTGACATCCTTGAATATTGACGAAACGCTATTTTCAGCGACTGTTTACTCAGGGTTGTGACGTGCTCCATGTGCACCACCCGGCAGCGATCGTTTGGAAAATAGCATTCGGAATCGTTCGGGTACAAACCTTTTCGAGGTAAAAGTTCAAAAGGTATGTGTGAATGTCAACTTTCGCGATTTGGTAAGTTGTGTTCTGATTGGTCCATGTCAAAGGTTACCTGACGCGACCTCCTACTAGGGTTTGTTAGACTCCGTATAGGACTATAGGAGTGTAACGAATAATACTGAGACTAAGTTTACTTAGATTGCATTACGGAGAAATAAACATACAAATCAGAGACCTTTATAACGTGGTTATATATACTGTATACCTATGACTGACTTTAATAAACCAATCACAATCAAGTATTTACTCAAATCATGATAGAATTATTATGATAAGGCTTATTTTAGCATGGCGGTTATGTTGTTTTTTGACGGTTATTCAACCTCCTTACATTAACAAGTTTACATATGTATGTAGTTGAGTCTGTTTCTGAACTTTTATAAAAAGACACACAACATTATCTGACATAAAGCAAGCATGATTGTTGTATAAAATCAGCACTGTGTCATCCTGTCAGTCTATATGGTGTGTAATGCAGAGTCACTGTCATTTTGTAATATTATTTCCAGAACAGAAAGTGGAGATGACGGCGCCAGTGGCCACCCAGGTTGTGCCGGGGGCGGGTCCCAACTGTGAGAACACCTTCACCGTCTCCTTCTACATCCCCCCTGAACACCAGGCTGACCCCCCAAAACCCACAAACCCAGACGTCTTCATCAGCGACTGGCCGGAGGTCAAGTTGGCAGTCAAGTAAGTATGGTATACTGTAGCATCTCCCCCAGACAAGGGAGGACATATCTGATGGTAAAAATCCATTTTCATCCTTCGAATTTCGTGGTCTAACCGCTGCTGAGAGTTATGTCCCTTCCCTGTCCTTCTCATTGACGAATCAGGTTCCATCTTTCATACCACATGTATTCACTTCAAATAACATGGGGGCAGGACGATCTGATCGGTAATCGAGATCTTTATCATAACAGGTCTTATCTTGCGAAGTGCTGCAAATCAGTTATTAACCTTGATTAAAAAAACGAAATGATTTTGAAACATAACTGACGGTACACATGCTCTGTAAATCCTGCAATCCAAAGAAATCTCCACTTCAGTCTATGAAACGGATTTCCTTACGCCATTTTGATTGGACTGTGACTCATTTCTCCAGCCAAAATATACCTCCCGACTATGTCGACAAGGGTGGAAACCACAGGTTTACAGTACGTTAACTCCCTTGTCTCGAGAAGATTTACAGCAGTGTACCCTCTGTATGTAACATGTAAATTCTGGATCTCCTCCTGGGAAGCGAACCCGTCAAGATCCAGGTAACATTGGTCTGGACTAACGATATGACGTCATGATATCACTCACTGGATTGTCTGGTCCAGATGCAATTGTTTACAGGTAGCTGCCATAATAGCGTGAATATTGCCGAGTGTTGACAATATACAAACATACAAAATATGTCTATAAGGCACATGTTTCTCAAAAGAGAGAAGGCAGGAGTTTTTATACATGTAGATATTTTTAATTGAAAGTATATAATGAGTGAGAGGCTGTTTACGTCATTCAAAACTGGACTCCACAGGAGAGATCGCTTTGGTTGGATCAACCGATTCCAGCTGGGAGATAATCAGCCCATTCTGATGTCATCGGTTACCATCACATCACAAGGACATCACTTCGGCCTCTGCCACTGAAGCTGCTTAATCTGCACTGGAAACTCACTCTTGTGTCTTTTGATATGTCTGTTACATACAGTATTTGACATCGCAAGTGGCTATATTTCAGGTTTAGAAGTTGATGAGAATTAATTGGCTGTGATAGTTTTGTTTTATATGTGTGTTTTGGACTACCTCTCTAATTCCAGATTTTGTTATATCTTCAGATCTTTCAGTGGTATTGCTGAGGAGAAAGACTGGATCAACAAAGGGGAGAGAACTCGCCGAAGACCTTGACAAAACGGACTTGAAGAACAAGTTTGTAAAGGAATATTACTTCACAGCAGGTTACGACAGCCCATTCAAACTCTTCGGACGCCATAACGAGGTGTGGTTCAAGCTGGACGACTGAACATGGACTTGATGAAAGCGAACTCTCCTTATACTGCCATTGAAATTAGTTAGTGTGTGTGGTGGGACTGTTTGATAAAACACAGCGGTTGTGAAAAAGTGAAACAGTGATGTGTGTGAGTGAAACGTTTAGTTGTTTGTACGGATGTCTATATAGTGGTTAAAATAGCTGTACTGAGAAGTGTTTATTTGTTTGTTCGTGTTTAACACCGCACTCAGCAATGTTCCAGCTTACATGACGGCGGTCTTTAGATAATCGATATTGGGACCAGGCAATCCGGTGACTATCGATCTACGCTATTGAAATACGATGACCAAGCCAGCGAGCCTGACCACCCCATTCTTGCGACAAACATTGGTTGCTGAAGACCACTTCTGACCCGGATCTTCACAGTGTAGCAACACGTGGATACAACGTGACATTTTAGACATGGCTCCGACCGTATGGTCCGTCAGTGTACAGGAAGATAGTGGCACGGAGCATTGTGATGATGGAATTGCATGGGGAAGTGTTCCAACCTTCTGTCATAAGTTTTATTCTTCTCTGCACAAAAATACCAGAAGAGTCAAAACATGCTGAACCGATGTACTGAAATCAGTTTTGATGAAATATATTTATTCAGTATGTGATGTGTATTTCTGATTATCTCCTGAAACATTTGCCAGGGTAACTTTACCATGAGGTGTTTTGTTTTCATTAGTTTTCATTTTTACTGACCATGTTGTATACGTTGTTACATAAATAATTATTTTTTACAAAGAACACTAACTCCATTGTTTTTTGACATGTTTCTATTGGGTGTAAATGGTTTCGTTAGAAAGTGAGTGAGTTAGCGAGTGAATATGGTGTTATGCCGCTTTTAGCAACATTCCAGCAATATCACGGCGGGGAAACAGCAGAAATGGGCTTTTCTATATTGCAAGTCTCATATTGGGGAATGAAAAGAAAATAGGCCCTTGGATGAAATTTACCAATAAACTTTAGAGAGGGATATCTTATTAGCTTTCGATGGAACTCAAAACCTGTTCTTTCAGTACAGTACTTAAAAAACGCCAGGGAACACCTGAATCTTTCGTTTTACTGTAGTTGGTCGGTAATGGCAATTTTGTATCAATGTGTATAAATGCAAATGTATGCACAATGGGGAACATTCCTGGAGTTGCGCCCCCTTGCCCGCTTGGAGCGCTGCGGTAGTTACGGTCCAACAGTAGCTGTCACTCTGATACTGGCCTGCCTATCGGTCGAGCCTAAACTAAATCGACATTAAACCTACTTTTTACTCTGTGATTCTTATATTACGAATTACCGAAGCTGGAAGTTGCAGGGTCATGTCTTGACTGTATAGGACCGCATCGCGGCTCCCGGCTAGGTGTATACTATCGCTGAAGGGGTCGTTGTCGGTACAGGTACTACAGAAATGTACCCTAGCCAAAGTAAATCTACAGAAACGTACCCGGTACCCTAAACGGCAGACGAGTCCACTTTTCTCTAGCCAAAACCGAAACCGGTTTGTGATGTTGTTCCAGATCGCCAGATTTCGAGCGCCTTCACTGCATCGCCGACTATTCACTTTGTATTATATACGCAATCGAATATGGAGCTCATACGTTCATTTACGACAGCTGTTGGTGGGAACGATTTGGAAACGGCCCTTTCAGGACACCCAAAACTTTAAAAGTTTCGCTCCTGAGAGAACAGCGCTGTACGAAGTATGTCACCCCCCCACTGTAGACAGCTTTCAATTATCTGTAAAACGGACTACAGGGGACGTCATGCTCAAGAAATATCGATTGTCTGATATTTTATAACTGACAGCGGAAGGAAGGTATATAGTTCTTCCTGACGAACACGCACTGCCATGTTGAATATTTCCGCGGTTTGAGAGGCAGGAATAATTTTTAGTACGCGTTCGAGAAACCGGTTTAGCACTCATCGCAATGCAGAATGGGATCGTCCTAGGGTACGATTCTGTACATTTACTTTGGCTAGGGTACCTTTCTGTATACCTGGGGTACATTTCTGTAGTACCTGTGCCGACAACGACCCCTTCAGCTATACTATCCTTTGCCCGGACGTTTACAAGAACGTTATAATTTAGCAAACTTGATTTCCTTCATTTTACTACAATGTAAATGTTGAGGGTCTTTCCAGCGCATGATTACAATCTTCAAAATGACAGAGGTAGTCTGTGACGTTTGCCAGCGTATAGTCTTCCTTGCAATGGCAGTGCTTCGCCTAAGCATTGCGACCAATGAAACATTTTTAAAGGTCGACATAAACCCTAGGGGCCAAAAATACATAAATCACTAACTGGCATCGTTATAAATGAAACCCCGTCATTAAAACTACTCATTTCGACCTTTAATTGACTTAAATCGACCTTTTTGACAACAGTGCACAATTCTCACCCGCGAACGAAATTTCAACCAATCAGAGCGGCGCGACTCTGTGACGTCATATGAGGAATAGCTTTGAGGGCCTATGCAGTATTCATCTACATTTTAGGGGGTAAATTATCTTGTGTACAGGCTTGTATAAACCTGAAATCGTGACAATTGTTGTGAACAGTGAAAGCTTTATGTTTTCACAATCTACTGTCATTTAATCTTGTCACCTGCTTTGCCAAGCTTCCGAGTTACAGCTTGTTTTTATAAGACGATTCTGTGAAACTCGCCTGTTGTCATAAGGGGTTACCTGTTGGCTTGGTCTGACTTTTGTTCCCCAATTTACTCTTGTGTTAAAACATTTATGTCAAGTGACTTAAATATGGTTAATTCGGTGGATTGGCATTTCGTTACAAAGCAGACTCTGACATGTCCGGAAGTAATTCAGACAGCGACAGTCTTTCCCTTTCCATGGATTGCCAGTCCACAAGCAGTGACTGTTTCTCGGATACCAATGAAGAAACAATTGCAAGGCCTTATTTGTTCGAGCCGGACGCTAGTGATAGTGAAAACGGTGACCAGTCTTGCTCATCACGGTTACAGGAAGAAGATCGACTAGTGTCTACATACTGGTGAGTGGACGTTTACCACGTGAATGTACTGTAGCTTGAAATGTATCGGGCAATAACATACCGCAATTAGTCACTTTGAACCCCACCTCGCTTCCGTGGAAGAAATCGTTATGTTACAAGTTGTGTCATGCAAAATCCTTTTGGTCATGATTCACATACATATGCAACTACGAGTAGACAGTAGTTGTGATTTTCCAGGTTGATGAAAACAAACCATAATCTCATCGATTCTCGAGCTTACTTTAGCCCGAGACGTAACTATTTTTTAAAATGGCGGCGCCCTGGCGCAAACATCCGCCAGTCTGGGAATAAATGTTTAGGTTTGTTTTCACCGAATTACAAAATCAATATTACGTTTTACTGGTAGTAAAGTATGTATTTAATAGATGGTTAATAGGATTTTGCATGACAACTCTGAAAAGCCTTTTCAAACTTGGAAGCAAGGTAGGGGTCGAGCCATCCGATTTATTATATACATTTACTACAGAGCTGAGAATAATAGGCCCAGAAAAATACCACTTCCGCATATGAAATGTCATTACTGGGTACAGTTGTAGGAATCTATAAAATTTTATGTCAGTTTACATGTTCATTGGCATGTGTATTTGTATTTGATCATGGTGTAAACATTCTGTCATGGTTTACCGGAGCAGTTATCGTACAAGCACATTGAATGCTTACCAGTCAGGTCCCATCTTTATTGGGAATCAAAGTTTAAACCAGTTGGCTTAGCTTGAGTGAATATAGTACCTCTCATTTGTTCATAATCTGAAGGAATTCCTAAAACTGCTAACAAAAAGTACTTGATTGTATCACCCTAATATGTAAGAGATGAAAAAAATAAATAAGAATTTTATAAATACCAGTCAATTGAAAAATGATACAACATTTATTATTTAACAGTTTTTTTCTAATCCTTGCAGGTGTAGTTGTGACACATGTGAGACTCAACCTACCATTGAGGAATGCTGTTGCTGTCATGAACAGGCTGCAGTGAGAGAGAAGATGGAGGAGCATGAAGATCAGATCAGTTGCATCACTGACCACCCTGGCTTCGAGCAAGTTTGTCTCAGTGTGTATGCACTGCAGACAGCCTACTACCACTACCGCCAGGAGTATGGAAGAGGGGAGATCCAAGACATTCATAAGTGAGCATGGCATGGTTTTTAGAATCATTTTGTGTTCTGAGGAGTAAAGTAAACTGTAAACTTTAAACTGTAGCTGTTGTAAAAAGATGACTAGTCCAGAATCTAATCAGTGCATTCTGTTGAATACAATTTGAATCAAACTTACTTTACACTTTTATTTCATAGGAAATACAGATATACAGCATATCGGCAGTTCGTGCGATGGTGTTGGCAGTTCTTAGGGCGGAAAGTTCGTGTTGTCATACCCTCCTGTATCGTCAACAAGATAAGAGGACGATTTCCTTCCCCTGAATATGCAGGGTTCAAGTATCCTCAACTGGACAAGTAAAGGAACAACTCGAACAGTCAAATTCTGTATTTTGTACATGGGTATAATGTCTACTCTACATTGTGAAATGGACATGATGACAAGTTAAATGTACCGTAAATTTATTGTTTGATATGTTATTGTATTGATCGTTAACAATTCTGTTAAATAAATTATTCTTGTACAAAAAAAACCTTTTCCTTTTTACTTGAATAATAACTGATACACATTTTCAAACATGAGGATATTTTGCATGTTTGCTGGATTGTCTATTATGCATTTATAGACATACAGGCCATGAATACATTTGTAAAGTCAATTACAACACCAGAAATTGGTGAACATTGAATAATGGTAAAAAAAAGTTTCAGGATGGAAGGACGGACAGAATGAATGCTATAATAGAAATTGCATGAATTGAGCTGCTTAGTTGTTGAATCTCGATAGATGAGATTGAATGGCTTGGTCCATATTGATTCGAGGAAACTGGCTTGTTAAGGGTACTGGGACAACAATGTGTGACGTGGTAGCTCTGTGTTCTCGACTCTGCCTGGCTTGTTTACACACCTCTGTCAGCAGTCTTCCAACATAGTCTGAATAAAAAATAAACAAGTGAAAATCTTACTCAATCATTTGAATGTGAAACATGAATGTGAAATGGACTGGTGACCCTTTACCGTAAATAAAACAACAGGTCAAATGATATGAACTTCTTTATTGTTGTATTGTGTCAATCAAAAATATTCGGACTACAATTTATATGAAACAAGAAGACAAAGTCATCAATATCCCCAGCAATGGCAAAATACTCTACATGATTATGTCTACGAGGTTATGATTATGTCAAATATTTAGATGTGTACATAGAAAAGTGGAAGGAGAGTATTGAAAGGTTTTTACAGTTCTGCTCCATAAAGAAGCACTATCACCAATTTCAGGCTATGTAAACTTGTTGCCATGGAAACGCCAAAAATATTTTATTCAGAATCCCAAAACTACCAGTACACCACCAGATCTGTCTGTGCCAAGTTTGGTAAAGAAATATAGAGTTTTAGAGTTCTGCTCCGGAAAAGACAAATGTGCACGGACGGACGGACGCACGCACAGTGTCCATTTTAATACCCCCCGCAAAACGCGTTACGGAGAATAAAAAATGTTTGGCTAAAATGGGTTAATATTACGTGTGAAATAATTTGTACAAACATACCATGAGTCATGTCACTTGTTGCTTTTGTCAGCACATGTTGTCCCTTCCTATATTTCTTGTATTTAATCCTGAACTTAAACTCTCCATTGTCATCATGTGCTTGAGGTCGGGTGCCGTTTTCATTAAAATGCATTGCTGACAAATACAGCCTGCAAAATATTTAAAAGAAAATGTAACTCATAATCCTCATAATAGTAGAAATTATTCATTTTACCTATTTAAATTATCAATCTCATTATCCAGTCAGGTTGAAGACACAGAATCAGTAAGAATGAAATATGCAACTAGAAGTTAATCATGGTTGCCAATGAGTCGGTTCATGGTACTTTTATTCGATTTTGTTCTTACCTGGAAAGCATGCCCATGTAGGAGAAACCAACCATCTTGGGGGCAAAGTTGATGATGACCCGATGGAAGCTTTCCACTGCCGACGTTTGATACTGTGGGGAGATCTTCCTGACGTCTTTCAATAGGCGTGGCTTTTCCAACAATAGACCAAGCTTCTCTGCAGCTTTGGTGCCTGAACAACAAAGTTAACCTTATGCTGTTACTTGTAACTCAGAAAGATATCAAGTTCCATCTCTTTGACTATGACAGATCAATCTAAATACTATTTATCTATCCTTTATGTAATTGGTTATATTAGTACTAAATAATGTCATCAATACACACCACATTTCAACCACTTCTTTTTGGGTGCCTCGCTTCCTTCCAGGGGATGCTGGCATTCGTTGAACCTTGCTCCGTGACCCACGTGAATGTTTTGAACGTGGTTGATCACGGAGCGCCACTTCTCTAGCACCAGCTCCGGATCCCCATGAGGGGTGGACGCGGCACACCAGTAAAGGTGGTTAACGATGCTTTTGATCCAAGGGCTCAGTGCTTCACAGTCTTTCTCCTTCGCTAAAGCTTCCAGCTTCTTTCGGAGACCTACAACAAGAAAACAGTTTACGTCCGCAATAGCCAAAGCAATTCCTTATAATGAAATCATATGTGTGCCATATTTCCTCTAGTAAGCGCTGACATGCCAATATTTTATCAAATGATTACCAGGCCTTTACAAGACCTCCGACAAGAATTTTTACGGAATCATAATTAGAGTTGAAACATTTAGCGTAGGAGTCTAAATGCTTAGGAATAAGCTCTCATTGTGTACATGGTCATGTGCCCATGTTCAATCTGTAGTGCATCAAGCATGTATTTGTGTATAGGTAGCTTGCAACAAAAATCATTATTTGGTAAACTAAACTGACGAAATAAGAACTGTATAGCCCTGTGACCTACCTTTAGCCACATGCCACACATCATAAAAGTGAGAGACTGCTGGCATGGTTTCTCTCACCAACTTCTGGATCTGAGGGTGACGGTCTGTTATTAAAGTGCTAAGTGTCAAACCCTCTGCCTGCAAAAGTTGGACACTCCTCTGGAACCCCTCCTTTTCCATAGCATTAGAATTTTTTACTTCATTGGACTGAATTTTTTCTCACAGGTTTCATTGGTCACTGGAAAAAAGACACACCTATCTCAGGTTATGTGGTTTTCTCACTTTACGGTCATCTTACACCCAGTAAACTAATGAGACACACCTGACATAACAATACACATTATCGTGTGTAAACGTATTTTTGTGTACTAGTTTGCATGTTGACTGCAGCAACACACCACACGTAGACTAAATTACATATTACATACTGATTACATATTCAAAGTCGCATGTGGTCCTTGCTCATATATATCTATGTTCATGAAACAAATACCAAAATCATTATCATTTGAAAATACATACACCCGTTTGAAACTTTCTCAGAAAGGCCATAGGTGCATTAAACTTAATGAAACTGTGCATTTGAATGGTGAGTATTGATGAAACCTTTGAATTAAACCCAGGGAAGGGTGTAGACAATAAACGCAGAATACTTTTCAGCACTGTATAAGGAATATGTTAAGCCACGATGAATGACATTGTGTAATATTCGTTGTTATGTCACTGCACAAATAATGTACTTGCTAAATGAATAACGGTATCTCCACATCACAATGATTTTAGTAAATTTCCATATATTCATGTATTATTTAGATGTTATTTCCCAGAATGGCTTTATGGTTATAACGGCATCTGACTTTTAAGTGAGATAAAACATGTAACAATGGATCAGTTGCAGCCTAATTTCATAGTATAACAGATAAAATGTCTGTTAACATGTATGGCTTATAGAAAGTGCTATAAGTGAGTGAGTGAGTGAGCGAGTATGGTTTTACGCCGCTTTTAGCAATATTCCAGTAATATCACAGCGGGGGACACCAGAAATGGGCTTCACACAGTTCAATAAGTAAAGGCGTCCGTTCCAAGTTGGGCGTTGTCTTCAGTATCTGACGTGGCCACCATGAGCCCCCAAAACTGTTCTGCACCGTCACGGCATGAACTGATTCAGTCTGTGAATTCGACCATGTGGAATTCTCGCCTATTCCTCTTGCAATGCCTGCGACTGTTGGTCTACCGTCTGGTCTGAACTAACGTACGGGTCGGACGTGGTCATACCACAAATGCTCGATTGGATTGAAGTCAAGCAATTTGAAAGGCCATGGAAGCACCGTGAAGCTCTCATGCTTAAGATCCAGAATAGAGGCATGGGCTTTATGAGGCCTGGTATTACTTTGCTGGAACAACTCCCTCTTGCAGTCAGTGATCGGAACCATGTGAATCCTTAAGATTGCGTCTCTACCGAATAGCAGATAAATTGCCCTGAAGGCGCACAAAGTTCGATTTTAGCGTGTAGGGTCTGTCTTCCCCACATCATGACACTTCCACCACCATATTGGTCAACCTGGGCGACACAATTCTGAGGAAAAGGTTCATTTCGACGAACTCTTACGTCACGGCACTGAATCAGAAAGCGTGATTCGTCACTGAACGCCAGTTGTGTAGATTCTAGCGTTATAGCACCACTGCATACGTCGACGTCGGCATAGTCGTCGCAGCACAAGGCCTTCTGACTCCAGTCTGAAGTCCAGCTTTTGATAAACGATTACGAATGGTTTGCGCCGACGTTCAAATCAGTCACTGCACGTGCAGTTGCAGTTGCTGTGACAGTTCGATTCGTCAGATTAAGTACCCGGATGTGATTCAGTGGTAATCCGAGGTCTCCCACTTCGAGGCCGAGCTTGGTGAACTCTGGTGAACCTTGAGGTGACAGACTCAGACTCCCCAGCCTCTAGACTCCAATGTATTATTTTACAGCAGTGAGTCGCGGCATATAGATATTCTTTCATTTAGCTATCTAAAAACAATGATCGTCTAAAAACAAAACGACCTTGTATAGGCAATGTCCCTGCCCGCGATTCCTCACAACCGAACGTGCATATTCCAAACCACCTTTTCTCCATGACATTTTCATGCAAGTTGACACTTTCGAACGTGCACGTGCATTAAAGTCTCCGTAGGGGCGTTTTGGCGCTGTGCATTCGTTCCATGTATACAAACCTGCATTAAAATGGAAGAACAATATTAACAATCAAACCCTAATTTTGAAAAAAATATTTGACGTATGCTTAGCTTTTTTTGAGAGTATATAATTGTCCACCAAAGTTTTATGACTGACTATTTGTGTTTGGAGTACTGCTCTCCCCTGACCATAAATGACATTTAGTATGGCTATATAATGCAACAGCTGTATGGCATGATATTTTTATTCTGCGTTTTCATTTAGCGGAGAAAACAATGTCCGCGATAAATCAGATTTGCAGTGTATATTTTAGTGGCGAAAGACTTTAATTAATCCTCACATATATTGTCCTTATCACAATAACCACAGTGAAAAACGGAAATGGTGAATATTTGGCCATGTTAGATAACAGTGTGTACATGGCCACTGGTAACTTATAGATAACATCTGTAGGGGACGTTCAAAAAAATTTGGCTAAGGGGCGGATGGGATGGTGTGGTGTGGGTGTTGTTCTTGGGCGTTAGGGGGTCATCAGTTGTTGTTTTGGGGGGGTCTTTTCTTTTTCGTTTTTCTTTTCCGTCATCACAGTTGTACCACGACGACAATCATCACTAGAATGCTGAGAGCACTGTTACGTATTTCTGACATTTTACATATCCTTATGTTAGCACATTCATATATGCTTCATTTTTTTCCTTGTAAATTCTAAGATTAAACTGGCAGTAACTCTACTTATCTAACTTGTGCAATTCAGTCAATCATTCTGAAAAGTACTATTGATTTGGGTGAATAAAATCAGCCGTGACCTCTCTACTATTTCAGTCTAGAGAAAATAAATAATTAAATAGTTCTTTGGTTTACAGTGCCATAATCATTTATTTCATTTATTCGTCGTTAAATAAACTTTGTTAAAATTGCATGTATCAATCTACATCACTGATCATTTAACACATGGATAACTTATCTGCATGTATGGAATAATTGACAAGTTCTCTACCACAAATATATATTTCAATTTGGTTATGACTGGTTATGAACTAGGACTGACTGACTGAGTTTGGTTTTACGCCGCTTTTAGCAATATTCCAGCAACATCACGGCGGGGGACACCAGAAATGGGCTTCACACATTGTGCCCATGTGGGGATTCGAACCCGGGTCTTCGGCGTGAAGAGCCAACGCTTTAACCATTAGGCTACCCCACCGCCCCTTATGAACTAGGAAGGATAACAATATATGGATGATCAACTTCTTTATTACAGTGACGTTCTAACATGGTCAGTCTCGCTGTAATAAAGAGGTTGTTCATCCATCTATTGTTATCCTATATTACAGCTCCAACGTCTAAATGCCCCTCAATATATGGATGATCAACTTCTTTATTACAGTGACGTTCTAACATGGTCAGTCTCGCTGTAATAAAGAGGTTGTTCATCCATCTATTGTTATCCTATATTACAGCTCCAACGTCTAAATGCCTCTCAATATATGGATGATCAACTTCTTTATTACAGTGACGTTCTAACATGGTCACTCTCGCTGTAATAAAGAGGTTGTTCATCCATCTATTGTTATCCTATATTACAGCTCCAACGTCTAAATGCCTCTCAATATATGGATGATCAACTTCTTTATTACAGTGACGTTCTAACATGGTCACTCTCGCTGTAATAAAGAGGTTGTTCATCCATCTATTGTTATCCTATATTACAGCTCCAACGTCTAAATGCCCCTCAATATATGGATGATCAACTTCTTTATTACAGTGACGTTCTAACATGGTCACTCTCGCTGTAATAAAGAGGTTGTTCATCCATCTATTGTTATCCTATATTACAGCTCCAACGTCTAAATGCCTCTCAATATATGGATGATCAACTTCTTTATTACAGTGACGTTCTAACATGGTCACCTCGCTGTAATAAAGAGGTTGTTCATCCATCTATTGTTATCCTATATTACAGCTCCAACGTCTAAATGCCTCTCAATATATGGATGATCAACTTCTTTATTACAGTGACGTTCTAACATGGTCACTCTCGCTGTAATAAAGAGGTTGTTCATCCATCTATTGTTATCCTATATTACAGCTCCAACGTCTAAATGCCTCTCAATATATGGATGATCAACTTCTTTATTACAGTGACGTTCTAACATGGTCACTCTCGCTGTAATAAAGAGGTTGTTCATCCATCTATTGTTATCCTATATTACAGCTCCAACGTCTAAATGCCCCTCAATATATGGATGATCAACTTCTTTATTACAGTGACGTTCTAACATGGTCACTCTCGCTGTAATAAAGAGGTTGTTCATCCATCTATTGTTATCCTATATTACAGCTCCAACGTCTAAATGCCCTCAATATATGGATGATCAACTTCTTTATTACAGTGACGTTCTAACATGGTCACTCTCGCTGTAATAAAGAGGTTGTTCATCCATCTATTGTTATCCTATATTACAGCTCCAACGTCTAAATGCCCTCTCAATATATGGATGATCAACTTCTTTATTACAGTGACGTTCTATCATGGTCATGGTTGTTCATCTCGCTATTACAGTAATAAAGCCTCTCAGGTTGTTCATCCATCAGTGATTTCTAACATGGTATCCTAAAGATATTCATCCATCTATTGTTATCCTAATTACGCTCTAAATGCCCTCAATATATGGATGATCAACTTCTTTATTACAGTGACGTTCTAACATGGTCACTCTCGCTGTAATAAAGAGGTTGTTCATCCATCTATTGTTATCCTATATTACAGCTCTAACGTCTAAATGCCCCTCAATATATGGATGATCAACTTCTTTATTACAGTGACGTTTTAACATGGTCACTCTCGCTGTAATAAAGAGGTTGTTCATCCATATATTGTTATCCTATATTACAGCTCCAACGTCTAAATGCCTTTCAAAGAAGTTAGCTATAAACATGTAAAGTTAGATATGTTGTTACTGAGTGTATTATTTTAGTCAAAACATCCACTGATTTCATG